CTATATATATAAGCAGAATTATTGTAAGGGTATCCTATTAGATTGTTTCTATTTATGATATTAAGTATCCTTCCTTCTAACGCGTCGACCTAACTCTATTCTTAGAGGCGGTCCTAAAGCTTTGTTTTGGCTTCCCTATAGTTCTATCTATGGTTATACTTAGGTATTCCTTCTTCTAAGTCTTTGAGTCCCTTAATTAGGATTACTCGGTTTGTCCTTAGTAGTGTATTAGGCTCTACACTATAATTAGCCCCTTAGGAGGTCTCTAGGTTCTCCTAGTTTCCTAGGGACGTGACTAGTGTCCCTAGGTAACCTACTTCTTACTCCCAAAAGTTATTACCTATTTCCTAGGAGTCGCTATCTCCTAGGTTTATATACTAGGTCTATCCTTAACTTTCTATCGTATCCCACTCAATTTCTAGGAATTCCGCTTATAGTCCTTCGGCTAACCTTTCAATATATAGGTTACCGGCTAATATCTCTTCCGGGCTTAGGTTATTCTATCTTACCAAGAGATCTTCTAATAACTCGCTAATTAGGTATTCGTTTTCTTATATTGTATATAGTTCTTTATATAGTACCTATTCGCGTATCGTATATAGTTCTTTATATAGAGCCTAGTACCTAGGCCTCGGTCTATTAGGCCTCTTATTCTTATATTCTTGAATATAGTGTCCTAGTTTCCTGTATATAAAACAAAGGTTTTTCTACTAACACTCTTTCTACTTATCTTAAGTGGTGTCTAACTCTATTGGTTTTAGGCTATATAGATTGTTATTATATAGTGCTTTCTTGTAGTACCTATACTATCGAAATCGATTAAATCTATATAATTTACCCTTCTTCCACTACTCTATTTCTTATCGCTTATAACGTCTCTTATTAATATAGTTATTAATCTTGACTATAATAGCGATAAGTTAGTCTAAAGTATCGGGTCTATCGATTTGTGCTAGTTTATCCTTAACTTCTAGCTTTAACCCTACTTCGAAGTACGGAATATACGCTTAATCAGGTAAGTCTAAGTAGGATATAATCTACTAGAATTCGGAGATATAGACTGATACACTACCCTACTACTTGATCTTCTACAATCTTCTTTCGGCTATTCGTTAGGTATCGATATCTCTAAACGTTCGTTCTAGGTATTATCTAAAGCTAGTATAGCTTTTAAAGATAGAAGTAGTAGTAAAAGACTATTTTTCCGGTATCTTTTTATAGTAGTTATATATATATAGCTCGAGCTAGTTCTAGGCTTATCTATATAAGTAAGTGGATACAAAAATCACCTTACTAGCTTCACTAGGTAACTTATCTCGGTTTATATCTAAGTGTATATCTATTTACGTAAGGAATCCTCGAAGCTTAGATTAGGTTCCTTTAAAGTATTCTACCTTAGGAAGTCGTGGTATACCTATAGTGCTAGCTAGTGTAGATATAATTACCTATTACTTAAGTTATTTAAGGAAGTCGTCGACTTACCTAAACTTACTACTATTATTCGCGTTATAATTATTAATAGCCTATATAGCCTTCTCTAGGTTACGTTATAGATCGGCTAGTTACTTTTCCTATTTCGCGATTGTCTTGTCTCTCTTATCGTCGGAGTCCGGTTCCTCTTTCTTAGGTTACTAGACCGGAGCCTATACTACTCTCTTTTCGATTTAAGATATATTATCGTTCGTTTAGACTCGAGACTAAGATCGAGACAGTCTTTAATATATTACGCACTAGCTAACTAGTCACAGTTAGGTTAGGCGGTTTAGGGTATAGTTACCTTAATACACCTCGGGTTTCCTACGTCAACGATACGCCTATCGTCACTAAGCTATTACCTTATCCGTAGGCCTTACTACAGCCTAAGTCCCTAGAAGTTATATCGAGGAATCGATACTAGGTAGAGCGCCGAGTAGATCTATACCGGGGTATTAGTCTAGCTCGTAGTGTTTGTTAAGTTATATCTTAGTCAAGAGTCGTAAGTCTATATAGGTATACACAAGTAACAATATAGGATTAAAGACAAAGAACTAGACTAAGTATATGAATGAACGTCCTTATATATCCTTCTATCTTCCTAGGGGTAGTTAGGTAGATAGTAGCTTAGTAGATTTGTCTTGGCGGAATCTATCGTTCTACCGTCGACCAGTCTACTACCTACATAATCACGTGACACAATTTCTGGTTAGCCGGGGTGTCCTTTGCATATGATCTAGGTTGATTGGCTCTCGATGGCCTATAATGCTGGTAGGGTAGTTTGGGTCGTTGGGTGCCTGATAGGTCCGTAATATATAGTAATATATACTATATATAATTGTGAGAATATATCACTATATACTTAATAGTATATAGTATAGTACTATATTTAGTAATATAGTATGTTACTATATTTAGTAATATACTAAATATAGTAATTTGGTAATTATTCGGAGAAGGCTCGGTAATATATCGGTATTTCCTATTTAGGAAATATATAGTAAGCCGGGCTCATAACCTATAAGCACTTTAGCAGAAATAATATTATAGCCTAATAGTAGGTTATAATATTTTGTAGGGGAAGGTGTATTAGGTAAGCTTTATCTTATATAATATTGTATTATATAAGATATAGAAAGGTTTATACTTAGCTTAAGTAGATAATAATAGGTGCGAGGTAAGAAAAGTTGTATTGAATAATTTTTTTCTAGCTAGGAATCCTTCATTCCTTATATAGGTAAGCTCTAGCAGTATAGAATATCATAGAAAGTCATTAATAATAGAATGACTTCATTATGATATCCTAGATTTATGGCGATATATTGTGAGTCATAATATAGTTTACCGTAAATAATATATCTAAGGTTCTCTTAGATACTACCGGTAAAATATATATCTTATCCTCACACACCATAGTATATAAATATATATCTTACAATTACTATTATGCTTACAATAACTAATAACCTTATAGTGTTAGTAGTATTTTCCTTTAAAAGGCTTATTTTTATACGATTTATAATACTTATATTTAAGTATTATAATATTCGTATAATAACTACCTTTATATATAGAAGATTCCCTACCCCTAGCTTTATCAATTAAGCTAGAAAATAAGGTTTCCACTATATATGATTTAGGGTTATTTCTCAATGATTAGGTTATATTTTGAATAAACCCTTTATAGTCATTATTTAGACTATTAAGAACCTAGGCTATCACTACCTGATTAGGTAGATCAATACCTTTACCCTTAAGGTTATCTACTAAGGTTTTAACCTTATTAAGATATTCTTCCATTGAATTAAAATCGTTTAATCTAGTGTTAAAGAAATCTTTTAGGGTTAAATATTCAGTGGTAAAACCCTTAGGGTTATATAGGGCTTCTAAGCGAAGCTAGGCCTTATTAGCACTCTCTATATCTTTTAGATATAGGAGGGGCCTATTATTACAATAAAGCTTTAAAACAGATATAGCCTTATTGTTTTTAACCCTAATAGAAGGAGTTTCTATAGGTGTATATAGGTCATCCTTTATTAGGGCTACTTTAACCCTAATAGACTATATAATATAGTTCTCCGAGCCCCTAAGCTTAGGGAGATATATCTTATCTAGGGAGGCTATAGTAAGATATATAATAGATATCGGAGATTAGGTATATATATAGTATACTATATAAAATAGTATACTTATATATATAGCTCCCTATATATAGTAATATATACTATATATAATTGTGAGAATATATCACTATATACTTAATAGTATATAGTATATTACTATATTTAGTAAGATACTAAATATAGTAATTCGGAAATTATTTGGGAAAGGCTCGGCGATATATCGGTATTTCCTATTTAGGAAATAGGTAGTAAGCCGGGCTTATAACCTATAAGCACTTTAGCAGAAATAATATTATAGCCTAATAGTAGGTTATAATATTTTGTAGGGGAAGGTGTATTAGGTAAGCTTTATCTTATATAATATTATATTATATAAGATATAGAAAGGTTTATACTTAGCTTAAGTAGATAATAATAGGTGAGAGGTAAGAAAAGTTGTATTGATTAATTATTTTCTAGCTAGGAATCCTCTATTCCTTATATAGGCAAGCTCTAGCAGTATAGAATATCATAGAAGGTCATTAATAATATAATGACTTCATCATGATATCCTAGATTTATGGCGATATATTGTGTGTCATAATATAGTTTACCGTAGATAATATATCTAAGGTTCTCTTAGATACTACCGGTAAAATATATATCTTATACTCTCACACCATAGTATATATCTTACAATTACTATTATGCTTACAGGTATTAAGTTATTATATATATAATCGAATTACTTAAAAATATAGAGAAAAAATGTATAAATAATATAGGTCACGAGGTTAAGAAATTCTACTTACTAAAAAGGCCTATAGGCGCCTATAGTGGCTATAGATAATAGGCCCTAAGGGTAGGGCCTATCTATAGGTGTATTGATAGTGCCTATCGCCCGCTTATATAAGGTCTGTGGGCACTGCCTAACTACCTACCTGTCTATGGGTGATATTGTAGTCTACTATATACTTAGTCTAATATTCTTTACCTATTAGAATAAAGCTACTAAAGCGTTCTTTCTCTAAAACTTAGAGTACTATTAAAAGGAGAAGGAGGGTTAGGACTATAGTAGATATAGACATTAAGGTTATTTTTAATCTTCTTATTAATATTAAAATTGTTTAATATCTAGATATTGCGATAGACTTTATAACTTAGTAGAATAGTACCTAATATATAACCTAGCTCTCTTTACAAGACACTTTATCCCTAGTATCTTAAAATTTTATAAATATTATAATATTATTTTACTAGATTGATAAGGAAAGTAAGAGATAACTTATAGCTTCTATAATCACTTATTCGTATGCAAGGCGACTGACTAAATTCGGGTGCCTGATGGGGATGGCCCGCGGGGTGTCACATGTCAATAAGCAACAAGCGGCTTTGATTGATTGAATTCCTTTCAGTATCAAATTTTCATGGCTGGAAGACGTCAAACCGTCGCTCTATCCGTTCATCTCCAGGTGTCGCAATTGTTATCCTCGCAGGGGTAAAAACCTACCCAAGGTCGATGCAATCAGTCGAACATTATCAACCATGAGAATCTGAAGACCGGCCTTTTTTTGTGCCTATAGCAAATGAGCTACAATATCCATTGGACTGGACCGCAAGTTGCTTTTGAACTTACCTCAGCGTGCTCGGGAATGTTGTTTAAAGAGCCATAAGACCCACAGATCAGACCTGATCTTTTAACATAGCCCACAAGTCTCGGGCACAGAATCAAGGTCTCGGAAGCGAAGACAATGCCGGCCAAATTCCACCGCTTCGAGAATCGGACCGCAGCTTGTAGACTACTAGCTCTCATCTCCGTGTCTGACATTGGGAGTTTTCCGGCGTTGGTGATAAACATGACAGGATATATATCTTGTTTGATCGCCAGAAGAATACAAACCTCGGGCGAAAACGAGGAGAGTATAATGGACCTACCACTGCTGACACGGAAGATCTGGGCGAGTATTCGATCAATGAATGTGTTGATCTCGATACCGAGTGGTCCTACGCCTGCCTCGACAGCTTCATGAAGCCTGGGATATTCTTTGTCCGTGTTAGTCCAAGGCAGCTAAACACCGAACCGCCATGTTTATTAGGATACCAAAACATACTTATCTCAATATTGAAACTGATCGAGTCTGGGAGATCCGTAAGCAGCTCTTCTAGCGTGGTGAAAGAGTCCTGCACGGAATGCCCCCTTGTATTTGGCTTAAATCCTTTGTTCTTGAAGTCGACGGTGTGCCTCATTCTGCCACGAATCCGCGCAGTCTCTCCCTCGTGGCTCTTTGTCAATGAATGTGAACGAACTCTGGCTGCAACAGTTGAATCTGAGAGGCCCTGTGAATTTGGCCTCCCGAGAACCGACACTGGTTTGCCTCTGGGTGACTGAAGTTCACTTGCGTGCATAAACTTCAAAAGTTAGCATCAGGAAATTCCTCTGTCCAGATAGACAAACCTGTTCTAGACTCAGATCATGAATAGGAATATCGGTTCCAGACTCGCTTAACGAGAAGTCATGATAGATCACGGGGAAAAGGTCTCTAGTAAGTTGGACATCTGCGTGCATGTTAGTAAAGGCGGAAGAAAGAGCTTCGCTTGAATCAGCCAGTACCAAACTAAAAAGGATTAGTTAATGCAAGCTTCCTGTCTAGGGCCTCCGGGGTTCTTACTTCGACATAAGAAGCGCCAAGTCTAGCAGCAGAAAGAAATGACTGTTCTGATTGTTAGTTTGATAGTGCTTAGGGGCACAGGTAGGTATACCTCTATAGTATTCTCCCCCAGCTGAAGGTGGCTGTGACTGGCAGTATTTTGACCAAGTCCTTTCAGATGTTAGTTACACTACATCGCGCGGCACATGTTGTTGATTCAATGGAGGAGGTACCTCTATGACCCACAAGTTGTAGACCTTCCGCTGTGATTTTCTGCTTCGCCAACCGGGAAGAGGTTAGAACCGTCAACGGCTTAGCAATGACGAATGTAAAAGTGACAGTTCCTATAATATCCATTGTACCCTGTTCCAGAATTGGGACAGTTCGCTCTCTGACGAGAGACTCCCGATTCTCTCCGAAGCAATCTTTGTCGCTCTGCAACAGATAAGCAGCGCTGCCTATTAGCCGACACGCTTCACAGGATGAGTCTGCAGGGTAGAACTTGAACACCAGGCGGGTATCATTAGGATTAGTAACAGGAAAGACGAACGGCTCGTTCACCATATCGTTTATTATAAGCAGCTTCGCACGTTGTATGTTACTCTCCACTGATATTGACATATCCATCGAAGTGATATGTTTCATATAAGAGGAACTTGTCGATGGTGAGCTTTTGAAGTCCACCGCTTGCACCTCCTTACCATTACGCAAAACACCAAGATTGACAATGACATAATTTTCACCCATTGGAAGACGGCTGCTGGGTGCGGATTTGGACTTGCGAGGTATGTTGGCGGGTCCACCAGCGAGGTGATCGGGGTCCCACGACTTCAGCAGTTCAGCGACATGGAGATGGCCCCTGAAAGCAGCATGTTCCTTAGCAATCCAACCGCGATGATCATACAAGTCCTGACTGGCCCCTGCATGGAGAAGAAGCTTGACAATGCTGTAGTGACCTTCCACACATGAGATAAACAATGGAGTCCAGCCATGTATCGTCTCCGCAGTGTCGATGTAGACTCTGTTGGAGCGTTTCAGTAGCATATCGACATAGTCGCTACGCCCAGTCCGAGCGGCAACATATAGTGCGGTCTCTCCAGACAATGAAGGCCTTTGAAAGTCGAAAGAAGTTTCTGTGATGAGGAGGACAATCCCATCATGCTTATATCTGATAGCGAGGACCAACAAATCATTCAAAGCATCCAAAAGATCTTCAGCCTGAGCTTCCTGTCCAAATTTAATCTGTGAAACCAACGTTTCCAGGAACAATTTCGCAACACCGACATGGTTTTTGATTACGGCGTAGTGAAATGGCGTAATTCCCTGGCAGTCCCGCATAAGGATCACCTTCAACATGAAATCTTGGCTCAAAGACTGAGCACAATTGACGATTGATTTGCATATGAAAGCCATGCCGTGTAGTGCTCCATAATGAAGGCTTATACGACCAAAGGTGTCTTTCGCAAACAAGGCGTCTTGAGTACGAGACGCCAAAGAGTCAACTGCAATTTCGAAAAAGCCACACTTCTCTTTGTCGCCACGTTGAACGCTGTCTTTTAGGTCTTTGCTTCCTTCGGGAGTACCGAGTTGGCTTTCCGTGATAATGACATAGTTCAGCAAATTGTGATCAAGGACAGCCTTATTGGAGCTTAGACTTTGTGATGTCAAATATCGAAAGCAAAGTTGAGAATGACAGGTTACTGCTAGCTCCATGAGTTCGTAGAGGAAGGCACTAGGCGCTTGCTCTGAAGGATGGTCGCGCAAGAAAGCATTGAGCGGATCGCCTAAAGCTGAAAGCTCGTCGTTCCTTATTGCGCGATAAAAAGCTGAATATTGAGCAAGTAGGGGTGACATTTCCATTAATCTGGTCTGATCGGGCAACCCGTTCATTGTGGAGGGATCGAACCCATCGGCGGAAGCCTCAATGACGCTGGTCATCAAAACCTTCGATCGGCTTATGAAGTTTGCATGTTGTGTGCGACGATCCATTTGCGATTTTGTCCATCTGGATTTTGGGTCCTGATGACGAGGTCCATTGCAGCCAACCAGCTTCTCAATTTTTCCGAAAAGTCTCTGAACTGCTTCTTCATTCAACTGAGAGAAATTCTGAAGCTTTGCAAAATCATCACGTAGTTCTGTGACGAGTTTGAGGAGCGTCTTTAATTCATGAAAATCATCATCTTTGTCTCTTGATGAATAAATTATCCCAAGCAGCTTTTCATACTTCACCACAAGTTTTGCTTGTCTCTTCATGAGAGAGTTGCAGGTTTCATGGTGAAATGTGTCAAAGGACTGGATGCTATTGGCGAGGAGCGTGTACACTTCTACTTTCTCCGTTAGAAATCGCTTGGCCGGATAAAAGCATGCACCAACCCGAGAGATCTGGCTGAAGCTCGACATCCATTGACTTCTCGACAGCCAGCTTGAACGCGCTTTTCACCGAGTCGTAGGGAACGTAATGTGGTGCCCATTCTGGGACCATGTATTGATGGAAATCATGACCAAATCGCATGTCGAAGCTAAAGAAGCACGATAGTCCCGAATACTCAGGTTCAAATATCGGATCAAAACTATGTTCCTAAACCTTACGTGTTAAGGTGAGGCTCGCACGCCGAGTCCATGGGTTGTCTGCTCTTCGCCCGTGGCTCCCCTGAGATGACTAAGGAGGGGGAGGAAGTGGGGCCAGGGGCTGACCTACAGTAGACTCCGTACCAACATCAACATCATGTTACACCAAACAAAACCATTTTCCGCAGTTTATAGAACCCGAGCAATATCACACATTATATCAACTGAAGGCTTACGATTATTATGGTCCCGGTAAATGAAAGGTCGAAACGTAAATGCTTTGGTGAGCCGGATTCATTACCTAGGTAGCAATGGCGCGATGTTGGTAGTACTTTTTTCGATTTCGGGCGAAGAGGGGAAAAGATGATGTATGAACATGCATACAAGTCACAAATACATTCATTACATTGGTCCGTACGGAGTAGAGATAACGAAATTAGCGCCTCAAGGCAAATAAATCAGCACAGACCTGTGCCGCTTAGCAGTCAGCGTTTGCCTTTCCAAACTCCGGAAATAGCCACATATTCCCACTTTTATGGACTACATAGTTGGAAGATATTCCCCATACTTTATACCTTCTTTGGTCCGAAGTTGAAAGCTTATGTCCCCGATATGGATCCATTATCATTTGGCGCAAGTGTAATCGCCATCGCAGCTCTTGCCACCCAAACTTGTTCCGCTCTTTCAGACCTACGGGCGCTTTGTGAAAGCTTACCAGGACGCCTTCACGCGGTCAACAATGAAGTCGCGGATCTCAACCTCGTGCTTCTCCAGGTCTCTCTTCTCATCGAGAGTCGAGCATTCTTACCCGAAACGAAGTCTTCAGCGATCCCACATCTCTTGCAGCAAGCCAACAAAAAATTGCTTGAGATCAAAGACATTGTTTGTCAGCTCAACGTGGCTTGCCGTGCTTCAAGAATGTCGATTTCTAAGGCTCATGCTTGGCGAAAAGAACAAAGCCGACTGCAGGTTCTTCAAGAGGATATCAGAGCTGTCAAGGCCAATTTGAATGTCATGCTTGGTGCTTCCAACTCGTATGCCGACCGAGTTAAAATCCTAATATTTCAGTGCAATGGTTTGGAATTTGCTGACTTCTCAAAAGGCAAGATATGACAAGGATGCGCATGGACATTGAAGCTATATCGGCTGTCACTTTTGAATCATCGCAACAGCAGATTGTGACAGAAAATAACGTTCTGAGCGGACTTGCTGCTGTCGATCAACGCATAGCCAGGGTTGAGGAAATGTTACTAACCCAGTCACATCATGTTCAAGCGAGACAATTTACCCAAGTTGGATGGTCGTACGACATGTTCGCTTCTCGAACGCAAGATCAATCTCTCGTTCGAAAAGACACTCCGCTGGCGACAACAAGCTCTGAAGGTATGAGGATTCGTGTCAGTCCATTTTCAGCTACCTGTCGCTCGGGCTGCGCATGTTTGTGTCATTCGGACCAGAAGGCGACAAGTCCCGCACTCGTCAACCGTGTTTTAGGTCAGCTTTTCGTCGGCTACTCCGGGATTCCCTATTTCAGCCCCAAGTGTAATTTGCTTGCATGTAATAAGTCACGCAATAGGCAAGTCAGTCTTGAGTACTGGTTTCCCTTTGCGTTTCTGTCATCTGCGATTGTGCGTCTTCAAGTTGGGTATCAACCCAACATTGGAACATTGCTACACCTCGATACACTACGGCGGGTACCTGACACCGCACAGTGTGTCAGCTTCGCATTGAATGGCAACATTGACGGTCTGAAGTATCTTTTCAGTAATGGGCTGGCCTCTCCACGTGATGTCAGCACCACTCGCGGGTATTCGGTTCTTAGATGGGCTCTTTACGGCAAACAGTATGAGACATGTGAATTTTTGATTCACGCCGGTGCAGACGCCGACTACAAACCAATCGCTGGCAGCGATAACAGCCCGAGAAATAAAGCGTGTCACTTCCTTCTGGAAGGTGGAATTTCTGAAACTGCGGTCGGTGCCCTTCGTATCATCGCCAAAAACGGGTATCTTGAAGATTTTATCGACGAAGCACGATTTACGAAGATTCATAAAATTGTCCTTGGCTTATCGATGCTGAGCCTCGAGGACGAGATAGCCCACACTCCGGAGGATATCAATGTTGTTGACGCCATGGGTCGCACTGCATTGGCATGGGCAGCCGCCCGAGGGGATACGCGAGCCATTGTGACACTCCTTAGCCACGGCGCTGATCCAAACATACTCGACGTGCAGTTATCCGGCCCTCTATCAAATGCAGCTTCCCAAGGTCACACCGTTGCCGTTCGGCTACTTCTGGAGGCGGGAGCACAACCAGATGTACGCCATCCTAGTGGTGAAAAGAAGGGCAGTCCGCTCAATTGCGCTACTCGGAACGCTACTGATATCTTGCTTCTAAAATCTTTGCTGGACTTTGGAGCAGATGTGGATTCAAGCGGGAACGATGGAAAAACCGGGCTTATTCATGCGGCAAGAATGGATAATGCTGGGTTCGCTATGCTGTTGTTAGAATACGGCGCCAACATCAACTCAGTGTCGGCTGACGGGTCAACTCCTCTGACCACCGCAATCATGTACAACAGTCATAATGTCCTACGATTGTTCCTAGATCGATGGCATGAGTACTCAATCTGCCCTCGTATGCAAGGCCCCAACCTTCTCCAGATCGCGGCATTATACGCTGATTCCACCACGCTGCAAATTCTGGCCGCAACTGATCATTTCCGAAGAAAGTACGATAAACAATATACCCTTGGCGATTTTGGGAATGACCTAAAGCAGCGTCCAGACTATACGGAAAAGCTGGCATTAGCCTTCGACGAACTCCTCAGAGTTGTCAACCAGGTGCCGGAACTGAGGAAGTCATCCTCTCCGATATTTACCGATTCTGGACTACTGTCTTGGTGTCTATTTAGATCAAATTCGGGTTTCGATGAGGTGCAGGATCCTGGGAGCGCTTGCAGCTCTGATGGGAGTTTCCATGATGCGATTGAAAAGCATCCACTGATTACGGAGAGCTTCGTTGCTATAGATTAAGTTTGATGCAGTTAATAAACAACAAATCCTTATGCATATCGATAAGACTAAATGTTTGCCTAGAAGAGGCAAGGCTGGTACCGTGAATCTTAGTCTTGATTTAACGATATAAGCCAATCATTTCAGTCGCAGGCAAACGCATCACTTCCTGTACACATCGATGAAATGTTTAATCTCCACTGCTTTTACCTCCTGCTCGCTCCAGCCCAAGTCCAAGAAAACATTCTCAATATTGCGTATTGTCTTCGCATCACGAGCATCGGGAGCAAGCGTATACGACCTTCCTTCTGACCTGTACGTTCGGCAATTGCTCCCGCCTGGCCACAGCAACTGAAGAAATGCGGCAGTGACATCGGCATTCCCGGTAATCCCGAGTAACAAAGGCATCATTCTTTTGAAGTTGACAGTTGCTCTATGCTTTAGTAGAACCGTGGCAGATTCATAATCTCGTACCCTGACTGCCACTTCGAAGGGCGTTTTTTTCTTCGGCGGCTCGTTTCCATTTGGATCCGCCCCGTTTTCAAGAAGAAAATTGACAATATCTGATCTCCTATTCCTTCGGCCATTATAGAGTAGACGTGGAAGAAGCGCCCTGTCCGACGGATTCGTTCGCGTGTTGACATCCACCTGACCCCGACGGAAGAGGTACCTAATCGCATCCAATGACCCATACCTGATGGCCTTCACAAGCATGTGAGCATCCCATCTAGGGTTGCCGTACAGGGCTTCATACTTCTCCTGAACAAGTTCAATGACTTTAATGTGTCCACCTATAACTGCCCTGGTCATGGTCCGCCTCAAAAACTTTGGATATATTTGTCCCTCCTTTATCATGTGCTCAATCCACACAGATAACCCACGGTCATTGCCACTTACGGCCATAACGTCCGAAACCTTGGTATAAGATATGCCCCAATACCACAAGCGATTATCCCAAGCACTGAGGTACTTCATCGGACAATGGTTCGCTAAAAGTAACTCTATGATCGGCCCAGACCCCTTTTTGGCAGCAATATCCAGCGGAACAACGGCCAGTCGGTTGCTGTATTTGTCGAGTTTGATTCCTTGATCTAGTAGTATCTGTAGTTGCCTACAGTCACCACTTTGGATGGCACTTGTCGCTAGTGCGTATCTCAAAGTTGTCTCGAATCCCTCACAGCTCAGGGGAATTATACCGAGATGGTGGGAAGAGGGATCTTCGATATGAATTGTATACTGATCAGGGTCTAGTAGGTACTTGCATCCACTGAATTCGCCACATAAACATGCATCGATAAGCTGGTTGATAAGGGTCTCCGTTTCGTCAATTGTTCTCTGGTTCGGGAGGTCAATTATCTCCTTAACCAGGGTTGACCACACAGTCCGGCTTTGATTGTGGAGTTGAATCTTGCGATAGAGATAAGACCGTTTCATGCGATCGGGAAGTTCTAGCCAGCGGATTTTAGGGGCGGAATCGGAAGCCAAAGGGGTGAGAGCCTGGCTATCTCGTGAGCCATACGCGTGGAGTTCAACACGGCTCATCCAGAAAGACTCGAGCTCACTCGCAAAGAAAACTGCAATGGGTTGTTAGAGCAGATTTTACAGGCATGGAAGATTGCATACAATTCACCGCCCTTAACTTCAATAACTCCTGAAGTGAACAGATCTTGGCAGTTTCTTGGAGGATTTGAGACAACAATTCCATGGGGAAGTACATCTTGCTGAGTCTCCCAGGGATTCCAATGGTTTTCCTGTAGTAGATGGATTGTTTCTAGGATGTGTGGAACTTTGAGTCACAGATAATCCTAGTAGTCTTGGCGACTGTTCCCTGACTAGACCTCCGCAAAGCCAAAAATGGGCCGGAGCCTCGGCCAAGGCCCAGCTAGAGTGGGCTACGGGGGTCTTAACCTTCTAAGCCCAGTCAAACCCACAGCCCATTCATGGGGCACTAGAAGGCCCCCACTATAGCCCATCTAGTGGGTTCAACTAGGATCTTGTAATCGCTACTTTCCGTCCCTTCTACTGATTATACAGACTTCAAATTGAGACTATACATCTATAACTACTCTGGAATAGTTTACTCTATTTTGTTATCAATTCAACTAGTGAAGTTTGAGAAATGGTTAATATGTACGTTGATATCAGATAAATGTCTGAGATTTGCGAACTAGATGTACGAAATCATGAAGTAAGAAGATTTATGTACGCAGAGACGCGAGTAGCACTAGGCAATTATATAGACTAGTCGAAACTAGTCTGGTGTCTGCATTTCTTCTCGCCAGAAGCAGACTGATTTGCATCATCGCGAGTCACTTCAAAATCTTGACGGACATGTACAACGCTCAATGGCGATATGGGAACCTCATCATTTGTGAGCGATTCAACATCTCCGACAGATGGAGCCAAAGCTTGGCTAGACTCCTCTTTTGACTTTTTTATAACAGGGTCAGTCGTAATATGATAAGCAGCCCTCGCAGATGAGCTCTGGTTCTGGGAGGCGACGAAGAGCTGTCGTAGAGAGGCGACACAGGAGACAATAATGGCTATCAGGTGAGGATCAGTATTTGGACAGCAACTAGATTAAAAAATTGACACAACATACCGACATCAGCCTCGACAAAGCTCCAAAAACACAACCAGTCAATATTTATTTGACGGTCATAGGTCATCCCGACGGCTACCCGGATGATGGCGACGATCATGATGAAGATGGTTGCAGAGAAAATACTTAGCAGAACGAGCTTTTTACGAAGCGAGATTTTCGTTTTCCATAGCAAAATGAATGGGATAGACAGGACTGAAATAAGTAATATTGTTAGATCGAAAGAACAGATTAAGTAGTCCGGCTAAGTAGCAATTCACTCACTCATCAAGTCCGTGATAACATCCCCGGCACAATTAGCCCAGAACATGCGATTCTCGTAATGGACGTGGTGAGGCTGGGGACATTGAGCTGCGAACTTCAGTGTTAGCATAAATAAATAGTATTCGAGCTTGTCTTATCTTACTGATGATATACTGTATCCCTCCAAAGCTGCATTTGTATTCGATATCGGCCACAGATGCGACGTAGACACTCGCTGTGCAGAAAAAAACCACAAACCACCAGATACGGAGATACTTCAACTTGGCACTGATTCGGTAGAAAAGTGTCATGAATGAGAATTTGACACTCCACAGGGCGGAATAGAAGAGTATCTCAAATGGAGCGTTGAAACGCATAAATTTATTGTATTGAGGAAGGAACTCAAGAGTGAATAGCTCTAGGCCAGCGCTGATAGCGTATAACTCGTAAAGCACCTTTCCCTCAACTTGCCAGATGACTGCGGCTGTGAGTATAATGACCCATGCGAATATAACGAGGAAATCATCTAGGAATAATCGACGGAATGAGGCAAATTGGGCATATATGCGGAAAACAAGGAATATAAGCGATAACCCTGTGAGAGTCCAGAGCACGGCCTATTAGTGTAAGTTAGTACTGTATACTAGAAATCTCGCGATCATGTTGGATACCCACCAAGAATACCGACTCGGGAACTCTGCTGTGCTGTTCATCAAACTCTGCCATTATCTCCAGATGCTCGATGGAAACGTTCTACATCGATATCAGACGATGAGACATGAAGAATTTATGGACTAGCAAGTTGTGTCGCCAAGAGATTAGATATACTATTCTTTGTTGATTCCTTGCCAGTGATAGTCTGGCTACCCTCCACATAAACTCCGCCCAGTTGATTTCCATTGGCGCGGCGAAAGAAACACAACGGCCAAGTTCTTTGAGACCATCAAGTCAGATAGCATGCGCCATGCCTACTTCACTCAAAAGTAAGGATCTCGGCCTTCAATATGAACGCCACCCCGGCTGATACCATGAGCCAGTCATTACCCCGGTCCAGTTAATCGGGTTGTTGTCTTCCTTTCCTACAGAAATTATGATTGTTCAACAAGTAATGTGACGCGATGGTTTTAAAACAGAACACCGAGAACTCTTTGGTGATGAACCTCGACACTCAAAATCATCTGAACGCTTCGTTGATAAACGGTTCGTGCAACTAGGAGATGGGTTAATTGCTAGGGTGCTTCAAATAAGAAAGAGCTCATGTACCCTTGCCCCCACATATCAGGATACAACCAGGTTGATCTCTATATTAGTCGGGGTGCAGCAATGAAGCCCAGCAGCCCACTTTTTATCCATGAAGTGGCTCAATAAAACATCTAGCAACTGGGAGAGTATTCATTATTATTGCACAATTAACCGAAAGGTCAATATGTCAAAGAAAATGCATTCCCACCCGTTCCTTGGATTGGATATCCCCGGGCGACAAAGAAAGAACACTTCTATAGAGCTTGGACCCCAACAAAATGATTTTAGACCTCGATAGAACGTGGATACTTGGTAAATAAAAATAACTTCGAGTATCTATTGGCCGATTTTGTCATGTGCCTACGGGATCGATGATTACACACTCTTTCAAGTACTGGCGCCGGCAGTACGCAATGCCCATCATCGTTTTTTTGAGTGTACATCGGCTTTACGACGCTCAATTTTTGACTCAAGGTAATCTCATTGTGCTGTCTGGCCAAACGGCCTATCGAGGTTTTCTTTCAGAAGAAGCGCAATGGAGGATATTGTGAGATCTTCTACTCTCAGCAGAGCCAAAAGGATTTGTTGGCCACAACAGAGATTCAACACACCTTGTGTAGTTGTTATAGCTTTGAAAACAGACGCCTGGTGAGCTAGTATTTGGAGGGGCCTTTGCTTTCTTGAACAGCTCTGATATTTGACATTGATTAGACATAATCCGGCCAGCACTACCTGGATGCCTTGATCGAGATCTCATCGGATACCATCAGGTCCATCGGGCATATCAGTCCGCTCAAAGCAGTATCAAGTCAGGGTTCATCGATGCTCCAATGATAAAATCAATTCTCCGAGCAGCATGGATGCGTGGACGGCTTTGAACCGATCGCGCAGTCTTAAGCGAGATGTATCATTTTTGGGTGCGCCACAACGTGTTAGCAGAGGAGCCCAATATGACAAAGAAAGCTGTGTATATCACACAGATTGCAAAAAGCTTGCTGAATGGTCCTTTGCTCAACGACCGCCTTTCCCAATCGTACAAAGAAGTCAATTCCATCGTGATGTTCCCTATTATCAGCTGACATGATATATTACAAGACACCTATAAAATTAATGAAGGTATAAACTAGGAGACATGAGGATTATGAGTAGCATAGTATATCACTATAGATAGTGTCATTCGCATGCTTATATTGATAGGCTTAACTAGTAGTGAGATACGTATTCATCCAATCATTGTTAATGTATATATATACATTTTGGTCCTCGGTATATCAGAGCACGAGCTTTGATATAACGGTCCTTTGGCCGAGTTGGAGAATGTGCGCGCTGGTATATCCTTTACATTCACGCTAAAATAGGAATATCACTATTTTACCCAGCTTAGTATTGGTAACTTATTAAGTAAAGAAATATAATACTAACAAAATACAAGGGCTAATTGCGGGGTTTAAATATGGAGCGATTAATTTTTAAAATTATTTGGATTGCTTGGTGCTAATTGGGCCTGATGGGCCTCCATTATCGGTTTGGTGGGCCCGGGGCCGGGGCCAAAGCCCAGCCCATTTGCGGGTTGGGTTAGGTTAGGTCTCATCCATGCAGTCTTTCCGGCTCCTAGTCCCGCCATTCCAGTCACAGATGCAACGAGCGGAATACTTCATTTGCCACATCGAAGCCGTGTCATCTTTTTCGGAATGTGAAATATTGGGTGACTTGACACTAGTGGGTGCGTTTTCGTGAGACAATACCCAATCAGATGAGTACACACCTCGAGATTGAGAATGTTAATCAAGAAATTGAAGCAAAAGAGAACAAAAACAGTCCCCAGCCCCCAGAAGGGCGTGTAAGCAGATAGCATGGGTCAGTAGTTGCATAATATACATGGTACAATATCTTCAAGCCGCCAACAGCACTACAGTTGCCATAGATAGTGACTCATATTAACAACGGGCAACTGCAGTTTCGCCGGCGATATGTCGAGTCTCTCGGCTTGCGCTTTCGCAGCTCTCCTAATAACCCTAATAGGTGGGGGCAAGATAACTCTTTTCCAATTTTCCCTATATTGACTCCATCATGCGGTAACGAAATTGTGGCAGGGCCAGAGTTAGGGTCCCCTGTCTTGAAGTAGAGACAATGCGTCAGAAATGAATCGCGGCTAACGAGATTTGTGACAGACTAGCAAAGCGAGAAGATACTACCATTAGTGCAGACATCGTATCCTCAAGATCACATGTTATGTTGCTGGACAGTTGATTATGATGGCAGACTTTCAGTGAGCGCATCCTCGGTGGATCATTGGCCTTCGCACAAAGTATGAGCAATGGTCATGACTTTATGATCAATGAACTATCTCATGATATCGATCCTTTGTTTCTTGGGCCTACTTTCGACACATATAATACTGATGAGATATTCATTTCACCGGGGGCAAAATCTCGGTACATGATAGCATTGCTGTTCACATAATGTTCTCTGCACTCGAAAAACGTATCTTCCTGGGCCTGGGAAATTGCTCGGGGATGCTAAGTATTGGCAATTGAGGGAACTACCGAGAAATTCAGTGACAACTATCATAAGAGGACAATTTATTCAAAGGATGTAAACCTCCGACGGCGGAGGAATGCCACGAGGCCAGGTAGTCGATCACCCATATACGCAATGTTTGCACCAAAAGGTGAATGTATGTACGAGATAAGCGTGAGTGCAAAATGCTTTAACCGATATGTAAGATCCAATGACATCGCATTCGTCCAAATGGCGTATATAAATTTCCGAATGATGCAACTCGCTTGGACCCCGCCCTTACAGCTACCCCGAGATATCTGAGTATTATCCCGCGAATAATGCCTGGTCATTACCCATAGAGCTTGTATGTATTATCAATGCTAGTTGTCTAATCCAGCCGTACTTCTAGCACTAGTTCACCTCTTATGCGATTGTCTCATCCACGCCTACGGGCACAACATAACAACTCTTCTTAGGGCAGAATTGCGTGACGGTGATTGCAACCGCGCGTACTACTTCTAGATTCTAGCAATAAAAGGACGGCAGTAGCCCGCTTTATTATTCCTCTGAGAATCATTGTTTAGAAGATTTCGCAGTCCTCTGTTCCCGAAATTGTGAAATATGTCTATAGAGGAAACAAAGAAAGCACAGATTTCTGCCAGTAGTACAGATGGCTCAGACGAAGAGTGGCAGAAGAGTGAAACTCTCAAATTAGAAGGAACATTTGAGGCCAGGGAGGGGCATCACTTCTATAGGCCAATTGATAGCTATGAGGGCCTGCATCGCTGGGATCCGAACTTTGAATGGACAGAGAAAGAAGAGAAAATCATTGTCAGAAAGGTCCGTCAGTCATTTCGTTTTACTACCCGATTGACAACTAACCAAATATCAATAGATTGATGCCCGTGTCTGCACATTTGCCTGCGTGACCTTCTTTGCACTGCAGCTAGATCGAGGAAATATCGGCCAGGCGCTCGCAAGTACTCTTCTGGAAGATCTGCGGATGACTAGTAACGATTACAACTTGGGTCAGACGGTATTTCTGGTCTGCTTCCTGTTGGCTGAAATGCCCTCTCAGTTACTTTCCAAGAGGATCGGCCCAGATCGTTGGATTCCAATCCAAATGGTCTCTTGGAGTTTGATAGCGGCTTGCCAGGCCTTCTTGAAAGGGCGTGGATCATATTTGGCCTGTCGCGCCCTCCTGGGACTACTAGAAGGCGGCTTGTGAGTGTTCGCATGTCACACCATATGAAAATGCGTCTAATCGCGGTTTCTAGTATACCGGATACAATTCTTTTCTTGTCCTTCTTTTATAAATCCAGTGAGCTGCCAAAAAGATTGACCTGGTTCTGGATTTCCTACACCGTTGCCGGAATTATTGGTTCATTCCTAGCATTTGGATTCCTGCACATCACTGATGCCAACGGCCGCGGTGCGTGGAGATATCTATTTGCATACGAGGGTCTTATCACCGGCGTGATTGGAATTATTGCTGCATTCTGGATGCCAGCGTCTCCCGTCCAGACCAAGGGAGGGCTCCGCGGAAAAAACGGATGGTTCACAGAACATGAAGAAAAGATCATCGTTAACCGCGTTATCCGGGACGACCCCAGTAAGGGCAGCATGCACAACCGGCAAGCAGTCACCCCACGTCGGCTCTGGGAGTCGCTCAAGGATTATCATATGTGGCCAATTTACGCTCTCGGTCTTATCTGGATGATACCTTCCAATCCGTCGCAGAACTACCTCACGCTACAATTACGATCCCAGGGATTCACAACTTTCCAGACGAATTTGCTCACGATTCCAGCGGCTCTCATTGCAATTATTTCCATGACATCAATCACGTGGGTTGCTGAGCGTACAAACCAGCGCCTTCTCTGGGGCGTGCTAGTCGAAGTCTGGAATTTGGCCTTACTGATCGCACTAGAGTTGCTTCCTCAGAAAAGTATGCCCTGGCCCCGTTGGGCAATACTTACTCTTCTTGTCGGTGGGCCGAACATTCATCCTGTCATTGTGGCATTGACTTCACGAAATGCCGGATCTGTGCGGACTCGCACTGTTGCTTCTGCATTGTATAATATGTCTATACAAGTTAGTAGCATTGCCGGTGCTAATGTGAGTTCCAACCTTTGTTTTTCGCTACCAAGAGCTTGAAATAAACCCTGGAATGCTAACAATGCCCAACAGGTGTACCAAGCAAAAGATGCGCCATACTACCGAAAGGGAAACAAAACTCTCATCGCACTAGCTGTCGTCAGTGGGTTTCTTTTCGTCTTCAGCAAGTTTTATTACGATTATTGGAATAGGTATATCCGTCACTTACAGAAATGAGTTTTGAGTGTGCTAGCTAACTTATGTATAGGAAAAACTCTGCAAAATGGGACGCTATGACAAGCGAGCAAAGAGAGCTTTACTTGCGTGAAAACCCCGTTCTGACTAACAAAAGGTACGTTGGCGCTGTTGAGTACGTAACTGACAGTACTTACCAACTGACCATCTTTCCCAGAATCGACTTTCGGTTCGCTCGTTAAGGTGTATATCCGCTGGAGAAATCCGAGAACTGCGAAAATATTGCGCGTGATTGCCGCGAGGAAAAACACATCGTGTTCACGAATAGAAAGTGTGGTCAAAATTCAGATCATAACTTTTAATTTGAGATTGATTGGAATAGTATGTCCGGTCCATCAAAGAAATGGATTTATCTGCGTCAGAATATCACCCAAATGAGTCTCGATGTTAGTATAGCAAGAAATTCATTGAACACCAACTTCATATGCAAGCTCTTGGCGAGGATAGTTGAAATTACACAATCATGGCTCAATGAGGTTGTTGGTGGTAATCTTAGCACCATGCGGTGATGTGGCAATATGTCGTCAGCGCCGGGTTTACATACGTTTTCCCTTAGACGTCCTAACTCCCGACCCCCGCAGTCTATATATAGCTGACGGTTCGCCAGTAGACCTTTTGCCAGTAATACTTCACGCATCTACATATCTGGTACAATTTAATATACCGATATCGCGCCAATACTCTATAGAACTTACATCACTTCGATACTTATATAGTCTAATTCATGAGGATCGAGTTTTTAACGCCTGGATCTTTGATACTTGACTCTCAATGTAAATATATATTACTTCGATTGACGACTGTAAGTTGATGTTATAAGTTCTGGACTTCTTCGGAATTTTCAATCTGATGTCTATGGTTTACGAATTTTTGCATCTTGGAGATAGGCTATCTTAATTTTTGATTTCATCTAGTTTCTTAATTTCCTGCTTGAATTAATTGACACGGTCTACCAGCGCACTGGCGGCTACAAAGTGCCGTACTCCCGACTCTGAACTGAAATGTATTGGAAGTGCAAATGGTATCTGCGTGTATATTCCTGGGTACGACATATCTTGACTAATATTGAAATGGGACAAAAACCATTCTTCAAGTCATTACTCTCCTGGAACATTTGAAAATCGATACTACAAATGATTAAGGCTTAGTTTCACTCTCAGGAACATAAGGCGTCTCATAGGGACGCTCAGCCTGTGGGGTAATGCGCGCCAAATGGCGACGTTCGCCAGTCGTCCAATCAATGATCACTGAATGAGCTGTGACGCGGTTCTGTGTCACATACAAATATCAGTATGTTGAATTTTGGCCAAGCATCGAAAGTGTCACTTACATCCCAGACAACAACGGTCTTCGGGGCCCATCGAATACGGGTTTGGAAGTCAATGCCGCGACCCACATGGGCGAGCAGGAAACCAAGAAGGGCATCACTTTCCTCCTTCTTGAGACCGACAATACTGCGAGTGACTGGTCTTGGTGTGAGTACATCTTCTTTCCAAAGAATGTGCAACAATACTTACAGCCGCCATTAACGAAAAGCGCTTTCTCGCCAGTCACCGGGTGTGTTCGAACAAGAGGATGCTCGGTCTTTATCGGCTCCCTTCGAACAACTCCCCCATTCTTCAGACTGAACTCAACCTGCTCAACACCGGAGTGCACAGCCTTCAACCCATGCAAACGCTCCTTGAGCGCCGGTGAAAGCCGGTTATAGGCCTCGACTTGGTCGACGAAGGCAGTGTCACCGCCCACTTCCGGGCTGTCAAGGACGTACAAGAACGTAGTACCAGGTGGCTGCTGCTCATACGTAACATCCGAATGCCATGAAACACTGCTGTTCCTGGTAGCGAGGAATTCATCATACTCCCATGCATTCTTGCTCCGGTGAACAAGATGGATCTCAGGATATCCCTCCGGAGCTCCGCTAGTTGGATGGATATGGTGGCGGCCAAAGTACCCTCCAAAGTCCAAAGCATCCTGAATTGGAAGATCGGCAAGGTCTTGGTCCCTGAAGGCAACAACCTTACGTTGTGCAACAAGAAGTGCCAGCTGGTCCTTTCCGGCAGGCGTGAGCTTGCTTAGCTGAATGCCTGTAACCTCAGAGCCGATACTTGGAGTCAAATTTTGGATCTTGGAACCTTCAGTAAGAAGGTCTTTGAAGGAGGGATCGGCATCTTTCCCGTGGTCGACGTGGGCAAAGGGTTCCAGAGGTGGGTATTTCTCGCCATGGTCGTAGATAGGTAGGTAGTGTGGATACTGCCTCATTGTTAGTTAATCTATATGTGGAGAGACCCCAAAGTCTTAGAAAGCCGTGACCCACACTAGCAGTAGTCTTTCCACCTTCCTCGTCAATAATCCTCCTCACTTTGGGTTTAGTCGCAGTTGTTTCAGGCACAGCCTTCACAGGAACAACGACTTCCGCTGTGGGAGTTTGGGCAATAGATGGGGCCATGTTGTGGTAAATTTGATATTGGTAAGTAAGATGTTGTCTTTGGTCGAGTTAGAGCAATTATCCCTTCGGATCTGTGGAAAGCGACTTTCTTAAATATACATGGATCTGAACGAATATTTCCTTCGCGCAATTTCTCAGAGAATCACGTATGAATTCCTCCGTGTCCGATATACGCGACAGGGTCAAGCAACATATGAAAGCACCGGGTACATACATTATTGACATTGCTGATCATCACAAGCCGTGATATCCGTTCTATCGAGTCACTGATTTCTCGCGTAATTTCAATTTCCACATGATACAAACGCACGCGATAGGCGGATGCATAATAATTATGTCTAGGATTTCTAGAGATAGATGTTATCGATCGCTCTGGCCACGGTATGGAGTAAATGTTGTAACGAAGCCAATCTCGCATCGCATGGCGGGACATGGATTGGAATTGACGTGCTATATCTGTAAATAGCATCATATGTTTGCCAATGGCCGCGCATTATACATAGTGCTCTTGGATGCATTAATAATGTTTGCATGGCGTGATATGATGCGACTTACAACCCCGCGAACGGCCAGGGGTCGATAATGTATCCAATATCAGGGCCCCGCGACAATAGTGACAGATATAGCACATAAATAGATGTGGTCAAAACAGGGGGACATGTAATAGGTGAGACATCCCGATCAAGCAAGGTCGATACTTTCAGTATAAAAAATAAAGATTTGAGGAAGAGTTTAAATACTACCAGCATCCTTACAATTATTTCCGTTCCTCGTTTGGCAGAATGAGATGTTTCCCCAAATCCCACAAAGCCTACAACCTAACCCAATCCAACCCGCAAATTGGCTAGGCTTCTTCTTTGCGCCCACCGGTAGGCCATAGACCCCGTTTCCCGCTTTCATTTAAGGAATATGCTTTTTCATGTTAATTAATATACGATAAATTGATGCTGAGTTATGTAAAGCACGTTGGAAACGCGCGAAAATGCGCTATTAGAGAAATGCTAAACTACAGAGGCCCAAAAAAAAAATCGTAGTACTCCTGTATAGATCCAAGACATATATCTACAGTGTCAATATATCCCCGATATCTCGACCAAAACTTCCAACTACGTAAGGGATCTAGTCGAGTCTAAGGTGTAACTTAGCTCGCTGGACCCGAAATACTTGAATCAGCGTCTTAGAGGGCGACTTTTACTACCGAAAACAACAGCACTGGGTGATGTCAGAGCAGCCAGACTTGTCATCGATGCAGGGGTAAATATGCATACATGAGATAATATATGATGGTCTGCATGTGCGGATAGCTGTTATATCTGGAAATTTAGCTGGAAATAGAGCATTTTGTTGTGCCCTTCAGTCCGTCCTATGGTTGGCCACCCAGGCTGCGAGTGTTCATCAAAAGCATATGGATGAAAGCGGTTGAAAGTTGTCCAAACTACAGAGTAAATTGAAGAAAAAGTGGAAAAGATGAATATTGATGTTACTATTGGAACGACTAGAGACTTCGAAATCCAAGAGCCGATCCGTAACAAAGTCTAGTGACTAGGCAATAGTTTATTACCGGCAGTACTGATACCCAGATTAGTAAGGTTACTGCTAAATAAATCACGGAGGGGCAAAACGCATACCCAGTTCTCACTTCCGGATTTCTTCACGCATGTCTTGCCATGGCAGCATTTACCATCACCGGGAGTTCCACTACCGATTCTGCACAAGTCTCCCGGACGATGACAGCAAGGGAACTCATCACAGGCGGCCATAGCCAGAGCTAGGAAAGGGGCGAGCCAGAAGATATACTTCATTTTGATGGACTGAGAGTGTTCGTTAAGGTGCTTTGAAGAGAAGGAATGTCATATACCGGAAGCTTGTAGTATAATGGGAGATGATCTGTTATAATAGACTGGTGATCATTGAAACTGAGATTCCGAGTAACATATCGATGGATATTTATACCTTGGGTGCTGAACCAGAAGCCAGGATTACTGTGCTGTTTTGGTGCTCTCGTTTAGGTAAAGAATGAAGATCATCTTGGCAAAGCTTGGGAAGTCGGACGCCTTGCAGTAACTGGGACGCCTTAAACTGCACATTTGATCCTTCGAAAGTCAGCAAGAACTCTAGGCAAAGAGCTGAAAGAAGGCACCCATGACGGATTCTGCAGCCACACCCTGAAATTGAAAGGGCTTTGTGGGGGAGTGAAATAAGGTTCTCGTCAGAATTCTCGAATCGTGGCTCTCATTGGCATATCTTCTCGGGCTCACCTCACCATATCTTGGCAATGGACCCTGTCAATCTCGATTTCACATAAATCAATCTTGGTCATTATATAAGGTCTTCGAGGTCTTGGCACTGGGGCCACATATTTTCTCGGCGCGTATTGGTCAAGCTAATTGGGAAAATGACTGTCGACGCATCCCTGCATTGACATGTAACAAATTAGGGGTTCCGCTGTATCCATCCCCAGTAGCTGAGAATCTCGGGTGAAGGTGATTGGTATCGAGCAAAAAGGCACTCGGAGAGCATTAGATCCGTTCGTGAGGGAGGTTGCCTGAATGGTCATAGGTCTGGGTTCCAAATCGCAGGTCATCATTAGCCCCATGGCCAAGCATCAGTTGAATAAAAAATGCGGGATTATAATGTTTTTGCAATCAGCTGATGTCACCTTCAGTAGCGTTGACATATCAGCAGTGGAGAAGGGATTAAAGGCTCAAGAATCACGAGAATCGGGGGCTAACGCGTGCGCTTCCACACTCTTTGCACGACTCGCTTGGTTCATTTCCATCTCAGTCTTCAGAACACAGCCGCCGGTATCTCAGATGTTCCCTGGCTTCTCGTTCTTGAGACCATCAATGCGCCCTGGATGTTCAGTCAGCATGACCAATAGGGTGGATCTACAAATGAAAGGCAGAACCTTGTGTAGGGCACCTGCTTGGCAAGCATCCTAGTAGGGTCGTTCGTTTCGATCTGCTCAGAAATAAGACAAGTACTACACATCAACACAGTGGACTCGCTACGTCTGATGTTTGTAGTTTTCAGACGGACAGGGTTATTCTCAAAGCCAAGAGCCCGATGGTTCTGATCAGCATTGACTGCTGGCCCCAGATCCCCATATTTGGGTGCGATCCTGGGACGATCGTCGATGAGGTAATTTTACCATTGGGTAACTTTGACACCGTGCAGCACCTGTAGTCATCAGGCAACCGAGCCCCAACTGAGCTAGGCAAAGATCAGAAATGCGATATATCACAGCTGAACCCACAAACAAATGCACTCGGGCGAGTTATTCGATGCAGCTGAATTGGGAGCCGAGTCATCGAATCCCGGACCAAAGGAACGTCTTCGAGGTAAATGAGTTGACAGAGAGCAATCTGAGCACCTTAATGAATTTCACTACCGAGCTGCCCACCCTACTCAACCTATTGAGCTTAAACACCAGTGTCTCGGTTGAAACACCATGGAATTATTAAAACCTAAGGAAATCATCAATCTGGACATCTAGCAATTGAATATTCTGTACTCCGTACTCCGTACTTTAACACAAACTACAGCTCGGTGAAGCCTATGGATCTGTTGAAAACGCCGGCAGGGGGCTTCTTCGGCAGGGGTCGGGGCGGGCAGTCGCTTTCACTGCCTCCACAGGCTCAGTATCCAACAAAAAAGCTTCATGAACTGAGAGGAATTCTTCCCCGGGGATGAAGATTTTGCCTCCAGTATGCTTTGGCTTTGATTCATTGCCAAATTAAATACCGGCGTTGGGCACAGCGCGATGGTCTTGTTACTGCGATCAGTTGGACTACTATTTGAAAAATTCTGATAAATATGAATTGTTTGCTTCACTCGGGGAAGGAGCGGATAGCCTTCTGCCTCCTCCAAATTGAACCATATTGCTATCTTCAAACCCTTCTTCAATGCCTTTACTCTTGTCACCCGTGGCTAGGCTTCCATATGATCCGTTTGGGGTCAAAAGCTTATAACCTAGACCTAAGCTAACTCCAGTAACTAGAGCCCTAGCTAGTTTGGCCCAATTGGACCTAAATTTAACATACATTGTGGTATAAGACTGTGAATAATGTACCGTTAGCTTTCTCTGTAACTGTTTCTGAGCAACTCAATATCAATCACAAAGATTACATAGACAAAGACTGTCACAAGAATCATAAGCTAATAGTTGTGGCTAAATGCATTTCTAGTCGGGGAAATTATATCACGATCCAAAGGGTCCTTGATTCTACTACTGTTCGCCGCCTCCAAGGCTTCCAATTGGAGTTCTTTAATCTAGTTGATCGAGGAAGAGGATGCTTCCTCGGTTCTATCCGGAAAGTAGTCTAACTGGCGCATAACGACTCACATATAATCATTCCTAACCTTTGGCTTGCTCCAATGGTCTAAATATATCTGAAGTTCTCCTTCTCTGATCCTGTTTTAGCACCTCACTTGTGTTTTGTTCTTTGATTTGTGAGGAAAATCCCTAAGCTGAACATCAAAGGTCCAGAGCATTCATTCATTCTAGTTTTTGTTTTACTCTGTGACAAAGAAACCGAGAAAAAACAGTATAGCAAAGGATACAGCTGTATTAGACGAGTCTTACGGCTTAGAGCCTTTTTTTTAAAAGGAATTATTCTTTGTGATAGCTATATCATTTCTTTGAACTTTCCAAGCCAAGTTGACTCAGACTCGAGCTTGCGACTGCGCAGTTTTTATCTACGACCTATTTTTGCTGACAAAAAAGGCAGTGCACACACCTTTAGATATCTGGATCCCCCATCTTGCTTGGGTATTTGTATCGAGGAACTTGTTAATTCGCTAGTCAAGCATTCTGACGCATACTGTCTTCAACATGTCAGACCGATACAACTTTCGACGTAGTACTCGCAGTCAGAAAGTACCACCTCAGCCCCCTGGGGGCTCACCACGAGATCCAACTCGACGTATAAAACTCAAGATAGAAGACCTTGACCTTGACAAGTCCTATGTTGGCATTTCGGTACCAGCCAAGCTACCAGCACGGCCAAAGAAGAGCAGACCATGGACCAAATGGGAAGGAACGAAGCCTCTTACCGACCCAGCTAGACTTCCTCACGGCTGGCATATGAACGAGGACGATCTTGATCCTGCGTAAGGCCGCATCGAATGAAATTGTTATAAAACAACAAGTTAATCATGAAAGAATAGGGATATTGACGGCCAGATCGACAGATGTCTTGAGAGAATTGCTGAAAACATAATGCCCCATGTATTTGAGCAAAGGTTGAAGGAGTATACGGCTTCAAAAGCCGAATTCGAGTCAGTCCTCTGAATTGACGTTGCCTCTACACAGATTCTGACATTCATATATTGTAGCGCGATGATATTCCCGGGGTCTGAGGAGCTCAGCTGGGAAGCCATTCAAAGGGTGCATGAATTGGAGAGCATGAAGACGGATGTAGCGGCTGCTGCGGATCAATATGAACAGCTTCCAAACATAGAGGCTATTTTGGAAGAATATAAATCGTGCGAGCTTGAGTGGAATATCGGACTTGTCACCTATTGGTCGAGAGGAGTCCAGATCTGTCAACCTAGACGATTTGACTGGGATGAATTCGAATCCATTAACTCTCACTTCAACGGCGATAAAGGATTTTGGACAGAAGGGGTAATTATTTTCGCCAATGATTTCAACCGACTCTCTAATCATTGTTGTTAGCTCACAGGTCCTGAACCCGATACCTCCTCTGCCGAGATAGTTGCAAGTCCAGCTTTGGGCGACCCGAAGTTGATTGGGGTAAAATCTATCTGGCCCAACCCTCGTCCACGCTTTGCTAACCTTGGTCCATCCAGGTAAAATTAGCCCTCCGTCTCCCGGGAGCAGACTGGTTTGCCGAATTTGACTTTGTCCACGATAAAGAGTGCAGCATGATGAGCATCTATCAAGCAGACCTTGAAACGCTGCTTTGCCCTATTGGTTCTACTGTTGGGCCAACGATACCGGTTGTGACTATGGCAAGGACTCGTGTTTCAGGTGGAAGCATCATAACCAGGCAAGTCATAGAGTTGGAAACCACGATTCTGGATGGAGATCGTCGGAAAATGATTGCTTGGACTAGAACCATGTGCTCTCTCAACCCAGGAAGCTGGACATTGAGTGCGGTTCCTCGACTATATGGCCCGATTTTGCGAGATCTTTTAAATCAGGGGGCCTCACCTGCTGGCCGTAATTCACATGTCGCAAACACGAGATCTGGAGTTCACCCGCCAGATCTGGACCTGACCAGCAACACACCAGCGCGCGGCACACAATACAGATCGCGCTCTCCGATGCCGACAAGAACCGTGGCCGAAGGATATGATATGTGGTCACCGGGGATCAAACGAACCCTGGCGATGCCGCTTGCCGCACCTGGAGCCCTTCGATGATACACCAAAGACCGTTTCTTTCGTATCTCAGCCAAGTGTCTGTGTTTGGGCTCATTCTTTACTTTTGATTCGTCGCTTTTCCTTTTCTTGGTCGCTTGAAGTGCATCACTGTGCCGGTTCAGGCTGTCTCGATTCAACATACTCCGTAGCTTTTCAATATCTCTGACATTTGTAATTTTGTGCCTTTTGCCTATAAAGTCCAAACATATAGAAAGATATATTTGCTTACACTATTGTCAATGGCCATGGCCGGGGGGGGTGGGGAAGGGAGATCGTCCATGTCACAGTCAGAATCGATAGACTTATTACAACTTTCTTCTCCACTCTCGTGCGTCTCGGAATTTTTGTGCTCTTTGATATGTGGGAGTAATATTGCACGAAAACAATAGCCGTCGATCAAATATTCAGGGCGGCCCATGAAGATCACAGTCGGACGCTTCCCCTTTTCCTTCCTCTGACCTCTGGCTCTCCTTTTATTCCAAGTCCCATAACACAAATTACAACGGCGAGCTTTCTGGAAGGTAAATTGCGCCAAAGGCTGTCAGTCGCGAGATGGGTACTCCGTACATAAAACGATTTTGTTCAGTGGTTACCGTGACGCTTGAGGCCACCAGGTACACGTGACAGGATGCACCTATGGTCACTCCCCTTCTCTCTCCCGAGGTCCCGCTTGTCCGATATCGAATGTCGTACATAATTCGTTATCTATATTATTCACGGCGCTCTTTGAACCATGAAAAGTTTTCCTCCGAAAATTCTCGCCGAGACACAGCTAGTCCTGTGATCCGCGCGAACATGCTTGGAACTAGCGAAGCTCTGACTCGATGCCAGAAGACAAGCCCGATCATTTGTGGTTGAAGATAGCCCCACGCCGCTTGTTAATTGATGTGGGCCATTCATCTCGATTGAACACAACGATGTTTGCAAACTCAACAGATTTCCATCCACGCTCGAAGAAAAGGAAATCGTTTCACTGAACGCGCGGGAAGAAGCTCGTTTTGAATCATTCGGTGTTGGCTATTCAGGCCCCTCCCCTGAGCTTGGTCAGATCAATGGAGCAAGTAAAAATGAGCGCAGTTGCAAAAGACGTACTGTATTCAAGCTAGTGGTAACTGATCAACGCTTGCACGCCAGGGCCCACAGATGATTCCCGCCATGGGAAGTCCCTGAGAACAATACCTTTGTAAGGTTTTTCTCCCATCCCCCAACTTTCATCTCTAAAACTTGCATTCCCAGAGGCATCGATTTCCCAGCCAAACTCAATCATCATGGCTTTCAATGAGAAGGCAGCCGTGAATGACACGGAGCTGGGAAGCCCTAGGGACTCCACTGAAGAGCACGAGGTTTTCAAGAAGACCGAGGACGGCGTTAGCTTCCGCAGTGTTGGGTGGTTCAAGGCGTGTATCATTTTCGTGAAGGTCCTCTTCGCGACGGGTGTTCTATCGCTGCCAGCTTCACTTTACTCCCTCGGTGCGGTGGGTGGCTCGATCAGTATCGTCGCATGGGGCGCGTTTAACACGTACTCTTTCGTGATTCTGGGCGACTTTCGCAAGAAGCACCCTCATTGCCACTCCATCGCCGATATGGCAGAAGTTGCCGGCGGTTTCTTCGCAAAGGAGCTTACCGGTTTGCTCTTCCTCATTGGATATGTCCTTGTCGTGGGTAGTGGTATCATTGGAGTTTCAACGGCCTTGAATGCGCTTTCGCACCACTCTGCATGCACTGTCTGGTGGTCTTTGATTGGAGCGGTTGTCATCGTTGCGACAGCTTCTGTACGCAAACTCCAGCATGTGGGATGGCTCACATATGCAGGCTTCATCTCAATCTATGCCGCAGTTCTGATAGTTGTCATTGGAGTCACAACGCGCGACCGGCCAGCTGCCGCGCCTCAGGAGGGCCCTTACGACCTCGGCTATGTCGCCATCAACAACCCTGGATTTGCTGCTGGCATGGTTGCTTCCAGCACTATATTCGTCTCTACGGCCGGTACCAGCGCTTTCATCCCAGTGATGTCGGAGATGCGAAACCCAAAGGATTATAAAAAGGCGTTGTATTGGTGCATGATTGTGGTTAATGCGTCATACCTCGCTTTCAGCTTGGTTGTTTATCGTTGGTGTGGACAGTGGGTTGCTAGTCCATCTTTGGGTGTATGTACAGCATATCCTCCGCCTGACGCTGGCTTCGGATGCAGTTAGCTAATTTTTCTTACGCACAGAGCGCCGGGCAGACGATCAAGATGGTATCTTACGGTGTTGCACTGCTGGGACTGGTTGTAAGCGCCACAATCTACTTGCATGTGAGTATCTCCCTCGCAATTCATGCTGCAGGAACTAATTGTCGTATCCAGGTCGCTGCCAAATACATTTTTGTGCGCATACTAGGTAATACGCGCCATTTGCAGGCCAACACTGTCGTTCATTGGGCGACCTGGCTGGGTTGCACGATTAGTCTAGGTGCTATCTCCTTCATCCTCAGCGAGACTATCCCTATCTTCAACTATCTGGTTGCCCTGATTGGGTCCGTTTGCTTCGCCCCCCCTCGCTATGTGTCTCCCTGGTTTCTTGTGGCTACACAGCAACAGTCACTACCGAAATGGTACATTTATGCAAAAGGTAATTTATCTATTGCACTGGGGAATGGTTCTTCTCGGAATTTTCTTCCTTATTGGTGCGACGTACGGTGTTGTCATTCAGATCATTGATGCCTACGCAACGGGAATGATTGGTATGTTTTGGTATAGCCCCGATAGCTCCGACGTGCGACTGACCTTTTTTTTTCATAGGCTCCACTTTCAGCTGCCTCGACAACTCCAATTCATCATGAAGTACGCATGTGTTTCTGGGAAATTACTTTTTGTCTAGTCGACCTGGTTAGGGATCGGCTCTCAGCTTGAGTGATATATATGCTCGAAGCGTGCTTATAAGGAGGGTCGGAGTGTTCATACTGTGACGAACTATCATAGAATGTTATGAAATTTTCGACTCAAGGCTCGTCTAATTCTCAATTAGTCCTGTTAGGACCGCTAAGATACGCGCTAGCCTCTACCATCTCCACTCGGTCCCAAACTTGGTCCCCGTGTGGTCCCCGGAGTTCCGCGTCCGGAACCCACATGTTCTTGCCGCTCTAACCACATTCGACCTGGTTCTTGCCTATCAAAACCTTGATTCCTTCCCGCTTCTCCTTTTGTTGTCGACGCGAGGGTTCTCTGCCGCTTGAGATCAAGGTGTTCCTGCTCTCGTATTATTCGAGGTTATCGGTGGTAGAACCTTTGCCACGTGATTTGATTGAATCTCAAATTCGTGACATCCCGTGTGGATCCACCCGCCTCAGTCCACTATGTACTGAAGTTTTCGGGCTCGTGGTTTCGGATGTGGGGACTGAGAATCGTGCCGTCCACGATGCCCTATCGCAGCAGTTTATCACAGATAATGGTGGGCACGTACTTCATTCCGGCTCCCGCAACGCGAAGGACGAGCTCAACCATTTCTCGACAGGCGGCAACCTACTCCGTATCGAGACCTAGCTTTCCATAACCAGTACTCGAATGATCATCTCGTATCATTGCAATCCCCAAGTCAGCATGTACAAATCCAACATTGAAGGGATGATAATCATGGATTCCCGTCCGTTCAGCGGCGTCTCAGCTTCACGGTGACCTAATAGGTCACCTCTTACAAATCTGGGAGGTGATCTCTCTACGAAGACAAATGCCGTATCTGCGACCTTTTTGTCTGGCGAAAGAGCGCCTGCCGAGTACTCCGTATCGAAGTCGAATCTGTGGACCTTCACCGAAGAAAAAAAAAGGGTATTTTTCTCAAGTGGGAGTTCTTGCCATTACAACCATTTCTCCTCTTGATGTGATCTCTACGTCACCTTTTTACCTCCCTCGCGTTCAAGAGAAAGATTGCGACAACAGTACTCGAATCACTGAGTACATTTATCACCCGACCACCCGGTCATAAATCGGCTATCCCCTTTTGGAATACCGACATGCCAACAATCTCGGTACTGATTATTGCGGGGGTGAGCGCGGGGTATCCTATACCGGCCTATCTACGAGCAAAAAGAATGACTCGCATGGCTACAGCCAGACTACCTTGAGCTATAAGTGGCATAGCCAAAGTCTCGGATTCTCCATGCAACATTTCGAACCCCAACCAACACTCGAATTATACACTGTACATCTACATTATAGTTGACCATGCCTCTTCCTAAATACACATACACGGGCCCCATCGACCACTCTGTGGTACCAGATCTGGCCAATGCCAAAGGCAAATCTGTCATCATTACGGGCGGCGCAAATGGAATGGGCGAGACCATGGTGCGCACCTTCGTCGAAGCCGGCGCGTTTGTCACCTTTGGAGACCTTCACCCCCGCGGAGAAGATCTTGCCAAGGAACTAAATACGAATGGTGAAGCCGCCGTGTTCGTCAAATGTGACATCACAGACTGGGATCAATTGATTACTTTATTCGAGACGGCGAAGACCAAGAGTCCGCACAACAGCGTTGATATCGTCATCGCAAATGCGGGAATTTCGCGTGCCTCGGGTGACAGTCTGTGGAATCTTGATGGTAAGTCCTTCTTTCTCCGACAAGTGGAAGTTTACCGTACTCGAACATCAGTTCTGTCCAATTGCGTGGGCTCAAGGCACTGACAGCCGACAGATCCCAATGGGCCACCCACGAAGCCCAATCTCAATATAGTCCGTGTCAACATGGATGGAACATTCTATACCTGGAAGCTTGCGGTTCATTATTTCAGGAAACAACCAGATACCGCCGACCGTGACCGATGCTTCATCATGACTGGAAGCATGGTCGCATACATTGATTCACCGGTAAGTATGCCATCTGCGCCTCTTTTTATTTGCTCGTCTATCTTGCACTTATCTCATGACTCACCAACACGTTAGGGGAACTGGGAATATACAGCAACCAAGTACGGCCTACGGGGTTTCATGAAGACCGTGCGTCGAAGCAGTTGGGAACAAGGAATCCGAATCAACTATGTTGCGCCATGCTGGATTAAAAGCGCGATTCGGACCAAGGAATACGAAGCTTGGCTGATTGAGCGCGGTGTCGAGTTTGGCGAACAGGCTGACTGCGCCGGTGCGATGATGCGCATCGCTTGTGATAAGTCAATTAATGGTATGTCGGCTGATAACCCTTTCCCTTTACCTTATTTTCGAGAAATCAGTGGCGACACAGTGACTAACTTGACCAGGACGCTCGCTCATGATTACACCGAGGAGCATAGCTAAGGAGGGATTCATGGATGTAGACAAGGAAGACTATTCTGATCCCAAAGACGCGTACTTTGCAAAGAAACAAGCGTCGCAATTGGTTATTATTGAGGATAAGTGGCTGGACGATTATAAAGTGAGGATTTACAAAGATTGAATCGCGTTTCATTGCTGACTATCAGCAGAGACAAGGTCAAGGTCGGCCAATATGAGGAGCAAGTTTGACTACCGTAGCATATTTAGCTCAACATTGGAATTAAATGCAATCCACGTGGCTTCATTGCACAGTAATTATTCTGCGTGTATAACTATTCTCCGCGTAGATAATGTCTCTCCAAATCCGCCCCTTCGAGGTGTCCACCAATATGCTCGTGTGGCTCCACAGGATAATCCGGGGAACGCTTCGGTCCAAAGTTAATGGCCACTCGGTATGCTCGGCTATGCCGGCAGCGCCCAACCGAGCGGCAGACCCTGGTAAAGACTCATGGCTAGGGTGATTCAAGCGCATATACCTATAAAGCGCCTGTAATCGCTCTATCCCCACTCAGGAGGACATAGAATATATATTTGCACATTATGTCAGTATCTGCAAGCATTAATATCCCGTCTTCTATGTACGCCTGGAGGAAGCATAAGGGAAACCCCGACCCTGTGAGTAACCGCGAACTCATGAAAGAGAAAGTTTGCTGACTGTCACGCTGGTATGGGAAGAGGTCCCAGTCCCCGCAACCCCCCCCGTGGGGGATTCTTAGTGAAGTTGCTAGCTTCTGGGGGTGAGTGGTCCATAGTCGTTATTGGTATCGCCGGTTCATTATGCTAACATCTGTACTAGTTTGCCACAGCGACTATTCACTACTCACGAGTGAAAAGCAGCGTCCTTGGTTTCAAGAAAAATATACGCTGGTGTGCATATCGTATCGGACTAGTCCTTATTCCGAAGGTTTGATAGGCTGACCAGGTTTCATCTTTTCAAGGGTCATGAAGGATGCGGCGAGATTGTACAGATAGGCAAGGAAGTGAAAAATGCCGGATTTAGCGTGGTAGGCTGTGCAAAACCACTTCCAGGGGATACATCAGGCCTAAAAACATCATAGGGAGATCGAATCGCGACGATTGCAGTCCCAGGCTGCGGATCAGAGGACTGTGCAGAGTGTTCACGGGATCTAGCACAGCTTTGTGAGCAGGCTCACCACGCTGGCATTGGTCAGGATGGCTTCTATGCACCCTTTGCCGCGCTAGATCTTCGAGCGGTAGTTCATGTTCCGAAAGGTGTGTCTCCATGATGACATTGTACGGCTTGGTCTCACAAATCTTGCAGGAATTCCGTCGTCCGTCGCGGCTGTTGCAACGGATGCTGTCAAGACAAGCTACCATGCCATTGTGAGACGTGCGGAAGTCAAGTCTCATGAGACGGTGTTTCTCTTCGGCCTTGGAGGCCTCGGGTTCAACGCGTTGCAAATTGTTCTGCATATCGGGGCTAGGGTCATCGTATCTGATATTCGACAAGAACAGTTGGAGGAGGCTGCAAGGTTTGGCGTTCCTCGACAGGATCTGGTGCCGGCTGGAAAGTCGGTGCAGGATTTTGTGCGCGAGAATGGGTTGCAGGGCAAGATTGATACCACCTTGGACTTTGTGGGAACCCACCAGACTTTTCAAGATGCACAGAATATTGGTAAGTGTTCATTAACCAAACTAGTTTCAGGGTGCTGACCATTGTGTAGTTCGTAGAGGCGGCAAGCTTTTGTGTGTTGGTACTCTTGATGAGGAGAATACAATTGACATGAAAATTGGGATTCAGAAGAGGTTGAGTATTATCTTCACATATGGCGGGCAATGGAGGGATCTTAAGGAAGTCCTGGATTTGATTTCGACGGGAGTCATTCGGCCTCAGGTTGAGACTGCCAGCTTGAAGGAATTTCCACAGGTCTTGAAGGATGTTTGCGACGGGAAGGTAAAGGCCCGGGTTGCCTTGCTGCATGAGTAGTGGAATTTCCTTTAGATATTGAAGAACATCGTATTCTTGTACAAACCTATATATAAACACATACACGTCAGCATCGATAAACTGTACCACAAGTAAATTATTTCTTTCTTTCCAAGGGTAATTCTATCTATACGATGTTATCCTGTCAGAAATACATTGCGTCCACTCGTAAAGTACGTAACCTTGGAAATATCTCGGTGATAATGTGATGCCATTCTCTGATCGATTTCAACCGCCGACGGAGTATAACATACTTGATGATACAGGGTCCAGCAAACTCATTGAGCAGCATATATATTGCCGGTATCATCTATCAAAAGCCTATAATGTACTGACCGCCATCTTATTCTCTTCCAGATGATATAAAGAGTACCTCCTACAAGCCCTTCGACCTCCAATAGGGTTCCAGATCCCGAAACCAAGTCCACTTGACATTCTGAGCCCATCCCTTCTCCTTCCAACTATTGAGACTCAATGGAAAGTGTTCAACCCCATCTCGAACACTTGAATCATGTGCAATAATAACGAAGATGTTTTCGTCGCAGTCTAATTCTTGCAATTGGTCACGAGTCTTCTGCGCAAGAGGGATATCATGACCAAAACACATTTCGTACATTGTATCTGTTGGCTTTCTGCCTCTCGTGTGCTGCAGGTCATCGAAGACACTGCCAGGGCAGAATGGTACCTCGCTTTGTGCATTATACGGATGTGGAGAGATTGACGCGGGCACAGGAAGATACTTCGATGGTCGAAAGATGCCCGCGTAGTGACAGATATCTCCTCCCATCATGACAAATGTAGGGGGATCTACAGTCGTTCTTGCTAAACCGCAAAGATGCCCAATTGCATGACCCGGGCTATCCAAAAGGTAAAACGATCCATCGCCAAAGTAATCAACTGCAGGGAACTTCCCAATGCGCAGGGCATCGGGACCATCAAATGTTATCTCTCGCAGGGATCGACCACTGTAATGAGTTAGCTTCAGACTCCGGAAGGCGTACAGGTTTATCCCGTAGTACACTAGCACTCACGCGTAATCGCTCTCCCTAATAGGAGATTTGGGATTGGCAGGATAACCAGGCAACATGGCATCTGAGAAGCCGGAGCCCACTATCAACTCAGTGCTACTAGGGAAGCTTGATGGGTCTCCAATGTGGTCCCAGTGCCAGTGGCTGTAAAGGTAATTGTTAGTTCTGTCAAAGGGATAGAATGCTTCGATAATGGATACCTCCAGATAACCGCATTAATGCTCTCCCCAGGGATGCCATTCTCTTCCAGGATGTCAATCACATTTTTTGATACTTGTATGTCATAATTTGTTGTTGGTATATAATCTGCCACAGTGGGCGCATAGTTCTGATAATCCTTCCGGATTCCAAGATCAAAAACCAGCTTTTGACCTGAAGGGTGTTCCAAAAGGAACGTCAAAACAGGCCCAGGCTTCTTTGTTTCCACGCCAGGCACAGGGGGCTCCATGAACCGTTTAATGACAGCTGGTCCGAAATTGACGGGGTTGATCATCTTCACGCTGACCACCTCCTTGCCGGGCGGCAGCTCGATGTGCGGTCGGGGAGTTGCCATGTTTGTTTCAATGTTGCGATTTTTTTTTTCAACCTCAATGGGATGTGATATTGGTGTGTTTTTCTTATGAAAGGTTCCAGCTAAATTGCGGGACCCGCCCTAGAGCGGCATCGGCCTCTCACATCGGTATTTCCACATTGGGATAACCACAACTCCAGACTCCCCCACGCCTTCGGCTGAGCTTGTCCCTTTTTGAATATTTCAACTTTTAAGCGATCTCACTTCGTATCCGCTCATGTTCCCCCGCATTGAGATCCCCGCCCCGGATTTTCGGGAGTTCAATGCTGGCGTCACCTGCTCATGGACAGCGGCCTAGTTTTGATAAAGCTTTCGGCTATGCCATCGGTATTCCTGCTATGGGTTCTCCGTCGGCTGTCTGATTGTACCTAGATGGTAATCCAAATATTATCTCCAAGACGGAGTTCAATCACGCCCAGCAATTGGCATTGTTCAGCAGCTCCGTGTGGATCTGTTCCCCAGGATTTCAGTGCGATACGTCCGGGGATAAAAAGGGGCTCCCAGCCTTTGCCTTGGGGCTTCTTCTGGTCTTCTCTCATAGAATCTGGTTTGGTTTAGAAAATTATTATGAGCTCAATCAAAGAAGATGCCTCCCATGTTTCGAATGGAGAGGAAGGCGACCTGAAAAGGCTCGACACGGCGCACGGCGATGAAGCGATCAAGGTCCTTGCAGCTTATGATGGTGATCAAACCTGGACGCCAGAAGAGGAGAACAAGTTACGCAAAAAGATTGATATGAAGCTGCTTCCCGTCCTATGTATTACCTATGCGTTTCTCTACGCTGACAAGGTCCTGCTTGGACAAGCGGTATGACCATCTTGTCACCTACAATAGTGTACGAACTAATAGCCTTTGTAGGCTCTATTTGGGATCAAAGATGATCTTCATTTAAACAGCGGAAATCGATTCTCCATGGCTTCTTCCATCTTCTACCTTGGGTTCATCTTGGGAGCTTATCCAGTCACCGTCCTGGCTCAGAGGTTTCCCATTGAACGAGTGGCTTCGCTGGCCATCATAGTTTGGGGAACAACTTTGATTGTCACGCCTGCTTGTACGAACTTCCGAGGATTATACGCGCAACGATTCTTTCTTGGCTTCACCGAGGCTGGTATCAGTCCAATTTTCATGATGATCGTTGTATGTCACCTTTGCCACTCTCATCAAATGATCTCGACTCACTGTCATCTAGGGTGGATGGTACAAGAAGGATGAACAATCTCTGCGGATGGGGTATGTCATTACCCCAAAAACGTGCCGCCTCAACTTCTGGCTGACTCTTTTCTAGTGCCTGGTACTCGTGCACAGGTTATGTCTCCATTTTCTCGCCTCTTGTCAACTACGCACTTGGACACCTGGGAGGAGCCTTTTCCCCTTGGTTCTATATGTACTTTCTCGCTGGTGGTCTCACTATACTCTGTGGTGTTCTGATTTACTTCGTCCTCCCCTCCGATCCCATCCGAGCGAAAGGCTTCAACGACAGAGAGCGCTTCATTGCAGTATCTCGCATGAGAACAAACAACTCAGGAGTCAGGAATACCCATTTCAAAGGTTCACAGGCCATTGAGCTCCTGACCGATATCAAATTCTGGCTGATCTTCTTCTACGCTCTATGTGGTATGTTCGCCAACGCGCCTATTTCGACCTTCCAGGCTATCATTATTGATGGCTTTGGCTTTAACCCACTCAACTCCTTGCTTCTTATGATACCCTCGGGTGTTTATGCCGGTACCATGATGTTGATCACAACCTATCTGGCTTACAAATTCCCTGGCTGGCGCGCATACCTCGTCATCATGTCCCAATTGGTTACTATGACTGCTGCTATCATGCTCTGGCTTTTGCCTCGGTCGGAACTAGGAGCGCTCCTTTTTGCCTGCTATATTCTCACGACGACCGGCGCTGGGTATGCAGTGACAATGGGCCTTTTCCTTGCGAACAACGCTGGCTATACCAAGCGATCGCTCGCTTCTTCCGGGCTATACATTGGATACTCACTCGGTTAGCTTTTCCCCATATGTGAGAAAGTGCTGTTACTGATCTCTACTAGGCAATTTTGCAGGACCACAGGTCTTCCGACACGAAGATTCACCTCATTATAATCTGGGATTCATCGTGGTAGTTATAACCGCAATAATTGCTGGTCTGCTTGTGTTGATTTATCGCATCATTTGCTCGATGGAGAACCGCCGCCGTGACAAGATGGGAACCATGGAAGGCTTTGAACATGCCTATGAGGATGACCTGACCGATAATATGGTAAGTGACCCGTGTTACAATTTGGTTTCATTTATTCACTAAGACGCAGAATATGCAATTCCGGTATTCATTGTAAGAGCAGCGATGGCAGGCTTGTTTGGGATTAGTTTCGTGTTTCGTATTGGTGTAGCGAACTTGAAGTGCGATAGGTAGGCTAGCTTTGATCTCAGGAGGATAGAATATCATCCATGTCTACGGTGGATCTACGCGCTCATTAAGTAGCATTTCGTATGCTTCATTGCCATGTTCTAACCACCAGTTAATAGTCTCTGTCAATTCCCCGTGGCCCCATAGTCCAGATTACCTTCCGAATCGAGAAGGCGATGTAGCCAGCAGACCGAAGTTTCATTATGCCGCATCATTGAATAACTAGATACCTCTTAGTATCTGGCTATAGGTAGAGTATTATTCTTATAAGATCATTGAGGGCAAGATTCATTAATTTCATTCGTTCTTGATCTGCACTTATAAGGCAAGGAACAAGATTCTTTTCGTTCATTTGAACTCTCAACTCTTGTGGAAGGCAACCATCGGGGTCGTCGAAAGTCTTTCATATTACCATAGAAGGAAGAACAATTGTTGGATAAAAGGGTGGGAAAGTAGGTATAAATTGAAGTTCGGACTACATAAAATAAACATAACCAGTCAAACTAAGAGATATCAAGGCCTGGAACACATCTTCAAGGGTTGATCTATTTCGCTACCCAGCTCATATCGTTGCCAGTATAGGCCTCAGGCCCTGACTTGGCAACCTTCACATACCATCCCAGATCGGCATCCGGTTTCATTTCCCACTCAGTGAATCCATTGCCTAGGAAGCGGAACGGATTCCCCGAGTTGTAAGCAATATCATAATGCTCCGAGCGGATCTCGCCTAGTAGACGGCGGAACAGAATAGCACTACCTGCGAAAAGATGTGTGACTCGGCCGTCCACGGTGCCTCTCTTGTACCAGCTGCGACAAGAGCCGGACCACACCAATGTCTTGTGGATTTCATCTTGATATTTTCCAAATGCGTGGACAGAGGATGATTTTGGGACCATGTATTTGATGTCTTCTGTGGCAATTTTCTTGATCATTTTCACGAAATAGTCGCCTGTCCAGTTCAAGGCCTCCACGAGGGAGCCATGGCCGCAGAGGCAGTTGGGACCGGCCATCGTGAAGTAATTGGGGAAGTCATCGGTTCCTACTGAAAGATAGGATGTGGGCTCATCCTTCCATTTCTGAGCGAGGTTGACTCCATTCTGGCCAACGAGAGGGTATTGAGGGCACTTGGAAACGTCAAAGCCAGTCGCACAAACCACTAAAATACTTTGTTAGAAATTTCTGGAAATGTTGGCTAAGGGATACTAAACTTACAAACATCGCACTCAAATTCTTGCCCGTCGGCAGTGACAATACCCTTCTCGGTGATTTTGGTTATTGGGCTGGAGGTGAGACTGCAATTCGGTTTTGAGAACGACTCCAGGTACCCAGGGCCTGGGGTAACTCGACGGCAACCGATCTCCCATTTGGGGATCAGCTGTTCACACAGCACAGGGTCATGGTTGAGCTTCTCGGCCATTTGGGCTGATGCGAGGGCCACGGTAGTTTCATTGGGCTCCCCTTTCATGAACTATATAATGTCTCTTGTTAAATTCAATCAAACGGAAGAGTTGAAAGGTGAGATCTCACCAAGCGGAATGCCTTGTTAGTACGGTGAATAATTCCTTTACGATATTCTCTGTGTTGGACGGGATCACGGAAGCTCTTTTTTTCTTCTTCGAGGAATTCCGGGTTGGTATCTTCAGTTTCTCGCCCAAGATGTTTTGAGGGCGGGACACGATAATAGACCCAAGCTGGACCACGAATAAAGTTGCGCACCGTCGTACCGGGAAGTTTGGTCATTTGAGGTACAATCTGGATTCCCGATGACCCATTGCCAATGACAGCTATCCGCTTGTTGGAGTAATCGAAGTCATGGTCCCATCGTGCAGAGTGCGTAACATGACCTTTGAAATCGGAGAGTCCGGTGATCTTTGGCCAGGCAGGGCTCCTGTCGAAATGTTAATTGGGCTTATCTTGAAATTCACATGAGACTGGTTGAGTACGTACACCAAGTTACCTTGGCCCGATATTAAAATGTCACAATACTCATCACGCTCCACTCCATCGTGCTTCACAGTAATCTTCCATTTTCCAGAATCTTCCTGCCAGTAGGCACCGACCACTTGAGTTTCTAACTGAATATCACGATCTAGATTCCACTTTTTCACTGTTGTCTTGATGTATTCTTGAATCGCAGGTCCGCTGGAATAGAAGCGGGGCCAGTCTGGGTTGGGGTCAAATGGGAAGGCCTGGGTCTGTCAGCAGAGAACCTAGATCAGAAGCGGTGGCCGTAGACTTACGTAGATATGAGATGGCACATCGCACTGAACACCGGGGTATGTGTTGACTAGCCATGTTCCTCCAATATCGCTTCGGCCTTCAAAGATCGTATGATCAACAAAGTCCTGAAGCTCAGGGTAGGCATGTTGGAATTTGTGCGCAAGCACAAGCCCAGAAAAGCCGGCGCCAATCGTGATGATACGGAGCTTGCGAGGGTTGAGGGCGTATTGGTCATTGAATGGAACTGAATGTTCCTCGAATCGGTCGCCAGTCGACTTCGGACCATCGGTAGTTTTTCCGTTGATGTGGTCAGCGAAATGTGAACGCAACGTCTCAGGAAGGTCTCTCGCGCTTTTGGTATTGAAAGCCGCCGGAACCTTACCATCTGCCACGGGTGACGTTGGTAGGTCTGGGGTCACGATTGATGGTGCCATTCTCGTGGGAAAGCCGTCTCGATGGAAGATGACGAGGGGGTGGAGATCCAAGTTGAGCTTTTGACAACGCGAAAGCTCTCTGGGCTAGAAAGGCAATCGACAGTTTGAGCCTCTTGGTCTGTCTTTTTGTCGAGAGTCCCCAACTTTATACTAGAACAGGAACGCGGGATACAACCCCCGCTACGCCTACATCCCCTGCCCAGCCTAAGAGGAGGCCGTTCTGTGCCGACAGAGCAATCCATCCCGCCCCACATCACGCCGTGACTTAACTCAAGCGAATTACTTGCCGAAGAGTTCAGACATACTTGCAACGAAGGCCAAGGCTGGGGTAGCCGAGATACTCCGGCGGAAAGGGGCTAGCGTGACACGTGCCTCCGGCAATCCATTTCTGGACACGCCGACATTGTTTGTCACTTGTCCCTGTCTCGGTTGTAAGCAAGAGTCCTCTGAGTCCGAAACGGGCTGCGGATGATCCTTCGAATTGCAAATACTGGCGACTGTGCGGTTTCGCTCAAAGAAAAATTGGGCGGGTGGCACTACTCGGCCTACACATCCGCCCATAGGGAAAATGTCGGTTGGAAGCAATATACCCGTCTATCGACTAGGTGGGTACACAGAAAGTTCACATTTTATCTATGGATGGGATGTCCCCTTGGATGCGGTATGCCTTGACTGCGGTATGCCTGTACACAACAACTTGACCTCTGCTCGGCCTCGGGAGGCTTCCCACAGCTAGGGTTCTACAAAGCCCACAAATGGGCGCAGACCCCAGGCCCAAAGCCCAACCAGCAGTGGACCATGGGCTCAACCTTCGAAGCCCAACTCCACCCAATCGGCTATAATGGGGCCACTCAGGGGGTTGAACTAGGAACTTATAATCAATGTGTTCTGACCCTTCTACTTATCATAACGACTTCAAATTTAGAATCTATAATCTTAAGTACTCTGTAACGATACCATCTACATTCAAATAAAGTCCAAGTAGTTGAAGTCGAGAAATAAACTCCGAGATCAGATATATATTTTAGATCTAGGTGGGAATACCACCATTTTCTAAATGAACCACTATAATTTATTATCTTTCTAAATAGTTCGTTTTCTCGCGTTTAAACGTGATTGAGATACTGATCATTTGTTCACAATATCAAATTGCGATGATAAAACATTATCCCAAAATCTATATATAGAGTGATCAAGAAAATGTCACATTTTCAGATTACTTACATTGTTTGGTACTTTTTGGGCTTTCACCCCGGGCCCCAAACCCAACCCAGTAGTGGGTTGGGGCGGGTTGGACTTTCGGCTTCGTGGGCTTTGCGGAGCGCTACCCACGGCCTACCTTCCCACAAGCGACAACCATATGGCACAGTACCACAATACCTGATCGCTCAGCGATCTTGAAATAATATCAATAAATGATGTGGATAAGAACAGTTCCTACCATGATGTTTCGTGGCCGCAGTCATGACTGAGTCGCAGTTAAGGCAATCTGCCCCCGGGACAGAAACACGCAAACGCGCTGAACTCGCGTGTATATCATGCTAGTCTAAGAATATTGCATATTTCCCACCATCTGTCCATGGAACTTCCAACGTACTAAGAAGACTCCACAGATTATATGTGATCTTTAAGCTCTGCTACTTCAAGGCCAAAGCAGTTGCAGCACTTGTTCATCAATGGGCAGGGTCTGTAGATCCGTGTCTCCCTTCGTAAAATCTCTACCGAGAGTCAGCAAAGCTAACGGCCTATCACGGTGGCGATGATCAGGGCGATGTTGCATCCTCGCACTTCAGCGTAACGCAAACCGATGCTGGCATTGGCGCTGGTAATATGTACATGCATATGGGCCAATATTGACTCAACTCATCACCTAGCTCATCCAAAAGTTCTTGGCTTCGATCCGAGGCTTCTTTTACATCCCGGGTAGATCGCCTTCAATATGCCCAGGGCTACTCAGATACCTGAGCAGTCTAGATCCAAAATGGCAGGAAGGAACTGAAAATGATGCGGGCGCTTGCCGATCTGTTTGAACAAACATTTGAGAGGTTACGATCGAATGACAGATACCTAAGCTCAGAGGAGTTGCCCAATCGTCACTTGGGAAATAAGCAAATCGCTCGATCTCTCAACTCCAATAATGAAGTATTGCACAACGATATAGAGTAGATAGATTATTTTAGTTTTGTTTCCAGTCAGACGAGCTTAGTTGCTGGCAAGCTTCTCACTCAACAGATAGAAAACATGAACTTGGTTTTTTTTTTTTTGGATGGCTTGAGTGACCTGGCCTCCGAAACAATTTCCAAGTATCAAAACCTTTTGGACGCACTTGACCGCTGGGCTGATCCCAGTGTATATGTGTAATCTTAGTTGACAGGAGGCGGGAAAGTTTACCTCATGCTGCATTCAACCGATAGCTTCGCTTAGCCTTTTGGGTTACCATTTGACTGGTCAGCTAGTTGATAGTTCTATCTAATCACTCACACGTCAAGGCATGACCCAACCGCCTACACAACTCCATGAAATGGTCAGTTGGCTCACATCAACCTGGTGGTACAAATGCAAATAGAAATCACGGCAATTATCCACCAGGGTGCGGATTTGCTAATATAATACCAGTTCCGAGCGCCGAGACCGTCGGCAATTCCGGCACCTGATCAAGAGGTTATAATAACACAACCCCTTGCTGGAATCAGAGCTCATCCACAAGCACCCAGCTCAGTGGTATCACAGAGATTTTGTCTACGATTACCTGCCACATGATGTGTGACTTTTCAAAATACGGCGTTCCCAGCCAGGAGTGGCTACGTGTGGAAGCCACGTTGCCAGTCGTGAAAGAACAGAGTTTGTCAGAGCTGAAGCTAGCCGCCAACGAAGGCAGGGAGTCTGTGGCGCGACAGGCGATGGCAGAGTTTTCGAACCAAGTCTCTACGCGTGATCACTTGATTTCTGGCCGGGATGGGTACAAATTAGAGGCAAGAAGCTATCGTCCAATCTCGATATCTCCCACCGAGGTCCTGCCCATTTACATCCATTTTCATGGGGGTGGTTTTTTGTTCGGTACCTTGAGCTCAGAAGATGCGATATGCTCAAGGCTGGCTATCAACACACAAGCTGTTGTTGTCAATGTCAACTACCGCCATACCCCTGAATATACGTATCCAACCGCCTGGAACGATGCCGAAGACGCGTTTCTATGGGTCTGTCAGAACACTGCTCAATTGTACGGTGATCCAGACAGAATCGTCATTGGTGGAATATCGGCTGGTGCGTGGCTTACCGCTTCTTTGACACGGGCAGCATCGAGCTCGAAACTTGCAGTCTCGCCGACGCCCACCATTTGTGGCCAGGTGCTAATGATCCCTGCTTTGGTGTATACTGAATGTTATGACTCTCAAATGCGTCAAATAAAAGACCCTGTTGTCTCATCCTATTCCCAGAATAAAAACGCACCGATCCTGGATATGCGCAGGAAGCAGTTGTTTAACAGTCTCTTAAAAGTGGAACATCCAGATCCGACTGACCAACGGCTAAATCCTGGGCTTTTATCTGCTGATGATGCGAAGAACCTGCCACCAACAACTCTTGGAATTGCGGGCTATGATCCTCTCAGAGACGAAGGGCTGCTATACGGGAAACTCTTGACCGAGAACGGGTGAGTGAATACTACGTCAGGCTTGATCTCTGTCTCTTCACTAACACACTTTCAAAGTGTACCCACCAATGTCAATGTCTTTAAGGGTGTACCACATGGCTTCCGACGCTTCGGTGAGAGATTGTCAGTTTGCAAGCAATGGGATCGAGTCATGGAAGATGGAATTCGATGGGCTTTGGAGAAACCTTCTGCCTCCGGAAAGTTTATCGTTCAAGAATATTAAAGGGCTTTTTGATTTTTCAACATAGTAGAAGGACTAGGAATCTGCTCAAAATACATTCGCGCGTTTATAGTCTTTCATTCCTCGGGGTCTGTGATAATTTCTTTAGACTAGACTTTACAATTGCTGTCTATCTATCATCAACGAGTTGGCTGTAGTATACAGGCGTCATAACAACCGTGGGATATTCTGTGTTGGAAGAGGAGAAAAAGCGACCTCGCTCACTTTGTCGATTTGAGTATCCCTCTACTCATAATTTTCTAGATTAGAAGTATCTACTTCCATAATATGTATCACGGCATGCCAACACGATTGACAATTCCCTCAATGAGACAATTTCCAAACCGCTTTACTACTCCTCCCTTCTCCTAATTTCTCCTTATTTCCCCCTCTTCCCCCGTTCCCCCGGATTCCCGACAAAACGCGGGGTACGCTGGCCGATGCCGGACTCGGCCATGTCGGTTATCCCAATCAGGAAGGCCGGAATAGAGCCTTTCGGCACATGTTCCGATAATATCGCACCTTCTCCGTTCTATTGGGATCTTACCTAGGACCTAAGCCGGAGATTCGGCAAGAATACCCCTCTAATGACTACCGCGAATGTTATTTATGACTACAACACCATGCTCATAGAAAGAATTTTCCTTAGAAATTCCAAGACAAGTATAGGCACTACATTCAGACAAGATCTTGAGCTACTTGGAGTTCAAAATTGTACCTAGTATTGTCTCTTCTTCTCAACCATGTCACCACCGTCAGCTATTATAGACCCAATGGCTTCAGTCATGACGCCGCCCAGTTTCCCAAATGGGTTTACCAACAAGGGCACTAAGAGCTCCCATCATCATCATCGCCTCAATCCCGAGTATACCATTGTCGAACAGCCTATCGGGACCCGGAGACCACTTCGCGTAGTCTGCCTTGGTGCGGGCTACTCGGGTCTTATGATGGGTATCGTTTTCAATGAACGTATGAAGAATGCCAATGCAGAAATTGTGATTTATGAACGAAACGCTGATCTGGGAGGAACTTGGTATGAGAACCGGTAAGCCGAATAAGCTCTGGATTACACCTACAAGATCACTGTAACTAATCTATTGGTTACAGATACCCGGGATGTCAGTGTGATATCCCAGCACATAACTATGCGTACAGCTTTGCTGCCAACCCGGAGTGGCCGAATTATTATGCGACATCAGAGCAGATCCATTCTTACATGAAAGATGTCGCCAAACAATATGAAGTTGAGAAATACATCCGCCTTCAGCATTCGGTTGAATCTGCGATTTGGAATGAGGAAAAAGGGAAGTGGAATCTCCAGATTAGGCACGGCTCTAGTCTAATCCCAGACGAATGTGATGTCTTCATCAATGCAAGCGGCGTGTTGAAGTAGGTAATCCCTTTCTGGTAATCTCACATATGGCATGTTGACATAATGCTATCGCAGCAACTGGAAGTGGCCCTCTATTGAGGGACTAGAAAGTTATAAAGGAAGACTTATGCACTCGGCGCATTGGGATTCCACTTACGATTTTACCGGTAAACGCGTTGCCTGTATCGGAATCGGATCCTCGGGCATTCAGATTGTCCCTAAACTTGCCAGTGGTACGTTCACAGACTTCGTCGATTGCCTATATCGAGTAACTTACTTTTCCAGTTGTCAAGAATATGGACTGCTACGTACGAAGCCAAACTTGGATCAGCCCAGCTCCTGGGATCAATGAACCGACCGCAAATGACCCAGAAATGGACAAAGATTATAATTTTGCAGAAAGCACCTTAGAGCTATTCAAGGATCCTAAAGTCCTTCGTGACTATCGCGCCGCCATTATGAACCGACGAGCAGAGAATTTCAATCGCGTAATTGCTGATTGCGACCTTCAAAAGCAAGCTCAAGATATGTTCCGAAAGTCTATGACTGACCGGTTGGGCAACAGCGAGAAAGGAAAGCGTGCAGCTGAACTCCTTGTTCCCTCCTTCCCAGTTGGATGCCGTCGCCAAACACCCGGGCCGGGTTTCTTGGAAGCTATTATCCAGGACAATGTCGAACTGAGATGGGACGACGTCTCAAAAATCACCGAGGGAGGAATTCTGACGCGAAGCGGCGTGGAGTTGGAATATGACATTATTGTCTGTGCTACGGGCTTTGACACTTCATTCAAACCTTCATTCCCACTAGTCGGTCGCAATGGAGTCAATATGGCAGAAAAGTGGGAAAAAGACGTCCCCAAGGCATATATGGGCATGTGTGTGCCAGAATTTCCGAACTACTTTTGTAAGTTTTGCTCCCTTCAACTGTGATTTCTTTTTACTTACGGGTTTAGGCTTTGTTGGACCCAATTCACCACTCGCTAACGGATCCCTGATTCTGGGAATTCAAGCGACCGCGGCATATATCTACAAATGGATGGAGAAGATGCAAACAGAGGGCATTCGCAGCTTTGAAATCGAAGATGATGTCAACGAAGAGTACAATCAGCATATCCAAAAGTACCTTGAACGTACAGTATGGACTCGAGATTGTCGCAGTTGGTACAAGCGTGGTACTATTGATGGTCCAGTTATCGCCATATACGGCGGATCCATCTTCCATCTCTTGGAAGCCATGAAGAACCCGCGCTGGGAGGACTTTAAGATGGACCGGACACCTGAAGCAAAGATCAACCGCTTCTCGTATCTGGGCAATGGAACTACCCTAAGAGAAGCTAAGGGAGGTGACATCGGTGCCACGCAAACGCTGGACTTTGATGAGTTTTGGAACCTGTTTAATCTCCCACAGATCCATGATTAGAGGCTATTAGGGCAACTGTGTATATACAACTTCCATATCGTTTTGTTTTCTGTTCGTAGTGCGACATTAGGACTCGATGTCTTTCAGATAATAACAACCTGTAGATCTTTGCATTCTTTCTTCCGTCTAGCATGTTTGACTATACCGGTAGATTTGGATATTCATAATCATCTCCGTATGTGACCCCTAGCAAAAACGATAACGAAGACAATAATCACTTTTTGGATTGCAACCAGGTGTAAATGGGCACCCACTTTCAAGCATACTCTAGCACGAAAGTCAACTCTTGTGTTCCATCAACCACACCGAGGTTGATCGCGAACACGGCACACGAAGACATCAGGCCCACTTGTCCCTTATCATTACTGATCTCGATATGGAAGTCATCCTCCGGTCCCAAACTAGTCCCCGCCTGCTGCAACGGGTCCACCGGCTTGAGAGTAAAAGCCCACGCCGTTTCTTTGGCTCCACCGTACAAGAAGGATCTCTGGTACTCAGGAATTGTCGGTGTACCTTGTAAATAGGTGTTTGCCATGTCACTGCAAACTATGTATTTACCGCCAGCAAGAACACGCCCCTTGGGCTCGGTGGTAGCGAGTGTACCGTGCACATTGAAGACAGTGTGGTCCCCCTTCTCGGCGAAATAGATTTCGCGCAGTGAATTACCAATTTGTTTCTTCCACTCTAGCACGGCGGGAGTCCTTTGCAATGCACGATGATTCTGACCGTCACGCCAGTATTCCCTCCTCCCAGTCAAGCTACCCACTACTACTCGTCAGTATCATACCCAGTATTCGTTTGCTGAACAGTCATACATATAAGGCCTGAAGGTTCCTTTCGAATGCTCAGGTACTTTCCGGTTGTTTTCTCCTTGAAACGGACTGGGACAGTGGTCTTGTTGAACACCGGCTCCTTCTTTTCGCCATTCTGGACGTTCTCGAATAGCTTTTTGGTGTTTTCATGCCCGGGAATTCTAGATATCAGATCCTCAATCGAAAGGAGGTTTTCTTGCTGTTTTATTGGGATTAGGATGTTTTCTCGCGATGGCAGGAGTATATGTGGCACACTAACCTTGACCACTCGCCAGTTATAAAAGGATGCCACGGTGGCACACCAAGCTGGGGGACTTTCACAATTATCAGCTTCACCTGCGTCAGTCAATGCAAAGGACAACATACTTATTGCAAAGCAAAGTATCACCACCCTTAGCCTCCCACGTCATGCTTACGTCCAACGAGCTTTCACTATTGTCCTTCTTGTTTGCACTCGACGATCCATAGCTAGCGCTAGCGGAAGCCTGCACATATGGTGACGAAAAGCTCAGACTAGCAGCCACTTTCATTGCTTTCGATTTCTCAGATACACTGCTAGTTCCCATGGCGGCTGAGTCCTCTGTGGCATGTAGCCGACCACCCAACTCAATGCGGGTGGCAAAGAAGGTTCCTAGATATTTTTGATTAGAAACAACATCCACCGATTCAACGACAAAATGAATATTATGTACCATATTTGGCTTTGAAAGCCTGGACAGATGCCTGATCTTTGACATGCTTGAGAGCCTCAGCGCACTCATCGGAGAGTTCCAGGCTTTCTTCATCAAGTTGGAGGACCACACGAGGGAACTGATCACCAGAGTTAATCGATTGATCATCGTCAGATCAATAAGGAACTCACATTGTAAGTGATGGTCATGTGCTTTTTATTTTCCGTCCTAGCCTTAGAACCGGATGATTGCTCTTCGTTCTTGAAGCCGGCCTGAGCTCCAGCGCCATAGCCAAAGAATCCCCCACCACTAGTTTACTCGATTAGCTTTTGAAGATCTCTGCGCACGAATACAAAACCAAAGGTGCATACTTACACGGCAAGCTCAGCAGCAGCCTCAGAGAGAGAACTAGAGGCAATGGCCTCCGCGACGGAGGAATCATTCTCAGACACCGCGACATAGGAGTCATCCTCAACTCTGAAACGAGGGATGATCAAATTTTTCTAGGCATATTCATTAGCTCGGCCTTTTCCCACATACCGGACCTTATGGAACGAAAATAAATACCACGGGGATAACGATGTCTTTGTTATCCAATGAAGCATTGAAATCATGAAACTGGCGGGGTCTCAACTTGAACGCCGGATACATAGCTCTCTCGACCTTTTTGGGCACTCCACGGAGTGGTAATCTAACAAAACTTGCATGCAAAAGGGAATTGGCTTCCATAACGGTATTCCATTGTCCTTGGGTCATGTCGGTGGGGTGACTTGCAAAACCTTGTGTTAGTGAATTCCAAGGCAACATTCTATAAGGGGTACATACACAGCCGTTGCTTTACTGACTCCAGCCATAAAGTTGCCGTGGCTGTAGGAGCTCTTCAGGATATCTGGTTTGTCGATCGCGCCGATTTCCGATTTCTATCCAAGGTTAGTTCAGAGTACAATGACTGAATAAGACAATATGCATACTCGTAGCTCAAGATCTAGCTTCTCTTTCAGAAAGTCTTTGGTCACATCGTTCATCTCCGAAGTCAAAGAGCGAGATTTGAAATAGACAGCATATACTTGTGGCTCTAAGACTGGCTCCTCTCCTGTGGGCTATTACGGTCGTCAGTAAGACTTGTGTGAAAGAAGACAAAGAGGTTCTTACAACTTGGACAGAATATCCCTCAACTTGGACAGAATATCCCTGATTTTCAGGCTTCTGTTCGATCTTCGTTCCACCCCTATCGAGGGATTTAATATACTCGGTGAAAGGTAAACTCTCATTTGCAATAGCCCCAATCTTATTGCAAAAAGACGAGCCTTGTCTATAATCCTCTTAGTATTCAGATTGGTGTTTTCGGGACCTTTTGTGCTTAAATTGGCAGTCACCAACACATACAGCCTAACACTCAAACCGTTCTCGTTGTTTAGCATCCCACGAATGTCTGACAATGTCTTACCCTGGACATTTTTAAAACTTCCAAGGGTGACAAACTTGTCCATTTTGGCTTTTCCGGTGTTGTCATCATAGACGTAGATATCAAAGACCGCTTGGACGTCATTTTTGTTTGCTACGTTGCTGTCAGCATTTATACTTGAAGAGTATAGGAAAAAGCGAGCGAGACTTGCCTTCTTCGGCCTTTTTGTTCTTTTCATCCTCCAGCCTCTTCTCTTCGTCGGTTAGCTCGGTAGGCTGGGTCATATTGGGAAAAAAGTCACTTCGAAAATACTTCAATGAAGGAACGATAGAATTTGTTTGAAACTTCAAGCATTTGAAACCCGGGTGAGTCCCTCATATTTATTTGATGGCAGTGAGAGGCTATGTATGTTTTCATTCTCCCATTTCTGACCGCTGTTTCTTTCAAAGTGGGCACATTCTATCCTTACTTCATAGACATGACCTGTCAATCTTCAGTCTTGAGTAGGAGATGCTACTCATTCGGCCGAAGAAAAAGGGTTTGGCGGTGGGGAATCAAAATTATAGGTGGAAAGGTGTGATTGTGATATATCCTTGCCGGTGGGGCTGAAGGTGCGGCCCTTACAGCTAGGTCTACGCCAATGAGCCATGCCGAAAGGCAACTTGCGGGCATCATTATAACCTTGGGCTGTCAAAAGTATGGTAGTTTGCACAGGACATCTCTTGGCTTGGGCTCACCGATATCAATACTCCAGAGACCTGCGGAGAATGCAGCTTGTCAAGGCGCCATCGCGGTGGTGTTGTATGGTCGCTCCTGTATACCTTTCTATTGACCGAGTCTCACTGGTCCCAGTACTCCGTACTAGAACCGGCATCTGCTGCGATTGATTTAAAGATCTACACCGGCAAAATCTTGCAGATTGTTCGGCTCCACTAAAGCTACTGCTGCTGCGAATGGCACATTAATGTCACTTCCCATCCATTTCAGTGATTAGGAATATTTCATGAGATCATTTAAAAGACCCAACATGCGGGTCTCCATTTTTCATGTAGTTGGTTACTACAATTGATTCCAAGGATCGCCAAGTATAGGCTACGTGGCAGTCAAATGGGTCAATTTTCGCTAGATTGACTTTGGCGGTATACACATTCAAAGCGCAGAGTCATGTGGAGCTGAAAACTAAACCCAATTACAAGTATTCCGCGCACACGCAGTAATAGACCAGCGTAGCATACAGTACAGCTGAGCCAGTTCCACCGCAACGGACCACTAACCGTGCCAAGCGTTCAACACACATAACCCGGAATGTGTGTGGGGCGCTTGGCACGGTTATAACCCAGACAATTGTGACAAAATGAACACTGAAAACGATCTGCTCGAAAATAATGCGTGAGATGTCGGGACGATCCGCAATCCAATTTCAACTTAGAATGGTAGTATGGTAGTAAGTCCACGGCTTTGATCTTAAGAGACAATCTGCGGCTCCAAGCAAATGAGAGGACTTCTCAGCAATGTCAGAAAGAGGTTTTATACACAGATTCTATGGAAAATTAGAAGATACAATTACATATTCCAAGTTTATACAATTAGTAGAAGGGCTGGGATACAATTATTAATAGATCCCAGTTGAACTTCCCCAATGGGCTGTAATGGGGACATTATGGACCCCCACGAATGAGCTGTAGATTGGGTCGATCTTCAAAGGCTCAGCGCATAACGCACTTCTGGTTGGGCCTTGGGCCCAGAGTCCGGGCCTATTTATGGGCTTTGCAGAGGTCTAGTTGAAGTGACCGAGAAGTCAGCCAACACTCTACGAAGGCTCACCGTAGCAGCATATATTGAAGTGCGGGTTTTTTTGCTTAGATACCGATCGAGAAATTGCCAGGGAGGCTTGCATCGATCGGAAGCCGGTTGAGTTCATGAAATTTATTCGCTTCCCAGGCCCTGTGCTAGAACCTATATCTCCAGAATGCGATGAAACAGAATTGCGAAGCAGTCGAGATGGTGTAGTAAAGACCTAGTTCCTAAGAGAACTTGATTTCCCGCCAGGAGGAGAGAAATAAGTTCATAACGCAATGTATTAGTAATGTTGCAGTTTAGAGGCATTTGGTGGTTAGAGAACGGGAGAGGCGCGGTATTAGGAAAGGCTATATAGCAAATTCCTATTTTAACGCTCTTAAGGAAGGCCTTCTCTCAATTTATACACCTAGAACAATCTTCTAGCAAGATAACGCCTATATACATACTGCGAATATTGTAAGAGAGTGGTTTGGAGAATACAGGGTATATATCGAGGATTGGCCTCTACATTCGCCTGATCTTAGCCCTATTGAGCCTTACTGGTGGATGCTAAAGGTTGGATTATTATCAAAGATATAACCCGAATTGATAGAAATTGGTAGGAGTAAGGAGGATTGGATGTATTTCAGGAGAGCTATATACGCTGCATAGAATGCACTTGATCAGGGTGTAATTGATAATTTGATTCGCTCTGTACCTAGGAGATCGCTTGCTACGCGCAAGGCAAAGGGGTGTTACACTAAATATTTAATGTATTATATTTATTGGCTATTTCTCCATCTATTAATATCAAAATTAAGAATATATTTACTATGTTGGTGGTGTAAAATATTGAGTTGAATGTAGCGATATATATTTGTCGGGGTGCGGGTAAAAACCGACTGTCGCAGGATACTTGGTCATAGAGGGTATCCATAGACATACTCGGCAGAGCGGGGGACGTTTTCTTCGCCTTTTACCAATTTTCGAGGCGATCATGGGAAGGAACATGGGCGGTTCTTGGGTGACCTGATATGCTGGACGAGAGTGAATGTAAAACATAAAGACCACTCCCAATCCTCCGGACACTTCGACTAAAGTCTCTTGCTTGGGTTCTGAAATTTTTTGGGGATCTTGATCACTTACAAAGTGATTCATCATCGCCTAGATCGACCCTAGTGTGTACAACTCCGCCAAGTTGGCGTCGTCATTCCCCTAGGGGGTGACATACACTAAAACCCCGAAACCCGACCCAACTCGACCCTTGAAAGGATCGGGTTTCGAGCTTTTTGACTTTTGCGAAAGCCTACCGCCGATTAATAATTCCAAATTACAGGACACAGGATTAATCGATTCTCCAGTCTACCGATTATCATGTTCCGGCATAAAGTCGGTAATTAAACACTTTAGAAAACGTACAGCTATTTTGTTACTAGACCACAATGAAAGCCGAGGTTCATGTATGGGGCCTAGGGGACCATATTTGTAAGTTGACAGTACTCCCTATACTACGATCATCACGGAATTACTTCCGCTATGTCTTTACTTCAAGTTAACCTCTTATATCATACTTCACAGGTACACCTACCTAGCTAGGTGGTCAAGAACTTTAAAAGATATCACTAAGATCGATTAGGAAGCCATTTCGTTGCTTCAAGTCGTTTCCTCGCTATACTTAACCATAATAGGCTTAAGCCCGTCTCCCCACTTTCGGCCATGTGGTTATGCCATTCAATAACCGACGAAAAAGCTAGGCTAATTGCCGACGAACGAGGTCAATGTACGCACACTACCTGGCTTGGGACAAATATAGGATACAAATATAAGATGCATGCAACCCAAGGGAAGTAGATGTTAGAGGTTAGAGATAGACAAGGCTGGCATTGGATCATGGCAGTCAACGAAAACTATCTCAGGTGTTCTATGACGAGTTCGGGGTAAGCTATGATGCTCTGATTGGTCATGGGCCCTGTGCACTAGATCCGATGGCATAAAACCTTGGATGATAATGTCCAGGTATTTTGTCGCAATAAATACCGAACTCCTGACCCACCCCCGCGAGAAGCGATGCATATGTCGGGGCCCCGGATTTGGCATCTTGGCAACATGCCCAATTGGAGGGCCCATATAACATAATAAAAGTATTACCCCTTGTTAACACTTTGACCCTATATGCTACAACCTAGTAGTTGCGCCAAGCTAGTCAATCACCGATATGAAGATATCTCAATTGCCGCTGTACATCATATTCATGGAAATGCAGCATATAAAACTGATCAATTTGCCTCCCATCATGTCCTACTCAAGTAGCTCAGAGCGGCCTCCACATCACCAGTAACTGTCGGACGCTTCGTTCAACAACGATATTTGCCATGAAATTCCCAACGCGATTGGCTCTGTTATCCCTGATTCCCTCTTCACTTGCTGTCCCTACAGCTAGCAATCCTCCAATCAATGACTTGGCCAATGAGGAGCAGCCATTGATCAAGCTCAAGCCCCAGAGAACCTCTTCTCGAGACCTTGTCAATCTCGATGGCCTGTGGAAATTCACACTGGCTTCCAGTGCAAACGACACAACCCAGCCCTGGACCGCACCATTCCCCAAGAATGCCCTCGAATGTCCAGTCCCCGCGTCATACAACGATATTTTCGTCGATCGCGACATCCACGACCACGTCGGATGGGTCTACTACCAGCGCGATGTTTTCGTCCCAAAGGGCTGGTCGAAGGAGCAATATTTCGTACGAGCTGAATCTGCTACTCATCACGGCCGTATCTATGTAAACGACCGTCTGCTCGCCGAGCATGTTGGCGGTTACACACCCTTCGAGGCCGATATCACCGAGTTTGTCACCGCTGGGGAGAAGTTCCGCTTGACAATCGGTGTCAATAATGAACTCACCCATGAGACCATCCCACCTGGAAAGATCACAGTGGGCGAGGCCACTGGAAAGGGATTCCAGACCTACCAGCATGATTTTTACAACTATGCCGGTCTTGCTCGGTCGATCTGGCTGTATTCTGTGCCCCGCCAACACATTCAAGACATCACCGTCGTGACAGACGTCGAAGGTGAGACTGGACTCATCAAGTACAAGGTCAAGGTGGCCAACAAGGAGGCTGGCAAGATCAAGATCTCCGTCATCGACGAGGATGGAGCCGTTGTCGGAAATGCCTCTGGAGCTGAAGGCACCATCAAGATCAAGTCAGTCAAGTTGTGGCAACCCGGCGCCGCCTATCTGTACCAATTGGAAGCCAGCATTGTCGATTCCCGCGACAAGGTAGTGGACACCTACGGCCTTGCCACGGGCGTGCGCACAGTCAGGATCAGCGGGTCAAAGTTCCTCATCAATGGCAAGCCCTTCTATTTTACCGGATTCGGAAGACATGAAGACACCTCAGTGCGCGGCAAAGGACACGATCAAGCATACATGGTTCACGATTTCCAACTGATGAACTGGATCGGAGCGAACTCTTTCCGAACATCACACTACCCTTACGCCGAAGAGGTCATGGACTTCGCAGATCGACACGGAATCGTCGTTATCGACGAAACACCCGCCGTGGGCTTGAACACCAATTTGCTGGGTGTGTCTGGAGCCAAACCCCAAAAGACATGGGGTCCAGACAATATAAACAACAACACGCAGAGAGCCCACAAGCAAGCCATTCGTGAACTCATCAGCCGCGACAAGAACCACGCTAGTGTTGTCATGTGGTCTATTGCCAACGAACCATCCTCGGCTGAAGACGGCGCGCGCGAGTACTTCGAGCCGTTGACCAAGTTGACTCGGGAGCTTGATCCAACTCGTCCCATCACATTTGCCAATGTGGGCGGAGCAACATTCAAGACGGATCTGATCGCCGACTTGTTTGATGTCAGTTGTCTCAACCGGTATTTCGGGTGGTATTCTGAGACAGGTGAGCTGGGCGAAGCAGAGGCGGCCCTTGAAGAGGAGCTGCGTGGCTGGGAAAAGAAATTCAATCGTCCAATGATCATGACTGAGTACGGTGCCGATACCATCGCTGGTCTCCACTCTACCCTGGGTTTGCCTTGGAGTGAGGAGTTCCAGATAAATATGCTTGACATGTATCACCGGGTCTTCGACCGTCTCGAGTCCATGGCTGGTGAGCATGTTTGGAACTTCGCTGACTTTCAGACGTCTGTCGGTATAGTGAGGGTTGATGGTAATAGGAAGGGTGTGTTTACCAGGGACCGCAAGCCGAAGATGGCTGCACATGGGTTGAAGTCCAGATGGACCAATCTCACCGCAAGTGGGTAAAGTCATGTCGATGGATGATTTGTTTATTTGAGGTATAGAATACTATGTGCAGTTGTAAACCGCGATCAATGTCAACTAAATTTCGTCCAATTTGCGTCGTTGACGCTCGCTGTCATATTTTCTGTTTCCGTCCGTGTATAGGCTATATGACATGGGTAGAGCTCTGTAAAGCCCACAAACCTGCCCCAACCCACTAATAGGCTGGGGCTGGGGCTCAGCCCCCAGGCCCAGTGTGAAACTCTACTATGCTTTCCACTTGGCCTTATGGGCCCCCAAAAATGGAATGTGAGTTCGGTTAGGCTTCAAAGGTTAGACCCATAGCCCATTGCTGGTTGAGCCTTGAGCTTTGCGGAGGTCTAGACCTGAGTATCAGGCAAGGAAACTAACTACTTATTCCGATCGATTACTCATTACTCCTCCGCACGTCGAAAATCATTTGGAAATAAAATGACTGGGTATCATATTCACAAATCTGCAGCAGGAAAGAAATTGCTGTGTCAAGATGCCTCAAGTCGCATGACAAGGACACTCATCAACACCTTTCGGCCGCTAGATCCCTAAACGTACATGTGTATTCAATTAAACACTGTTACAGTATAGCTAGATTCATGCCGATTTTCCCACGGCATCAACGGCATCCACGGCGTCCTCGTGTGGCTGAGACACTGATTGCGCTCGCTTATCGTTTCCTCCTTTGACCCGGCCAATGCCGACCATCTGCAACATTTCTCTCCAGAAGCCAGTGGGTGGATCGAGGAAGCTATCCTCGTACGCATCAATCAAGGGTCTTTCCCAAACCAGGTCGGCTTCGCTGGCCTTCACAAACTTGGTTTTCTTGATGACTTTCCAGATAATGAAGAGAGGAGGAATGACGATTTGCATAGTGTAGTTTGACCAGAAGGTGGACACGGACCATGGCTTGTAGGCGGGGTAGCCGTAAACGATAGTCACGATGATCATCCAAACGCACGCAATGTAAGCGCAGTAGGGTTGGAGCCAGCCGAAATAGGAGAAGGACCTGCGATCAACGCCTTGCGCTTTGCATGCGCGGTGGAAGAAGATGTACGTCAGACTGATGACGATGTAATTGATGAGACCTGTGTTGGGTTGTCAGTATCTCTAGTCACTGTTGGGGTCTGGTGAATTCAATAAATTTCTTACCTCCAGCAGTGATGAGATTGGCGAACCACGTGATGACGATGGACGAGCTACTGGAACACTGCAAAAAGGAAAGCATGGGGAAGATCATCACGAATGCGAAACAATAGATGGGTACGCCGTTTCTGGTGGTGTGGGTGAGAATTTTGGGGGCTCGGCCTTCGAGCGCTAAACCGTACAGGGTACGGATAGCGCAGTAGGTATAGGTATTGCCAGCAGAGAAGATCGAAGTCAGCAAGAGACTAGATAAATACGGTCAGTCTTTGGTTCGGGAATGGAGTATTGTTTTCATGGCACTCACGCGTTGATGATCGATGGGAAGATAGAAATGCCCATATTTCGCATGCCAATAACATATGGCGATGCTGAAGCAGAACCTGAAGAACCGCCCGTCACAACGGCCTTGAGCTGGGGATCATTAGCAGCACAGACGATACCCACGGCCAAGGCACCGCCGATGAAGAAGAGACCGAATCGAATGTAGACTGTCTTGAAGGCGTTCTTGATATAGATGCGGGGACGCTTTGCCTCAGCTGCGACCATGGAGATATACTCAGGACCAACGACGGCGAAGCAAGCCGACCAAAGAGATCCTAGGAAGCCTTCAAAGCGACCGAGGGCACCAGTGTCCAGATACTCCATGAAAGAGCCGGGGTTGTTCCAGTGGCGGAAACCATAGGCATCATGCTTGGGGTTCCCACCAACCATTGTAATGAAGGTGAAGAAGAACAGGGAGAAGATCAGCACGACCTTTCCACCGGACAGCCAGAATTCGGCTTCACCGTAGGCTTTGACGGCCAAGATGTTGAGGAAACTAAGCACATGTTAGTATTGAGAACGAATTTCAAGCGTACGGAAATGGTCGATAATCAAGCTGAGAGAACAATAGAACTTTCTTGCTAGATAGCAAGATTAGGCAGGAGAGATTCTCACCCATAGACGAAGACAACACCAACACAGACGCCTGCAATTGGACCAGGCTCAGTGAGCGCTGGAGTCCAGTAAGACAACACAAGTGTGAAAGCCGCGACCTCAAAGGGGATCAAAAGGGCTTCATAGAAGCTAGAGCGAGTGTTAGCACAAATAGCAGGCAAGATTTCGGCTTAGCCGAAAAGAGAACCGACAAAAAGTTCCAGCCGACCATGAAACCAAGGGCATCGTCGACCCATTTTCCCGCCAAGCGAATGAAACCACCACTGACAGGGAAGGCAGTGGTCATTTCAGCAAGGCAGTTATTCACCATGGCCAAAAAGATACACTGGACGGTAAAGGCAATAAATAAACTGCCAGGACCTCCATGGTAAAGACCCGAGCCAATGCTCACGAACAGGGCTGTTCCGATGGAGCCACCGATGGCAATGAGCTGGATCTGACGGTTTCCAAGGTGACGTTGGAGGTTGTCGGCATTTTCCGCCATCACACCTTCCTGTACATCACGAGGACCGCCTTCTGTCTTGTGCCCGAGTGTTTCCAACACATTTCCGGTCGATTCTTTTCCCGTGTCACCTAGGATAGCCATGTTGTTTGCATTCCTGTTTAGGGGGTTTAGTTGGTGATTGCGGATACGGTGCGAGCGAGAGAAACGAGATGGCGCTGTGGGTATTCGATTAGATTTTGAGGGATCGGGTTTTTTGCAACCGTTGGGTTGGGTCGGCGGGAAGCCGGGGGCGGGTGATTAACTACGGAGACTTTCGATGTCGGGGTATATTGCAAGGGCCTGGGGTTCGCGTGGGCAGTCTTGGTGCTATGGATGTTGAGGTTGCAATGGCAAAGGTAGATCTCGGAGATGTCGGGTCTGTAGGAACGGATGATGAATATGGAGCTTCAAAAGACGTTGTTTGTTTCCTCAAAGAAGGATCTGACAAGTAGAAGGAATGATGTAGTCCAAAGCAAGCTCAAGACGTATAACTTTGGGGTCGGACAACGTGGGAGGAAAGAGAATTTAAAAGGGCAGGGATTCCACCTTGGATTCGAGATTAGTGAAATAGACCCCTGTAAGCCGATGTAAGCCCTGGCAAGCCCTCCAAGCCCTCCAAGCCCTCTAAGCCATACAAAATCCAAATTGCCCCGGGCATAATGACGCAGGTAAGTTGGTTACTTTGCATGTCTCTGATTGGTCGGGACTACATCTGACTCCCCGCACGGGTTGTGACCTGACCCGCATCCGGACACGAGCCGGGCGTGGATCTTCCGGTTTTATCTCCAAGAACATCAAAGGTAGGACTCGTTGGATTATACTACCTAACTCGTCTTAGAACGTTTGGGCCTTACGTGTGAATCGGGGAGACCGATTGTGCACGTTCCCCTTGGTCGCATCTAATGTCTTAATCGGTTTTACAAAGTTGCCTTCAAAACTATCCATATCTCCCTATTGTACATGATCTTGGCAGTCTTGGGCCAAATGTTCTTATCGCATGTGCTCGCTCGCCCTTTCCAACTTGGAACCTTCAGGGGCGAAACTTTCAGGCACAGGCCCGGGTCGGATGTTACGTAACCTTTCTATTGCAGATAGCAGTGATAACAGACCGCTCAGGTCATCTTTCTTCCTCTAACCTCCAGGGCTTGAACAAGGACACTCTAGAAAACGTAATCTAGATCTAATCGGCAGAATTTGCATGTCACACTAACGGGGCTCGTGCAGATGCCAAGACATGGGCTCCGTTTTGACTGGCCAATCATTTCTGGCCTTTATATTAATAACAACTCTACTTGCCACATCAAGTCCTTCATGTCTTGCCCATGCATACTCCAAAAATCATGTGCGTCTATTTCTTATCTCAACAGCAGCTTGGCGAGCGTCCACTTGGGGCTATCATCTCGGGGCCTAATCATGCCAGTAGAGCTTTTGTTGCTTCGACACACGTGCCATCCTCGCAATGAGAGTAGTGGATGCGGGAACTATCTGACTCTGCACGAGAAGATTCAGAATCGGAATATAGGCCTCGTTATCTCAGCCCTCCATTTTATATTTCTCATCCAGATTGTTGTATCGAGCGGATCGACGGTACACAAATCCACCTTGTAGTCTTCTTTGCATAACATATCCAACCGCCCCTTCTTCATCTTGTGTTGCCTTACACGCCTCCCATTCGGTTTCATCTCTGTATTCCTCACGGCACTTGCATAACGCAAAGTCGATCTTGAAGACGTGGAATTGATTTCCCGGGCAAGTTTCCACAATGAAATTACTCGCTTTAACATTCTCGTTTGGGATTCCCCTATTACTGACAAGGTTGACAACTCGAATGGTATTGTCATAAATCCTTTGCCAGCTATCTTTTGACACGCACGAAGCGATATCGGTCAAGGGAAACCCTTCGACATACCGCAAAGCCATTCCAGGGATGTTGATGTCTTCGCTGAACACACTATTCTGCGTCGGTGAAAAACTAGACATGGTCACACACGAAAACAGTCGGGGTATGTAGTTCCCTTGCAGATCGGCCAGGGTATTGTATGCTTGGGTTTCTCTCTCGTAAAGACCATGCATATAGCTATGCAAATAAGTTTCTTTCTGAGAAGAATTCCATGTATCAAAGTCCCGATCTGGCAAATCTCTGTCAGCGCTGAGCTCGGCAACAAGCTTTGCGGCGTCACCATTGAGAATGAACTGGTGATAATCATGTTCTATATCCGAACCCCGTGGGCTCATTTCATCCTTTTCTCTGAATTCTGTTGCAAAATGCCCATCAAAAAGTTTCAGCGCCATATCACCTTCGCAGACGGAAGTAGGGTAAATTGGTCGGACGACCATCGCACAGGAACATGTAAAGGGTTCAAAGACCTCCACAATGCTGACGTCTGTTGGTTGTTCGTCACATGATGTCTTCAGCTAGAGTTTGACTATATTCTCGACCATATAGGGACATCTCAGATATTTAGTGCGTCTACCAAACAGGATTCGCATCAGCGGGATGATCACCTGATTTGTTTATCGTCCCTCATGATTAGCGAGTTGAGGTTTGATTCCAGTAGCTTGGGGACGAGTGTTATAGCCAATCAATCAAGCCTTCGTAGATCGAGACGAATCTTATGTGAGCTACCAGGCGGTACGTATAACGAGCATAAAGAGTTGAGAAGAGGTATTGTGGCGGTGAAGCCAATCCAATCAACCCCTTGCAATACCCCCTACAACATAAGGTTTACCGAAATAAATCCTTACTAAGCACCTCTGTGGATCCCTGGGGCCCATTCGAGAACTCTACTTTAAGCATGTTTAACTATGCGATGGGTTGATCCATTATAGGTCACACACCGATTGAACGTCTGCTTATTCGGAAAATCGCATGAGTGAAGAAACAGAAGATATGCTTAAACCATGGAATGCTACTCCGTACGTGTACTACATTTACATCCCTTTCCCCTCATTACCACGGCCCTATCACATACTCCACGTAATTATATATAATCGCAACAAGTATACGTATATTCGAACAAAGCTCAGGTCATGTAATGACTGAAGTGACCCACTCCTGTTCTAATGTGTAGTGTGTGATTTCTCCCTAGAGAACTACACAGTGCCAGTTTGTATAAGGAACGGCTACTTTCACAACTCAAGGCTGCTATGTTGTATGTCTGCTCTCTGCGTATTAAACTACAAAGGAGGAAAAACTTCTTTTTATTTTAAAGAAAAAGGATTGATACAGGGGGAGCAGTATAAGGACCATTGAAAAGATTACTAAGGAACGTCACAAGATTGCATAAGTAGTCAATCATGAATGTAGTTCCAAGTAGATCAGACAAAACTGGGGATTAATTTGCAGATCACGTGCTATTTTGATTTCCGGGGTTGCTTTGAAATGGCCTTGCCACAAGAGGCTGACCCCCGGCACACGCAATCACGTGATAATACGCCTTGTGACTCCGAGGTCGGGAACTGGGAAAAGTTTGCTTAGAGTGAACTCACCAATGTCTCCGTGTTCGATGTTGTTAAAGCGCGTGGCTCGGCCTCCGGCCGCCATGATGTGCAGATCGGTGAGTGCAGCTGCGCCTCATGACCACCCAATTCAATCTAACTCCCCCAGGTTCGGCCGCGGTGGACTCCGTCTTTCGGTGCCCCAACCAGGACAATTCATCATCCTTTGCGATCCGCCTCGAATACGCTCTCTTCTCGCTCGCTGAGCACGACAGCCTCCACCCAGATCGAAGGCTTCCCTTCCCAGGTAGAGAGCGCCACCTCAATCCCTTTCTCTGAGATTCCCTCCGAGAAGCGGACGCCACAAACCTTGACGGAGAAGATTGTACAACGCTATGCGGTCGGTCTCCCCGAGGGAAAGCTCGTTCGCAGCGGCGACTATATCAGTCTTGCCCCCGGGTATTGCATGACGCACGATAACTCGTGGCCCGTCGCCCTCAAGTTCATGTCGATGGGGGCTAAGAAGGTCAACGACCCAAAGCAGATCGTCATGACCCTGGACCACGATGTGCAGAATACCAGCGCAGCGAACCTTAAGAAATATGAGCAGATCGAGACCTTTGCTAAGCAGCAAGGTATCGACTTCTATCCTGCGGGTCGGGGTATTGGGCACCAGATCATGGTCGAAGAAGGATACGCGTGGCCAGGCAGCATGGCAGTAGCCTCGGACAGCCACAGTAACCATTATGGTGGAGTTGGCTGCCTTGGAACTGCTGTTGTGCGGACTGACGCTGCTAGTATTTGGGCAACTTCACGGACATGGTGGCAGATTCCTCCTGTTGCACGGGTGACGTTCACCGGAACACTTCCAGTAGGTGTGACAGGAAAGGATGTGATTGTCGCCTTGTGCGGTCTCTTCAATAGTGATGTCCTCAACCATGCAATCGAGTTCACTGGCTCTGAAGAGACTATGTCCAGTCTACTTGTGGATAGTCGCCTCACGATTGCCAACATGACGACTGAGTGGGGCGCGCTCACTGGCCTCTTCCCTATTGACAATACCCTCAAGCGCTGGTTGCGATACAAGGCTACCGAGGCAGCGATGTCTGATGACCGCACAACTCGGGAGCGTATCACGCACGAAAGGATCGACGAGCTGTACGCCAACCCCCTCACAGCGGACCCCGATGCTCAGTACGCCAAGCAGCTCTACCTCAACCTCTCCACACTCTCGCCTTACGTTTCAGGTCCCAATTCAGTGAAGGTCGCCACACCACTTAACGAGCTTGTTCAACAAGACATCAAAGTCAACCGCGCATACATCGTCTCCTGCACCAACTCGCGTGCCTCGGACCTCGCGGCCGCTGCCAAGGTCTTCAAAGACGCCGCTAAGGCCAACCCCGACACGCCCCCCAAGATCGCCGACGGTGTCAAACTCTACATCGCGGCTGCTTCCACCCCCGAACAAGAGGCCGCGGAATCCACCGGCGACTGGCAGGCTCTTCTCGATGCTGGTGCCCAGCCACTTCCTGCGGGATGCGGACCTTGCATTGGCCTCGGCACAGGTCTTCTAGAGCCTGGTGAGGTTGGCATCAGTGCCAGCAATCGTAACTTCAAGGGACGTATGGGCTCCAGAGATGCGCTTGCATACCTGGCAAGTCCCGAGGTTGTGGCTGCTAGCGCTCTCAGCGGTGTCATCTCTGGCCCCGGCGCCTACCAGGTGCCCGAGGGCTGGTCTGGCGTGGAGCACGGATTCGGTACTGGTCTCGAACCGACCACCGAGAACGAGCTCAGCAACCTACTTGCGCAAATGGAATCTCTTATCGATCGGGTTGAGTCCGCCGGAGCCGAGTCCAAGCCTGCCACCGAAATTCTGCCAGGCTTCCCCGAGCGTATCAGTGGCGAGATCGTCTTCCTCGATGCCGATAATCTCGACACTGACAACATCTATCCCGGTAAATTGACCTACCAAGACAACGTCTCGAAGGAAGATATGGCCGCTGCTTGCATGCAGAACTACGATCCCGAGTTCAAGGGCATCGCCAAGCCAAATGATATTCTCGTCGCTGGCTTCAACTTCGGTTGCGGATCCTCAAGAGAACAGGCTGCCACTGCCATTCTCGCGAAGGGGATTCCGCTCGTCGTCGCTGGCAGTTTCGGAAACATTTTCTCCCGAAACAGCATCAACAACGCGCTTATGGGCCTTGAAGTCCCGCGTCTTGTTGAGCGCCTGCGTGCCACCTTCGCTCAGTCGGCCCCTGGTGCTGCGGGCCGCCAGCCGACCCGCCGCACTGGCTGGACTCTGACTTGGGACGTGAAGCGTAGCGTCGTTGAAGTCAAGGAGGGTGAGTCTGGAGAGACCTGGACTGAGCAGGTCGGCGAGCTCCCAGCGAATGTACAGGAGATCATCGCGGAAGGTGGTCTCGAGGCCTGGGTCAAGGGCAAAGTTGCGGAGTCCAAGTGAGGACGTATTAACCAGACCACACGCATGTCGGTGGGAAATACCAGCTTAGAGAACAGGCTGATTTGTCTATGTTCCAGGTAACCACTGACATTGTCTCGGCTGTTGTATCTTTTGCATATCTACTTTTTGTACTATTTTTCTATCATTAGCAGGTACCATAGAGAAGACTTTGGACTCTTTCACAAGAGCTGATCTTCAAAAAGAAGAATATATTGAACAATTTTGTCATAGATAATTTCTTTTTTTTTATTGGAGTATCTTTCCACCACCGCATCTATTTGCAACACGTTTCGTCGCAACAGTCATCCTTTCGGGAAACTGGCTACAGATACAACCTGATGACAAGTCCTGAAAGTTTCCCCAAGTTTATCAACCAGCTATCATTCCCGACAGTTCACTCTTGCCTGGACGCTTCTCGCCCATCACCACAGTTATGATGGCACTTGTCTTCGCTCATACCGTATGTCTACCATAGTGTTTCTGTTGCAAACTGACACACCCCAAAAATCTCCTTCACCTTGAAGAGATGTAACATAGCATTGGGAGAGATGAGAAGTTAAACTCTCACTGCAGTGTAATATCTACACGCCCAAAACAATCCATCATTGCAGAACAAACCTGGCCGCAGCTTCATGGATCTCTTCCTGCTCCTTGGGCCATCCGAGAATCGTTCCAGCAACATAGATATCATGCGGCACATCTGGTATTTCCAAATACTCAACCCGATTGCCTGGGATCGCGCTCATCACATCTGAAAATCCACGAACACTATCACAGAGAACCTCCGCACCACCCGCCTGGACGAAGATTGGTACCGGGGTTGCAAATGGATGCAGTGCTGGAGAAATATACGGATCATCCAGTCGTACAGTCTCAGGGGGCGCAATAGCCCTCGCCCCCCAAGCCATCATACGCGCCTCGACGTAATCGGTCTTGATATTTCTATTTGCGCTGATGGCCTTGCTATCCCCTTCGAAGCAATACTCGACCGAGGGCGAGAACAAAAGACATGCCTTTGGCGGTGGAAGGTCAGCGAGTTCATGGTCTTGTAGGTCCTTAATGGAGACAAGATAGCGCAGCAATGCCACTGCAATGGTCGAGCCTGTGGAATCACCTGCGAGGACAATGCGCGATGGGGAGATTCCCATTTCTTTGGTGAGATATATGTATGCTGTCACAGCGTCTTGCATGGCTCCGGGATACGGTGTTGGGTTATTGCCACCGGCAAGACGGTACTGCAGCCAAAAGGAGCGAGTATTTTTGCCCATACTGTTGTTTAGTAGGGTTGCCGTTGGTTCCGAGTCCTCTGGCCGTCCAGTCAGCCATAGAAGCGAGCCGGAATGGAAGGACAAAACCACCAGGCCTTGTTCCTCCAGTAGCGATTGCTTTGATGGTAGCTCTGGATACCAGGTGCCGCCGACCGTCTCTGGCTTGATAGTGTCACTTGTGAAGTCACCAGAATACGCGGCGGCTGACGCTGGGTCGATGGTGACCCAGCGATCGCCGAGCTTTTCCGGGTCCAAGGTCAAAGATTGCGTGAAACCGATTTCTGTAATGATGTGAAAGATTGTTTGCATCAACCGTGTCATACAGGCTTGACGATAGGTCCACCTTGGATTCTGGCGGAAGGAGCTCGGGATATAGTAGACGCCGTAGAAAAATGCCTCCAAAAAGCTGCGAAAGATGGCGATGATGATCCAGATAGCATATCCTGGTTGTCGGGTCCGCCAGCCAGCTGGTATCGCCTCGTTATCTGCAAAGGATCGCGCCATGATATTCACCAATTTTGTTTCTTGCACAAGAAGTTGAGGGTTGAGATCTCAAACAAGGAGTTGCCAAGAATGCTAAGCCTTTATGGTATTTTATCAGAGAGAAAAGAGTGGGGCCAAAATAGCTCCTCGCATCACAAGCCAGAAGAAGCTACCTCGAAGTCAATGATGCGCTAGCGTCGGGGACATCGACCTACCGGATTCTAGGATCGGGTCAGCCTGATCAAGAGTGAGGCTGTGTGCACCCAAGAACGCCGATGAGGCTCTTTCCGAAGATTAGTATCGGTACTCCGTATTTGAACACCATTACCAATCATACTAAAATCGGGGATGGTATGGTGAATGGGAGGCCAGAAACGGCCGCTTTTGAGGCCATTTGAAGCCGCTCGCTCACCGGGGTCGGTCTTGGTGTCATGTGCATCAGAGCCCACGGATAAGCCCGTTTACTGCCACCTGTGCTCCGGGTTGGCCGTGCCTGGTACCTGAGCGCATCCACGGAGATAACTTCGCGATATGATACCCCACACCGGCCACCGTCCGAGTTCTCATTGGTGACTACAGCTCGGGTCATCGATTAAACCCGAGCTCGTGTCACAAAGTACCTGATGCCCCACGTGACTATCAAGTTTCGTAACTATTCGATGAACTCACCCCTTTCAAGATCTAGTTGTAGAGAGTGTAGTGTGGCACTACATACATGTAAAAGGGCAATTTGACGATGAATCTTATCGTAGGTCTAATGAATTACGCTAATTCTACTCCGTAATGAGAAAAACATTACTATAGGTAGCCAATCATAGCGCTAGTTGTGCTTCCCGCCCAAGCTCTCTGGCCCGAAATTAGTTTAGCCTGGTCGCAAGGACTACCTCCGCTCCATTCCGAGCCTCGAGACCGGGGAATATGGAACTTACGATCCTCCTCTTCTCCTGTGGTTCACTACAGTCATTCTCGAAATCGGCTTGACACAAACACACTTGATCACTCTCTTCTGGCCCCACTGCCAAGTCTTCAGCGCAGATCAATCATAGCGCGGGCCGCATTACATACTGGTTGTTGCTTGGTCTTGGGTCAAGCTCATCTTCCGTCTGTAGTCCGGCAAATATAATGCTGAATAATCTAGAAAGCTTCGAATGTTTGAGCATGGATCATCATCAGCGTGGCCTAGGGTTTCCATCAATAGGTATTGTCAACAGATTACAGCCATTTGATCCTCAGTGTCAGTTAAGCTCCACGAGTATAAGTAGTTGACTCTGTTGGAACTATTCCCAGTAGTGGGACGGCTCTAAGGCCGTGAGAACCATCCACGGCTCACTGCCAGGTCTACTCATAATGAGTCTGGCTTAGCCAGTTGTCCGTATCTAGACAGGGAAATGACTAGGTCTTCTTTCAACAGAAGACGAGCAGCAGAACAGAGCTTCGTCTGTGTGTGCTTTTCTAAATTGAAATTCTCACATGGCTTGCTTTGATTGTTTGCGACTCCTCATCTGTCCCATTCACAATGTGTGAGGGTCCTCTTTCATTCCTCTTTCACTTCTATAGTGACTTCACTTTGACCCCTGCCTCAGCTCTGCCCCAGTCCTCTCTAAGGTCTCTTTCGAGCTATCCTCAACAACTGATAATTACCTATCGCTCGGCGAAGCCTCCTATTATTCAATGTTCTATATTTATATAGGTTTGATCATGTCTAAGGATTTGCATCATGAGGACGTGGTGCTCTAGAGCATAAAATTCTCATATGGGCAGTATTTCATTGACTGAGTAAGATGCGTTGATAGTTCATATTTGAAGTGAATCTTCCCACTCCATCAGCTGCTCACAATATTCATAGAGTGCACGCTGATCAAGATGGAGCGCCCGGTCTCCCATTGCCATTATTTCAGGCAAAATAACTTGACTAACCACTGGGACATCCTGATACTGGTTGAGCAAAATAATGATAGCCGAAAATGGTGGCGGGGCAATCCCCATTTCTTCCAGGATATTGTATCGCATCAGCCACGTGGTAACAAAGATGCCATACGGTGGAAGATCATCTCGGCGCTTCATCTGATGCCATTGAAGATATTGCTCCATGGCAACTTCAGGTGGAATGGCTTCAGCAGTGCCTGGGGACACGGATGACGCAGAATTCATATTGGAAGTAGGCGGTATAACAAGGTGGCCTTTTTGGGAGGACCCCAGGACCACAAGAACTTTTCTGTTAGCTTGGGTCAGGTCTTGGAATAAGAGATAGCTGCTGTAGGAGTAGTGTCATAAGTCTTACTTGAGAAGATGTACTAAGGTAGGACAGAGTGCGAGCTCTGGAGCGTAGGATCTGAAAGTCAAAGACGTGATAGTTGAATGGAAAGAGGAGGTTTCTTGAACGACCGCACTATCGCTGCGCCTTCCAACTTTATCAACTTGGAGCTGCCGCTGCTGCCTTCTACACCGTTGCAATCAGTTATTCCATCAGACGGAGAGATTCCCTAAATACTAAATAAATCGGATTCATGGTATCCATGTGCATCGTGAGAGCTGCAGAAATCCGATTGGTGATAAATATCTCTCTGGAATTAGTGAGCAACAAGAGAGGAGCTCGGTATATATGAGAGTAGGAAAAAAAGGACCACCAGGTCGTTGAATAGGTAGCTGTTTTATTGAAAGAAGAACAAAGAAGAACAAAGAATATTATGGCTAGCAAAATATAACTGATTGCTAAGCGTAACTAAAGTCAAAATACAGCACAAACCTCGCATGGAAGCTCATAGCTTGGGTGTTCCATACCAAAGATAATAGAGGTAGACTGACTACAGCAGTAGTTCGTTTGGAATTAACTGGGTGAGAATGAATGTGAATAAGGGGATAAATTATCTCGAACTATGTATTTAGTGAACTTACAATGAGTGAAAACTAACCGGCTGTGCAGATCTAGGTAGATGATAGCATGTACAGATTCTCCAACCATAGGAGGCAAATAAAGGAGCCGATTTGGCCACTGGGCTTTCTCGAATATAACTTACCTAGTGCGGCTTCCTTTTAAACCCTAGATTCCAATTCGTAGTGTTTAAGTCTCCGTCATTGGTCCTTGTATCTCACTACCACCCTTCTCTCATTTTATCTGAGCTCGTCTCATTTTTGTCTCATTTCTGTTTTGAAGTACGCTTAAGCAAGTATAACTTATTTTTTCTATCGATCGATTCTCACTTTATTAAATAAATCAGTGTGCTATAAGTCAAAGAGCGCGTAGATTGAAACCGCAATGGTGAGTTGTTCGTCGATTGACTAACCCATTTTGCTAAGAGTATCTCACTTCCAATATCACCAAGTCCCAACAACGGTAACTTTATACCCGTCAATATCGTGCGGTCGTGTGAGACTAGATAATCTTTTCCCACTCGAGCAGCTACTCCCAGTGATTGTAAAGAGCGTGTTGATTAACGTTCAATTGCCCGATCCTTCTTCTCTATGATTTCCAGCAAGATAAACTGAATAACAACCAGAAGGTCCATGTATTAGTTCAACAGAACAACAAGGGCTGAGAACGGGGGCGAGGCCACACCTATTTCCGCGACGATATTGTGGCGTACCAGCCAAGCCGTTATAAATCTGCCATATGGGAGAGAGGAATTGCGCCGTTGCATCTAGGTCCACTTTAGCTACTAGTCCATGGCAAAGCTCACTATATTGGTTCCAGCAATAGGAGAAACACCAGGTGGTGCTTTTTGCACATTGAGGACAGGTGGCACGAAATAATGTGTTTGCTAAAAGGAGGATCAGGTTAGGAAGGTTACTATCTCTTAGTTTTCATCAAAAGTTGAACTTTGAGATAGCTCCTTGATAAATGAAATGAAATCTTACCGCGAGAAGATCTGAAGAGAAATATGCGCTCTCGGATGTAGGGTGTGAGAGTCAGAGATATAGGAATGTGGGATAGTTGAGGAGAAAAAAGAGAGTTTGAAAGAGAGCTTTAGGGCCTAGATACATATATCATCGCTGCTTCTTTTTCAAACTTCTTAACTTGGAGCTGCAACCACTGCTTTCTACCCTGTTGTATAAATAGTACGTAAATTTTTGAGGAACTCCATGTTATATAGTCACCATATATATGGCCAGAACTGCAGAAGTACGATTGATGATGAATATCACTCTATAATTGAAGAGAAATGAGAGAGGGGTTCAGTATTGAAGACAGGACCCCCGGGTCATTTGCGTGGAAATCACCCTAGCGCCGTCGTATACTTAAATAGTCAGCTTTCTCATAGAATAAGCTGTCATGACTGAATCACTATACAAGAATCACCAGTGGGTGTCCCGTGGAAAGTAATTTGTTTGATTGACAACATACCCTCATGCCGTCATGAAATCAGGTCTAAATTGACTAAAATTAGTAGGTCTCAGTATCCAGTTTCGACGAAGCTGTTATGGATGCACAGAGGGACGCCGTTGATATAAGGTTTCTTGCCAATATCGCAATCCCCAGTTACTTTGCAGTCAACCAAAGGACTATATGGGCTCTATATGGATTCGACCTGGCATCAGTTCAGCGGCGAACTCAGTTGATATGTCTGAGGTCTCGCTCACTTTTAAAACAAAGTAAGTCATGTTATTCGAGCTCCAAGTATAAGCCTCCATGAAAATGAGGCTGACCAACCTAAATATAGCCTCAAGAGGTATGCTGGTGTCAGCCGTGGTAGTGATATCTCTAGTTATAGTAAAGTGAGTCGTAGTCTCAATCGTTCCAGTTTATTGGGGACCAGGGCAGTAAAGCCTTTTCCAATTCATTCAAGCGAGATAGCCAGTCCGATGTAGATTGGGTCGGTGATTGCTGCCCTTGCTATTGAGGATACCTGCCGTTAAAATACTCAATATGTCACTGCCTGTGGGTACTTAGAGCAGGCAGTCTGTGGGTCGCGGAAGAAACTCCATCGTCGTCGAAGACTGCGTCCCATAGCTTGTTGACCCAGTGTTTTTCCCCGCTCGGGAAGCTGAGGCGGATAGTACCCAGCCAGTCCACAGTACTTGATTAGCCCGGGGTTGCTGAGCGCCGTCCGTAGAGGAAGTCTCCGATACAGAGACGGAGCTCGGGCGGGGTCGATAGAGTCACGTTTGTCGTAGAGGATGTAGACGTGAAATTCGAGAAAAGTGCAACTGCGGTTGACATTGAACAGGGGCCAGGATTTGACAGTTGGCAACAGAGATGATTTCGTGGATTGGGGGTGGAATTTGTCTTTCTGGAAAGATGGCTAGCCGCAGCAGTTTCAGCCAGGTCAGCGATGAGGAAGACTGCTTATTCCTTTCACTTTGCCTAAAATTGACATTGATAGTCACAAGGCGCGCCCGTCGAGACCCTATGTAGCCTAGTCGACCCTTGGGCCTTGCTCTTAGCGAAATACTTCCCTACGGAGGATATTGGGTAGCAAAACAGTCGCAATACAATCGATCGTGATACATGATTACCCCTAGTCAGGAGGTGGTATACCACTGCCACAGTCGATCACCATTAGCCCGCGGCCCAGTTTCCCTTTTCTGATAGCTCCACCATTTCTCGTTGTACGGAGTAGCTTGTCGCCATACTTGTCACTGGATAGCTCTAGTATTTAGATTCAGAGCATTTATGCAACTGGGACTGCCAGATCTACCAAGGTTCTAAGTAAAAAGAATTGAGCTGATTAAAAAGAGTAATGGCCATGGGAGGTATCTTTCGCATCCGTTTAGAAGAGCCCCGAGGGTTCTGCTGCAGGGTTCGTACTCCGTACTCGATCACGGAGTTCACCGCCCAGCTTCTATCGCCGATCGCTCTCGGCCACTTCGCGATCATTGGTCACTAAAAGCAAAATAATTCAAATCCCGAATTAAGATCAGCGCGCGGGAAGATATTCCCCCACCTTATTCGATTGCGAGTCCTTTCGTAAATAGTTCGATTGTGGGCTGTCTGGCCTAGAACATGCTGACACAAGTCTAGGGGAAATAAGGAGACAAGAATAACAGCCCATCATCGCCTGATACATTTTGAAACAAATATACCCATAGATTGCTTGAGGTAGAAAAAATCAATATTTGATACTAAACTCTATATAATCAATATTTAGATAACGTGGAAAAGGCGAGCACAGACTGTGTTGGGGGGTTTCAAGCTCAATACTCCTGATGTTGTATTACACATTGCCTTAGTGTTAGGGCGGGTCGGGTATAGCATCTTTGCTGTCGTTAAAGCCTGGCCCTCGGCTAACTTCACTGGCAAGTCCTTGTCTGTCGTACCGCCTGTCCGCCACACAGCAAAATAGATACCGTTGTCCTGTGTGATTAAGGCGAGAGCCAACCTGTCATCGTGCCATTGAGGAAACCCAAGCGGCCAAATTGGATGTGTGGACTTCAAGTGCAACCGTATCCTCTTATATACGTTCATGCCTTCCACCACAAGTCTGAGCTGATCCGGACTGAGTTTATCCAACCGGCCACTGAGGTAGACACGCCTCAGCAGACTATTGACAACAGTAAATGTATTGAGCTCGTCGCTCCATCCAGGCTGGGGATAAGCCCAGGTTGCGCTTTGCTCTAGGACAACAGCTGTTGGCAGTGCCGCAGCAATGGCCGCATAAAGCGCTGGATCTTGCTGATCACTTGTTGATTGTAACGAATGGACCGATAGCATGGAGTGGTCCATCTGCTGTGCACCACTCGAGCAGCTCTTAATAACAAGAGTGGGGTATGCACCCAGACGAGGTACGCCCGCTGATGTTCGAGATGTGCAGCCCCAGCAGAAAATGATCCGTCGATACCTGTGTATTGTGTGACCTCAATGTTGTAGTCGAACTTGAAGTAGCCAACGTCATAATTTATGACGAGGTTGTGGATGACTGTACACAAGTTCGGACCTTCAGGTGACGATGGTCGAGCTGGAATGTGTCTTTTCCGACAATGCGCCGGCCACACCATTGGAACAAGGCTTCCTTGGGGAGTCGACTGGCCACTATACTCCGCACGCCGCCAACTTCCGGCTCCAACCACAAGCCAGGGATAAGCCCCTTGCTCCTGATCTTGTCCAGAAGGACATTGAAACCGGACGGGAAACGCTTTTGTGACGGCTCCCACAGACCCACATCGTCCCACCAAGTACTATCATCTGCGTACCATCCAGCATCAGTAACGAAGTATTCGGCTCCCGTCTTGGCCACGGGTTCGAGAAGCGCAGCTACATTTTCCTCATTTGAGTCACCCATGAGACAGTTCATGTAGTCGTTGAAAATGATGGGGGGCCTCTCATTGTCATCATGTGGCCTCATAATCTGCCGTCGATTTTAAGTGAGCGCAGCAAATGCTGACTCTAGACCCCCGCTACACTGGCTTGTGAGCACTAGTGTCCGTATGGGAGTTTGCATATTCCATCAGTGTCGATACCTTTTTCGGGCAATATCTGCTCGCGCCACTGTGCTTCTCGAACCAGCTATTGGTAGCAGTAAACAACCTGTAGTCATGGTACCACTGCTGCCACTTTGTCGTCAAGCCACCAACTGTAATTGAGGAGAGCTGGGTCACGGTGATGTCGGTATCCTTGGACTCATTTGTGATCGTAGCCAATGATCTGAGAACTGGAATCGCTCGTAGACCAATAGGCAAGTAGCCACTAGTATTTTAGTAATTGCGTTTCAGCTCCGAATCTCCAGTGTTTCTACTCGGTCATCGTCCTGTATCTCGTAGCTTTCGTATTTCAGTCGCGCGGAAAGACAGCTGCCCACTGGTGACTTTGCGGCTTGATCGAATGTGTTACCCTTGCATACCTGCTTGATGCTGACGAGGGGTAGTTCAGATGAGTCGAAGAGGGGACGCCGACTTTGAAGCCTGCGCCCTTGCAGGAAGAATGTCTTGCACACAAATTGCCCCTGCCTCATTGACAACTAGGTCGATGTTGAAGGGTGTGGTTTCCCAACAGATTGTAGGGGAGGTGTCGGACATGCTCCCTTTTGAGCTCGAATTGTCTCATCAACAACGTGATAGTCTAAAGGATGAGGTCAGATCTAGACACCGCGATAGTAGACGACAAACAGCAGATTTGATACCGCTTTCAGGTCGCACATTGTCATGCAAACACTCACTCATTGTTTTTACTTTATTCGAGGTCAAGCAAGGTAAAGGAAGAAGCCCTAGATTGTCCCCCAGGCTCGTGTGCTTTCCGGGAAGCCCGAATTAGCTTTCGCTGATTGGTTACCGGGTGATCAATGGATGCTCCTGTCCGGCTATGGAGACAAATCATGGATCGCTGCCAAAAAAAACAGGAAATAAAGCCAATGCAGCTACACTACTGGACCCACCTGGGGAGTTCCCTATAGATGCAAACATGGGGTAAGGCTATTCAAGGAAGGTGCAGACCAATAGCCGCCTACCAATATAAGGATCACGGGAGCCCTTGACGATCATCGTCTTTGGCAGTTTCGCATGTTATCTCGCCTTTTCATACCCTCTCATTGAATCAAACTTGCCACGTCAAGAATACAGCCATCGGAGAGAGCGATCCTATTAAGCACGACGATTCTGCAAAAATGTCCAACAATATCATCGGTCGTCAAGGGGATTGGGAAGCCACGCTGGAAGATGCCCAGGCCGCCAATGCTCATCAGCATTCGCTCGGCATCTTGGCTGCACTCAAGGCATACCCTCTGGCGGTTGCCTGGTCCCTGGTGATCTCGATGTCCATTATCATGGAGGGCTATGACACAGCCTTGATTGGCTCACTGTATGCCTATCCAGGCTATGCTCGCCGGTTTGGGGCGTTAGACTCTTTGACGGACACATACCAGATTCCTGCTAAGTGGCAGAGCGCCATGGGTAGCGGGCCGCAGGCTGGGGCTATTATTGGTGCCCTCCTTAATGGCTATCTTGTTCAACGCCTTGGCTATCGACCGGCCTTTGCTTCAGGCGTTGGGTTGATGGCGGCGTTGGTCTTCGTGTCCTTTTTCGGTATGACTGTCGAGTTACAAGCCGTTGGGCAAGTTCTTTGCGGGTAATATTCCATTTTTCTTCTGGATTCGATGATCCCTGGTTAAGCTAGAGTTCCTAGCGTCCCATGGGGTATTTTCGCCACCATTGGCCCTGCCTACGCCTCGGAGGTATGCCCTTTGCCATTGTGGGCCTACCTTACGGCGTATACGAACATGTGTTTTGCGACTGGTCAACTCATTGGCGCAGGAGTTTTGCAGAGCTTCATCAATCGCCGCGATGACTGGGCATGGCGCATTCCGTTCGCCATTCAATGGATATGGATTCCTTTTCTCTTCATTGCATGCATATGTATGCCCGAGTCTCCTTGGTATTTAGTCCGCCAGGGAAGGTTTGTAGACGCAGAGAAAACTGTAAAATCTCTCATGATTGAAAGTGAGAGGGTGCAAGCACGACCACTAGTAGCATTGATGGTGCATACCAATGGCCTTGAGCAAGATATTACAGCGGGCACATCCTATTTGGACTGTTACAAGGGCACTGACCTCCGACGAACCGAGATTGCATGCATTTCATTCGTCGGTCAGATCACTTGCGGCGCCCCATTTGCTTACTCTGCTACCTACTTCTTCCAACAGGCTGGCCTTGGTTCCAATGACTCGTACAAACTAAACCTAGGTGGCACTGGTATTGCCTTGTGTGGTACAATTGCTTCTTGGGTTTTAATGAAACAATTGAATCGGCGCACCCTTTACATAACCGGAATGAGCCTGGTGAGCTTGTGGCTTTTGATCATTGGCTGTCTCTCCATCGACAAAAAACACCCAAACATCAAATGGGTTCAGTCGTGCCTTTGCATCATTTGGTTGCTCACGTTCTCTCTTACCATTGGGCCAGTCGGCTGGACTATCCAAGCGGAAGTTTCATCTACCCGGTTGAGGTCCAAGACCATTGTGCTAGCCCGAAGTTCTTATTACCTAGCACAAATTGCCGCAAATGTCATACAACCGTACATGATGAACCCTCTTGCCTGGAACTGGAAAGGTCTGTTTTGAATGAAGTTTAATTTTTGATTTTCTTTTTTTACTCACAACCGAACAGGCAAGATGGGATTTTTTTGGTTTACCTTGTCTTCTCTCACAGCAATTTGGGCGTTCTTCCGTCTCCCTGAGACCAAAGGGCGAAACTATCACGAGCTTGATGTGATGTTTCATGCCAAACTTAAAACCAGAAACTTCAAGAAGTACACTATCAATGTCTACGGCAATTACGGTGATCGAATACGGGAAGTGTGAAAACGTTATTCTAATACACAACGGGTTCGGCGGGTTTTTTTCGTGGCGCATCATGGCTTGTAGCAGTGGACCCATACTTGATCTTCCAATGACAGTTTAGTTTGAAACATTGGGCTCTTGCTTGATGCTTGTTAAGTACCATATGATATTACAAGGGAGTTGCAGCTCCGCCCATATACTACCTAAATCGGCTAGTCTCCGTGTATCGGCGCGCACGGACCGCTCGGCACTATCACGGGACTAGCTCGGGACTATCCAATCCCCCACAAACTTTGGCAGAAACCCCTGATGCAAACCCCCGCGTTCAGACCGTTATGCATACCCCAAGATCGGCATACCCCTTTCAATCTCCACACTTATATTTCCTCTTCATTCCGCTCTTTGATCTCACAAATCTCTTTTTTTGTCATGTTTATCGCATTCAAAGCTGCCCCGAGCAGCGAAGAGGGCTTGCGTAACCCAAAGCATAAAAGACGAAGTGAACGACTCAGCCGGCGTGGGTCCACGCCGCGAGCCTGCACGTCATGTCGTCGTCGCAAAATCAAATGTGATGGGGAGAAACCCTGTGAAGCCTGTCGGTGGTACAAAAAGCCCGAGCTGTGTGGCTATACGGAGTCTCGGTCAGCGCAAAGGTAAAACAGAAACTTCAATACATAAAAATCGAAGTCGTGGCGTGTTTGAAGACAACGGCTGATTAGACTAGCCAGCCGGAGAAAATGACCGTCCCCTCACCAGACTATAAGGCTACACTTGAAAGGCTATTTCCAGACACAGCTCCCGAACAGATCGCCCAGTTTTCAAGAGATAAGTTGTTGGAGTTGGTGAACACAAGCGGATCCCAATATTCCCATCAGGACCCTTCAATTGCCGCTGCTTCCCTAGACACCCGCGAGTCTACATTATCGGGGGAAATGCCTGGTCTGGAATCACTGCACACGATGCCCGAAGAGCAACTTGATGAGGCTCAGTCTGCTAGTGCCTCGGACTCGATTGGTCATATCTCGGACGACGTGAACGCATTATCTTTATCAGCTCGGCACCCAACCTCTTACCTTGGTGTCTCATCTATCCAGGCCGCCCTCAAGGTCATTGCTTGGCTACATCCATCAGTTAACTCATACCTATCACATTCCTTGTCTAAAGAGCAAGGTTCTCAACCAATCAACTCCTTGCCCATGTCGCAAGGTACGCCTCAGACCAACGCCCCACCCACGGAACCAGAAATGCTAGACTCTTACTTTGCCAACTTCCAACCATTTGCGCCACTCATAGACGAAGAAAGTTTTCGCACGACTTACTTGATTGGCCGACGTAAGGATGATCGATGGCTTGCACTACTCAACATGGTTCTCGCACTGGGAAATATGACAGCAGCAGGCACAGATAACAATACCCACCGTGCGTATTTCGAGCGCTCAATGCAACACTTAAACCTACGTTCGCTGGGGGATCCCAGCCTCGAAGTCGTTCAGGCCCTAGGGCTCATGGGTGGCTGGTACTGTCACTATATTAGTCAACCGAATCTTGCATACTCCCTTATGGGTGCCTCGCTGCGGATGGCGGTTACTTTAGGCTTCCAGCGGGAACCTTCCGACATCCAATCGATGCTTGACCCCAAGAAGTCCGGAATCCAGGAATTCAAACGGCGCGTCTGGTGGTCACTTTGTTGTTTAGAGACCTGGGGCCACGAAACGCTCGGCCGGCCAAGTATGGATTACTTTGGACCGAGCATCACAGTTAATTTGCCTAGCCGGCTTGATAAGGTGAACATATCCTGACTATTTTCTCCTGGGTGAATCATCCAGGGTCTCTTGCTAAAACAACTCTTCGCAGGAATCTTATTTCGATGTCCTCCCTCTGACGGAAAATATTTCATTTGTGAAAATTGCCTTGAAGATGCAAGAATCGTTAGCTGCGCTACCAACCCTATCCCTCGCGGATATGTTCGATTTGGACTCGCAGCTTGTTCGGTGGTGGCATGACCTACCGCCGGTCCTAAAGGATTATGAACCCTGCCCAGAATCACTACACGCAGTTCGTACTGTGATGCGTTGGCGATACTACAACCATCGCATGTTACTTTATCGCCCAACTCTACTTAACTATGCAATGCGACGAATTCCTTTCATGGCCATTCGGGTTGAGGAACGCAATGCTATTCAAAAATGCCAGGAAATCGCAGAGATTACCATTCGGGACATCTCATCGACAACCAAACTAAACCAAATGATTGGCTGGAATGCTGTCTGGATGATATTCCAGGCAACTATGGTTCCGTTGATTTGTTTGTCCGCTGGCGTCGCAGAAGACGATTCAGCCGCATGTAAAACGCAGGTTGAAACAGCTATGTTGACCCTGGGCCGCATGAAGCCTTACGGGCATACAGCAGAACGCTCCCTTGAGGTCATTTCCGGCATTCTCGATGCTAACCTTCACGGCCCCAGCACACAGCCGCTTGATGCAAGTGGAGATGGTCTCGACGCCCAACTTTTCCATCCGCCGAATGCTTTCAACACAGGCCAACAGATTGCCCGCGATCGGGTTTCAGATTGGACTGCCACTTCTTTTGAAACCCTTTCGTCGCAGTACATGTGGGAATATTTGAGCTGGGATCACAGCAACCTCTGGCCTGAGGTTTTCGACCCCAATGCTGCTGAAAATGAAAATGTGGTAATGTCTTTCCTTGACTCGTCTGCGGCAAATACGTGACATGTTTGTTCCGTTACCTTCACTGTATATATGTATATTTTGCAAATAACGAATAAAAGTACGATTGTCGTGGATTCGATTGGGCTAATTGGAGCCTGCTCGCTGTTCACATCAAATTGCATGGTTGGAATGCATGACCTCGACTCTGCAAGCAGGTCATCCTAACTATTAAACTTTCGAAATAGATATTCCTTTCAAATGAAAGGGCCATCTCTCACACATTCAGTTCTGCAGATGATTATAGCCAATCAGACCTGCTCCTAAGATTTCGGTAGATCTCAGTTTTGAGCCGATGATCGTCCGAGTGCTGATTCAACTCAGATTCTGAGGCAAATTATTATGACTTTGCTATTCAGTACCTGCACTGCCTGCGTTTGTAACTGAAGCTTTGCAGCGGGTAATGTTAAGAGAAAGCTGTCAATCCTGTAGCATTGATAGAGGAGAGCGCTTCCAGCGTGTGGTATACTGCACATCTCCCAAGAACCTACTAGTCGTGTGGGTACTACTTGGACAGATCTTACGGGTAGGGGAGAAATGAGCCATCCAGGATGTTGTGCTGGGTCAATGTTTCATATTATATATCCGCTACAGGACGCCACTATTTAGAACCCCTGAAATCTGCACACATGGTGTAGGATTGGAATTTCTTTTCTCTTTCTCCCTCTCAATTCCTTACCTCCGTTTGATATTAATCTTTTTTTTTTGCCCAGTCTAGGCCCCCTTTAGCATACTGGTCTCTGCCGCCATGCACTGCACTGGAGCTGCCAGTCTCGGTTATCTTTCATCACAGGCATCAAAAACACCCACTGATTTAGGAATTCCTCGATCTGCATCGGCAATACATCGGGCGGAAAGTTCAGCTGCGCCAGACTGTGCCGAAGGTTGTATTCCCTCTTCCTTGCCTTCGTGTAAGAAGCGCGTATCGAAGGACCGGCGGAAAACTGCTGCATATTGAAGGAAATCGTACATCCTAGCTAAATCTCAAGCATAATCGACAATAACGACGCTATTCCACGCATCATTGGGACTGCTGCGGTTGAAGATGTCACTACGACTGCATTGCCAGAAAATCCGATCAACCGATCAACCCAGACGAGATGAGTGGTGGCAGGCTTGATTCAGGAACAAAACATTTTTAAATACCCTGCTCCAAGCAAATGTGCTGGCACTCGACCGATTATCGTGCAATTCTCGACAGATTAAGGACCACCCGATCACAAACACCACACGTACCGAGCAGGATACACTGATTCTCGGTTCCTCCACATGCAACAGTGACGATGGTGGCTTCAACTGGTGGATGAATGGCGGTTGACAATCGGATCGAGTCATTGGTTACGGGGCAAATGTATGCATGACTACACAATGCCGAGTGATGTATCCAGTGTCCGACAGAGGGTCTGAAGTGTGGATCTAGGGACTGGTGGCTTACGCCAAAGTGAGTATGTGATTTTTATCTACATGGCACATATATGTAGCACGGCTACTGGCTAGAGAAAAATGCGGAAGAAACGCTGATCATTGAATCTAAGAAAATCAGGGTATATATACCCTGGCATCCAGCAAACAAGAAAGCGAACAAGTGCTTAGTCTGCTAGCAACCAATAGGAAATCGGATCATCCAACAAAACAAATTCTCTAACAAAATATAACGTACATTAACTCGCGATGGAACTGGAATGACTGGGCTGATTGGCCTATGCACCCTTGACTTCGACAACCTTGTTCTCAACCTCAGAGACCAAGACCTCTTGTTTCTCAGTACTCTTCTTGCGGGGATTGGGCGCTTCGAAGATCTCCGAGAGTTCTTCCAGGGTCCGTCCGTTGGTTTCAACAGCGAAGAAGTAGATGAACACTCCCTGAACAATGTTCCAGCCGGCTAGGATGATGTATGTATGCCAGCCGATGGCATTGATGGCGTTTCCGAATCCGAACTGGTTCACCAGCAAGGCAATATTGGTGAAGACGGAGTACATGGCCATTCCCTTGGCGCGGGTCTCGTATGAAAGACATTCGACCGCGTACATGGCTTGCAATGGGGTCCAGCCAAAGCTGAAGCAGAAGCCGATCAGGAAGATGAACACAATAGAAGCAGTGGCCGCTGCTGATGCTTCTGTCTCGGCGTATACACCGGTTGTGGCTGAAAAGCTAGCAAAGCAGAGCTACACGTCCAGAGGTTAGCGTAGAACACAACGAATCACACCGGCAATATACATACACTGCAAGCAATGGAGGCGCCAATCATCATAGGTCTGCGTCGGAATTTCGGGCCCAAATAACTTCCGAGGTAAGCTCCACCAGCGGAAAGAATCGTGTTACCGAGATTGACGTTGAGAACTCTTGTTGTGTCGGTAATACCAGCTGTGGCCAGAAGGCCGCCAATGTAGTAGCTCGTGACACCAGCCTGCGCCCACTGACTCATGAATGATGCGATACCCACACAAAGGAGACGCCATCTGGCGCCCTTCGTGTTAACGAGTTCTCTAAAGTCCCATGCCTTCTTATCCGAACCCTCAAGGTTAATGGCCTGCTCGTAGTCCCGGACCTGTAGGTGTACATAAGCGTTATCCCGGGATCCCTCACCGTGATACTTGCTGATGACATCCCAGGCTTCCTCGCGGCGCCCATGACTATAAAGCCAGCGAGGAGACTCAGGGATGAACCAAACAGCTAGCACCACGATGCTGGACGAAATTAGCTGGCACCAGATGGGAATGCGCCAGGCGAGAGAGCTCTCGAATCGCAGACATCCGCGACAAGCACCCGCAGCGGCAATAGCGCCAACAAAGTACTGGCAATTGTAAAGGCCGGTCAAGATGTCGCGGTATGCAGGATGACTCATCTCGACGACGTATGCGGGTGCGGCGGAGGATGCCATAGAGTAGCCCCAGCCTAAGATATGTTAACAGAGCCATCCAGAGTGAGAGAATTGTGTAGTAACATACCAAGGAAGAAACGGCTGGCAAGCAATTGATCCATGTGGTTGGCGGTTCCGCCAAGAATAGTGCCCAGAATGACACAGCAGGATCCAACGAACATTCCACACCGGCGACCCCAGGTATCCAGGAAAATACCAACAAACGGCAGCGCACAAACACCTCCAATAGTGTACATTCCCTGAATCAAAGAGGCCTTAGATCCGACTATACCGGAGCCAAAGGTTTCACGAAACTGCGGAATAGGGAGAAGAGCACCCATAAGCGAGCCATCGAATCCTGAATCTGTTAGTGATAATTTTCACATCGGCCATCATTGTCTTTCTCGTACCGTTTAGGGCTGAGCAAAGATACGCCACAGTCAAGAATGAGTAAAGCTTGATCATCTGAGCGCTCCATGGGCGCGGAGGGTTGGTCCGACGCGCCATATCCAAAGCCACTGAACCTTGAAGAACCTCTACCTTGACGCCCTCCTTGTGCTCATGATGCATCGCATCACTGGCACCTTCTTTCTCGGCCAGTTGGCCTGAATTCGTAATGTCTGCCATGCTGAAAAAAGGTTTACTCTCCACGAGGTAACCCACAGAAAGAGTGACTGGATATGTGGGGAAAAAGGGGGTCGCTGTTTGCTTTATATTCTTCCAGTCATGGGGCCATTTTTTTTTATCTCCCTCGGCATGTACCGTCTGTTTGTCAGTGTCTCGGATGTCCTTGGCGAAAGCAGTCCCGGATATCCGTTCCACGAGGTTGATCCAATTATCGGAAGGGTTTTTTCTTCTTTGTGGGGATTGGGGTTGCTCCAGACGGGCCGATCAAGGCCAATCACTTCCCGAAAAACCGGGGTAATTTGACCTCCACGGGGAATAACTCGGCTTCCTCCGCCTGCTCCTGGACTAAAAAGGCAATCTTCCGCCGTTGTTTCCCCGATCGGCCCCCCTTTACGGCAACCCCCGGGGAAACGAAGAGTCAGCGAATATTGATTCGTAACCAAGTCCAGGATCCCCTCATATGATCTGCATCTTTTCCTCCTACAATAGTAAATGGAGCGAGCGGGAGATGAACGCATTACTTCTAGAATAGTGCATAGAGGGCGGGAGATGGACGTTTGACTTCTAGAATAGTAAACGAAGGGCGGGGGACAAACCTCCGCAAAGGGCCATGTTACATCCAGTATAGCCCTGTTCATTTCGAGGGGGAAATAGAGAAGAAGATAGACCGGAAAGGAGAACAGAGGTCCTATTGGGGGAGGCGAGGGATCATGAAAAAAGGTGGAATGACGTTGAAAAGTCGAATACAAATGAGTCATCTATCATGGCAAGTACCAAGGTGTAAGGGGGTGGGCTGTTTAATTATTCATGGCCAGCCATACCAATGAGTATACAAAGGGGCTACAGACGTTTGAGATACAACAATCTTCTGTGGATAAGGGTTTCACGCGAAATCGAATGCCCATCTCTCTCACAAGAGATATCACAGCCCTTTCCGCTGATCCGCGAGAATTACGGTAGAATTAATTGTAATCATTTCAAAGGAGATTCGATTGTATGACAGCCCTGATTCCGTATAAATTCAAACAGACTATTGACCCAGATAACGGTACCCCAATGGCGAGCTGCCCTCACTGAGTCCTGTGACCTCTATCACCTGCTCATCGCCCGGAACAACATCTATAGCGCTGTCGCTGATTCGCACATTCTCTCGCTCCTCAAAGACAAGACATTTTACCGGTTTCTGTGAGCTGATTATCAAGAGCTGCTGTCCAGCCGAAGCTCCTGGCTGCTGCTTCACTTGTAGTCCGCGATCAGCAAATTCAAGGTATTTGAGTGGCTGTGGCCAGTCAATATCCCTGGCCACAATCTGACCATCGATCCATAGTCGCGCAGCCAAAACATGCGGCTCGGGCTCGGTGACATGATCAATCACACCACTTGTGATTTCAGAAGTACCATTGGGTATAATAGCGACGTCCTTGAAGACAGCGGGAGTGCGAAGGTCCTTGCCGGTGTCCACCGATATGAAGCGTAGCTCGACAGTTCCATGTAGTACTTCTTGTCTGCTGCTAGCGACCCACATCTCATACCGGCTCTTCTGGGGTGGTACTGCGTGCACGACACTCCAGTCGTGGTGCTCACGTCGTACACCAACCACCACAGGCTGCATAACTCGCTTGACAGTGTAGTAAGCAGGTTTTGGCCGCAAGAAATAGTCCGCGATTGCCCATGAGATAGTGGGCCAGCAGTCATTTATCTGCCATAGCAGCGCTCCACCACACTTTCGCTCATCGCCCCATTGGCGGCGCCATCCGCCATATCCGAACATCATAGTCTCTGCTTGAACAACTTGTGTGAGGTAGGCGTATGTCTGAGTAGGGTGTAAGTATTTGCTTCTTCCAACTTTCGGTGACTGTGATAAACATCATACCTCTAAATCAGTGGACAGGCGTAGATTTTCCACTAGGTACGTCGCCAGTCGCCTTTCGTGGCCATCAGCCTTGTTATGGAAGTCCATGACTTGTGATTGTGGGTGCCTGTCCTTCTTTTGTTCCAGGAAGTAATCGATTGTCGAGATTTGCGGGAATGCTTCCATTCCAAACTCGCTGTTAAAGCGGCCTCCCAAGGCGTCGAAAATCTGATATTTTTCCTGAGATCCATGCCACACTAGAGAACTGTCAGCCAGAGCATCGGAGAAGAGAACCCAATGGGATTCCCTTTGTAGATCAAATCGACTAACCATTCCACTGATGTATATCCCCCACAGTAGGATCGCTCGAGACTTTTCCATCACCCCATGGACTTCCCGGATGATAGAAAGTACTCGGCGAGTACTCGGATACCAGCTCTGGTAGTAGCTTTTCATAGATATAACGTGCGGGGAAGTCAGACTTCAACCAGCTTTCTGGGTCCTTATCTTCATAGTTGTAGGTGAGTCCTGTCTGCTCCTGGACTTGATAATCTTCATTGTTACCAACGTAGATCACGATAGAAGGATGATGTCTCAGTCGCTCCACGTTATAGACTGTCTCTTGCCGTACAGACTCTAGTAGCTCAGGCCATACTGGGTAGTTGCCGCAACCGAACATAAAGTCTTGCCAGACCAGCACGCCAAGCTCATCGCAAGCGTCATAGAAAGCGTCATCTTCGTAGATACCGCCACCCCATACTCTGTTTTAAATGTTTGTTAGATCGTCCTCATTATTCCACTAGCACTTGGGCATACCTGGACATAATCTGGCCACCTGCCACCATTAACTCGATCCATTTCCGGTATCGCTCCGCAGTGATGCTAGGAAGTAGGTTATCGGCAGGGATCCAGCAAGAGCCTCCACAGAAAATGTCCAGTCCGTTGATTCGGAAGAAGAACGACTTTCCATGCTTATCTGGCTGCTGAATGACCTCGGCAGACCGAATGCCGAATTTCTTCGACACCTGGTGTAGCTCGTTCCCATCATTTAGGAGTGAGACTGACACTTCATACAATGTCTGGGGGCCGTAGCCATGTGGCCACCATAATTCGGGATCGGTGACCTCAAAGCTGGCTTGGGCCTTTTTATCGGCGGGTACTGGGACATCGACTTGAGCAATTTCTTGTCCACGTAGAGTCAACTTGAAGCGAGCGACCGAGCCTTCCGAGTTGGACTGATCAATTTTAGCAACTGCTGTAACAGTCGCCGTTTTATGGTCTGAAGAGAGCTGTGTCTGTGGCCACAGGTCTTCTACTCGTGCAGAGTAGACTTCCAATCGCGCCTCGCGCCAGATACCAGCTGTCATGATAACTGGACCCCAATCCCAGCCCCAATGGTATTGGGCCTTGCGCACTCCTAGGCGAGCCATGTCTCCGTTGAATCCGTGCCATTTGTGATCCGGGTCTTTTTTCCGTAGCTCAATTGCTTTTAGTTGCGCGCAATCGAATTCGATCTCTAATACATTTGTGCTCTTTGCTGACCCCAGGGCGTTGGTGATATCCACGCGGTAGCCTAGGAACATATTGCTAGACTCAAGGATTGTCTCCCCGTTGAGCTTGACGGAAGCAAAAGTATCCAAGCCGTCGAACACCAATGCTGCAGTTGCACCAGCGGGGATTTCCGGTCGTTGGAAGACATGTCGATACACCCACACCTTCTCGTTGACCCAGCGCGCTTTGAGTTCGTTAAAGCCTATGTAAGGATCCTCGAGCCTAATCGAAAATAGAGGTCAGTCTGTGTCACATCCTAACATTATCAAGTGGTTGGGTTTCGAACTTCTTATTTGCAATGAGATCCTGCTGAACCGTGGAAGGCACTGCTGCGACAGGCATCCATGCATCCGGGGTCTCGTCATCTCGATCTTTGAACGTCCATTCCGTGGACAAAATTTGCTTGGAAAACTTCATTTTTGTGGTTCAAATGGAAGACAAGTTTGTTCCGATGATTTCCACCACGTTCAAATGGAAAAGATTTCAAGGGGCGAACGGGGACAATTTATATCAGTTGTGAACACCTCAAAGCAGCTGGGTCAGTCGCTGCCCAAATTAACCCACTGAGGTCAAAGATGAGAGCATGCAGAGCACGTCGTAATCTTCCACCTCTCAACATGATATCTTTAGAGGTCGCAAGGCTGCCACTAATGCCTGTTACCCCACCTGCAATGTAGATCATCCGAAAATGTCACGCTGTGACCACGTTCATTCCGTGTAATTACCCATTTGAGCCCAAGATAGGCGGATGTCCGATCAAGACAGGTAGTCCGCAAGGATTCCCCATCTTATGTGCTGTATAGGGCCCGATTCACATCGACCAAAGTGTAGATCTTGTCCAAAAGTCTACACGTTATCTTTATCCTTATGCGGGGATGATTTGAGATCGGAGATGGACAATCCGAAGATTGCTGGGGCCATTGGACACGCTTCAATTTGAGCTTTTCTTGCCTGGTGTTCAAAAGTTTTTCAACGACGGAGCTTTGTTCACACAGTTTCCATGGTCAGCTGCCACCCAATAGATCCACACCTGGGTAATTTCTTATCCGACATTTTATCGCCAACCACTTTCCTGGAACATGAAGTTCACACTCAAATTGTGGCAAGCATGGTCTTTTGGCATCCTGTGCTGAAATAATCACAAGCCTCTATCTATGCCGGAGAGCTCCTTTTGAACTTTTCGATGCATCGAAGAGGAGCGCGGGCCACATTATGATTACCCCAATCGCAAACATCATTACCCTATGTAACTCCATGGCATTCTGGCCTATCAATACCAAGTCGCTGTTAAAGTTGGATATAGGCTCTCCGTACCAGTTCTACCGTCTGAGTGGCTTCACCGCTACCATCCCGGTGCTGAGTGCCGCCACAGCCCTTTTATTGAGAAACGCAGCGAACTACGCGATCGTACCTCAATTTGTAACCTGATATCCTCAAAAAGCTTTTCTACTAATATGCGTACCCGCAATCATCCTTGAGTAAGATAAAGCAAAAGTCCGCATATTGGGACATACTTAGGAGTCGTTCTAAGGAAATAGTATGTAAACTGAGGATTAGCCCCCAAGCTCACTCTGGTTGAGCAATATTGAGATATTGTATTAAATATTGAAAGATCATTCAATAAGGATACATCAGAAATCCACCAAAAGGGACTAGATTGAAGCGACCTGGGTAACTATATCTCAAGTGTTTTAGATAAGCTATATAGGGGCAATGGATCAGCCTCAATTTGATCTAAGCTGTACCAAGGCTGGGAGATTGCACACTCTCCGTAAGGTAAAATATAATTACGCTGAAAATTGAGTCTGTTAAGTTATTATATGATCAATTGTATGCAATGTAATAGAAATATTGGAGGAGGTATATGGAGTCGGATTCGTGATATATATATCTCACAAGTGCTATTCAAACCAGAGACTATGTCATAGGCAGGACATGGAAGCTCATAGGGCGTACAACAATATGACAGGCGACGCTGGCTTCCTTCACGTCATATAGCGATAAAGGTCGATGCAAACAATTCCACGTCCGAAGAGTATGCCCAGAAGGAGTCGAGCATGGGACATCATATTACACGAACAAATCCAGCTGACGAATGTAAATTCGCTATCTGCAATTTGCTCGACTCTTTCAACTTACATAAGGGCCGCACGGCAGCCATACCTACATGCATGGTCTTTGAATCACTCTCCGAGCCCATATGGGTCTTAAAGAGTGTTCCAAAGGGAGCATTCCTTCTCCAGATGTTGTCAAAGCCATCACTCAGATGGTCATCATAGGCCGCCATTATCTATACACTGAAGCTCACATCCTTCATCCAGGCCGCTTGATTGCCTAAAGCACACATAACTCTCAGATGCTGGAAAGTCTGACAGGGTAGCAGATACAAGGGCTAATGGTGTCATTCTGGCCCCTACAGATCACTCTCTACTCGATAAAGTCATTCAGGATGAGACAGAAAGTCCAACGCCTCAAGAAGCTTGCAAGGGTCGTCCAGTATACCTTCCACGAAATAATATCAGCTTTGAGACAGACAACCTAAGAAGGCCAGTAACCACAGATCTATCTTACAGCAAAAAGAAGCAATTGGCCTCTATCGTATTCTTACTGGGCGCTTCACCAGCGAATATGCTCACGGGATTCCAATTATGATGATACTTCACTCACGGATATGATTGCGCCTTAATATTTGCCTTGCTGGTAGATTAATAGAGTAATTCAAGTTAATCAAGTCTCCTGGTCTCATTTTGAGGATTTGAAGAAAAGCTTACGGTCATTCAAGAGGGCTTCTCACAGAATCTTTCGACTTTTGCCTCGATAATACTGCAATAGCGGCTAGAATATCGAGCAAATGTAGAGAAAATGCTCCCTCATTTGTGGCTTCTAGCTTAATTTTGCTCATTAGAAAGTTTACAAGAGATGATATCTACGTTCGGTATTACGATGGTCGTTTGTTGACAACTGTACTGGACTCGACTTCACTACGTATACGGAGTAAGACCGATGTCCTTGGTAGTTGATGGGCTAACAGTATTGTAAGACAAGAAGGATGTCTTGGTCTCAGCTCTTGTCACTTGAAACAAAGCAATCCCCAGTATGTCTCAAACAGAGTTTTGCTGGGTCCAGCAGGCAGCGGCCGAGTTCCAGAGTACGATTACAGCTGGACTTAGTTTGTTAGGATTCTCCTCTTAGGCGATTAGAGTCAGTTGGGTTTATCTCAATATTACGGAGTATATAGAAAATAAATGTGCATTTCGACAACCGTAGAACGTGAATTTAACATTCTTATTCTCAGCCACTCTTTCGGCCGAGAGGGGAGGCTAATGCATGCACGCCACCAATGCTCCGTATTGATAGCTGTTTCAAACACATAGAAAGAGTTAAATACAAAACGAAATAGAAGCTACATACAAGGAAATGAATCATAATAAACAGCAGGGTCGGTATTCGTTGCAAAAAGAAAAAAGCAACGTGCTGTACATTCCTTCTTCCAGCCAAATGTTGTATTAGGGTAAGGGCAAGCTCCCAAAAAACGCCGAACAAAGGTGCTGAGGGCGGAACGCCGGACATGAACTTGGTCTTGCAAGTCGCAGAATGTTACGTCCAGATGACCGAAAAAGTCGCCCAGCGTGGTCTAGTAGGGCTCTTCCGCGTTTGGCAGGGCGAGAGATGTTACATCTGGGGACTCTTGGCCCATGGGCCCTGATGACTTGCCTATTTGAGCCCGCTGTGGGCGGAAGTCCGATTGCAACAAGTAGTTCCGAAATACCCCCGAGGCTCCGAGGCTTGGCAAAGCGTAGATCTTCCCCAAGCTTTTACGTGATCAACTACTCCGTGAATAAGAATTTTGAAGAACACAATTTGGCCTGACACCTTATCTTTTCCCGTATCACCTGGTAAGTACTCCCATAATCATCCTCAAAGCCATGTTTGGCGTACGTTATTATTAACTTCCACGTTCATCAGTGAGATCATATTGTTGAGCTTAAGTTGAGTTGTAGTTTGAAGCCGAAACTAGTGTACTAACTGAAACTAAGTCCCGCTTGATGCAGAAAGATCCGCACGGAGCGATCAGGGAGAGAAACGGGGTTACATCTTCCCGCCGTTCGACTTCGAGACAACTTCTGAGTCCTGAATGACTATGAAGCGAGACCGAAACAAGATGATCTTTTCCGATTATCACACGGGAAGAGGGCTGGGTATTCGCTCATGCTGTTCATGTTGCTCCAAGTCACGAACTATCAAACCACACATATAAAAGGAAGCCGCAGACCTCAGGATTTTTGAAGCATCACACTCTAGCATCTCAATCAATCAACAAGAAACCTGTTCTTCATCCGAATTCAAGATGCAGCTCCTCTCTTTCTTCACCTCTTTGGCCCTCGTGTCTGCCGTGGTCTCTACCCCGACACCAGGCTTCAAAGGAATCGTGGCCCGCGCAGATAAACGAGGCAATGAGACCATTGCTGGTCTCGGGGCCCGAAAGCAGGCGGTCTTGGATGCTGGTGGTAACACTCGTGATATGGCTATTGCCATGCTGGAGACGTGAGCCCATTCTTTTCTCCGTGCCTGGTCACCCAGCTTACAACTATTAGTACCACCATGACTACCGATTACACCTATGGTATGTTGAAAGGTTGACCTGAGAGAATGGTAATGGTGCTAACGTCTACACTTCAGGTGACGGCAAGGATGGTGATGGCACAAACTTCGGCGTTTTCAAGCAGAATTGGTTCATCCTGAGACACTCTGCATCTGAATTCTTGGGCCAGACCCTTGCCGATGTTGACAACGGTGCTATTCTCAAGTAAGCTCTGGTCTGCATTGAAAATCTAGATGTATATTGGCTAATACTCGAGTGCTAGCTCGGATCTTTCAAAGGACATCCAGGCTCGTCATGACGGCGAGGACCACTACGGGTATGAGACTTGGTTCAGTGGTCACCGCAATGGAGAGACGGGTATCAATAACCCGGGCACAGCGGACATCCAGGGTGAGTTTTACCTGATTCCCTACTTCAAGAATTGGTCGGCTAACGTTGCCGGCAGGATACATCGATGCCATTGCATGGATTCAGCAGCAGATTGAGAGTGATGAGAAATACCAGACCGATGATACTCGTTTCTGGGTTGATGTCGTGGCCATCTAGATACAATGGTGAAGAATATGTGGCGGACCGGATACACATCCTTGAATAGGCCTTGGCGCTTTATACTATGCGATGCTATTTGCGGACAGGACGCAAATCCTGTGGGATCAAATTCTTTTCGCTCATTCGTTTCGGCGATGTTCTGTTTTTACTATTGTGATCTAGGTCTTAGTTGTGAGATTTCGCACAAATACACTCGTTTACCACAAAATTTGTCATTAATCGGAGTAACAAGTCTGATTATACATTGTTCTATGCAACCTGTATGTGCTATCACCAGGATAGAGTGAAACGCGGTCCTTCGATCTTATCCTATCGCACACTTACTCTAGGGTCTGCTTATATCCATACTCTTATGTCAATACAACTCTCATCACCATACTTCTGCTATCTATATTTCACCGGAAGTGCTTTCCAGGGGGTATCTAAGAATATAGATGGACTACCCCTTTGAAGTACTCGCACTTCGGCGCGGTAGTCGTCAGGTTGTCAGGTTGTTAGGTTGTTAGGTGGGTTTTTTATATACTAGTAGCTCCCAGTAGGCTGGTTACTACTGGTAGGAGGTCGGAGCTACTAGTCGCGACTAATATAGGTTTAATAAAATAAATTATAGCCCCAAAAACTGTTAAGTTGTTAGGTTAAGTCTACTAGAAAGAGTGAAGTATTTACTAGTAGACTAGGAGCTACTAGTAAAAAGTGCCTAACAATAACTTTTATATATTTTATCACTCACCTAATAGTCTTAATATATTAATATATATTATATAGGGGGTTTTCTAATAGCTACTAGATATAACTAGTAGTAACTAAAAATTTTAGGGTAAATTTAATATATAATTAGTATTTAATTTTTAGTAATTACTAGTAATATCTCGATAGAAGTTATTATCTTGTAGGTTCTATATAATATAGGAATAATATATAGGAGGTTAATATAGATAATTTATTATTACTAATAATTACTAGTTAGGACACTATATTTAAAATATAGTATAACTTAAATATTACTAAGAGCTTCTAGAAAGTTCCTACTAATAAATTAAGGGAAGGGGTTATATTTATTAGTAGTAATTACTAGTAGTAACTAGTGGTTAGGATTAGAATTAAGCGTAAATTATACTAGTAAATAGCTTATCTCTATACCTAAAGGTAAAATAGTGGAAAAGGTAAGATATTAGAATAAGAATACTATATTAAACTAGATATTACTAGTAATAACTAGATATAATTAGTGTAATAGCTTCTAAACTCTTAGTTTATTAGTTTATACCTAGATTACTAGTAGTAACTAATTATTAGTAGTGATAATTAGGCTTAAACTATACTAGTAATTATAAAGTATATTAGAAAGTTAAAGGATAACTATAAACTCTAGCCTAAAGATAACCTTAAGAAAAGAAACCACTATTAGTAGGAAATTAAATACTAGTAAAAACTAGTAATCGCCGGAAGAGTAGGGTAGGAATAATTATTCTATAGAATAATTCCTATAATATATTAGTATTACTAGTTATAACTAGTAGTAGTTATTTATTATAGGTAACACTTATATATAATATAAGGTATAGGTAGGGTTACCCTCTATATATTTTACTATATAATAGAATAAGTAGGGGCTACTAGTAATTAGTAGTAATTTAATATAATAATAGATAGATAGATTATACTTATTTCTCTAGCTCCTTTTCTATAGCGGAAGTAGTAGTATAGGTATTACTAGTAGCCTAATAGGTATTACCACTAGCCTAATAGGTATTACTAGTAGGGCTATAGGCTTTACTAGTAGAAGGATAAGTAGTATTAGTAGGCTTAGAGGGGGTAGATATAGGGGGGGTAGTCTCCTTATTATTACTAGTAACTTTAACTAGCTCCTTATTATCACTACTCTTAGTTATATTAATATCTAAGTCTTTATTACTAGGGGTCTCGATAGGGTCACTAGTAATTATTAGTAACTAATAGTAAAAGCTAGTAAGAAAATAGATATAACTTATAAAATACTTTCCTTAGTTATTACCTAGTCGCTTAGTATATATATACTAGTATATACTTTATTTCCCTAGTAACTATTAGTAATTACTAGGAATAGGTAGTAGTAAATAGTATAAACTTATATAGTAGCTCTCCTTAATATACTTTCTAATAGTACTACTAGAATAGAACTACTTAAAGTACTTTCTAGATCTATTACTACTAGTAGATACTATTAGCTACTAGTTATAATAAGTAGTATCGATAAATAGAAAATATATAGCGAATAGTTATAAAAGAGGTAGTATAATATATATTAAGTAATAGCCTTTACTAGTAATAATTAGTAACCTATAGTAATAATAAGTAGAAAAAAGATTAAAATATATAATTAGTCTAGTCTTCCGAAACTTATAGAAATATTTATTACTAATATAATTAGGGTAATTATAAAGTACCTTATAACTAGTAACTATTAATAATAGCTAGTAACTACTAGTAAATTAAAACTTATATTACTAAGTTAGGAACCACTATACCTTCCTAAGTAAGCTCCTTTACTATACACTCTTTCTAGGTATTATTAACCTTTAGGGCTTTTAAATCCTTTAGCTAAGCTAGCTAATCGATCTAGTTATTAGGCGCTATAACTAGTAGCTTCTAGTAAAATTAGGTAATTTTAGAGTTAAACTTAGTTCTCGAAGATTACTACTAGAAATAACTAGTAACTACTAGTTATAAATAAAAGTAATATCTAAAATCGAAGAAAAGATTAGCGAAAAGTGAAAAAAGTGAAATCTCTTTATTAAATTAGCTAATTATATCTTATTCTACCTATTCTAGGTATTCTATATATTATTTAACCTTATATATTAGCCTAGATATTTAATTAAGATATATAAATATATAAAGATAACTATATACTTACTTAGAATAGGTAGTAATAACTAGTAGTAATAAATAATAAATAGTATAGGGAGGGGTTATACTAGTATAAGATAAATATAAGAGGGAGAAAAAGAAAGATAAAAGTAATAAGGGGGGGTAAGTATTTATATATAAGAAATTAGCACTAGGTACCCTCTATTACCTAATCCGGTAATATTTCTTTACCTACTAGCTATATCTATAGCTTATAAGTTACCTAAAACTCTCTTCTATTTCTAAGATCTCTTAATTAAGTAGATTCTAAAGATATAAAATTTATTAACCTTCTATCTAAAATAGGCTATCTAGGGCTATTATACTAATTATATCTAGTTATTACTAGTAATATCTAGTATAATATAATATTCTTATTCTAATATCTTACCTCCCTAGGGATATATATATTTCTTCCTATACTTTAATTACTCTATAACTATAGTAGATTCTTACTTATTACCTACTAGTTATTACTAGTAATAACTACTTATTAACTAGTAAGTTTATCCCCTACCTTTCTTTAGTTTTAAACCTACTAGTTACTACTATTAGTCTTCTTCTTCGAATTCTTCCTTCTTCCTTTACCTATCTATCTATCCTATTTTCCTACTTCTTTTCTCTCTTATATCCCTTTAATACCTTAGTTTTACCTTTCCTATCTCTATATTTCTAGCTCCTTATAGAAACTCCTATAGCTAGGTAGTTAGATAACCCTTCTCTCCTCTATAGGGACCGAGCTAAGATCTAGAAACTATATAAAACTAGTAGCTATAAATTATACCTTAATAAACCTAAATATTCCGAAGAGCTACTAGCTACTCTTAATAGCTCTAAGCTTTCTAGGGTAATTTCTAAGTATAATAATAGCTTTTAGCTTACTATATATAGTAACTTAATATTTCGAACTATCTAATATATCCTTTATTTATTCTACCTACCTAAGTACCCTTATAGTGACTCTTAAGGATTTACCTATATTATTAATATTTTATACCTTTTACTAGAAGATACTAGTAAACTTTATTCCGATATCTAATATAGGAAGAATACCTAGATAAATAATAATAAAGTATAGTATAGAGAGAAGATTTACCCTAAACTAGGTAATATTAGATATACCTTTAAAACCTAGACCTACTCTAGTACTATAGTATACTAGAAGACACTAGAAGCTTTCTAGTATAGCTTTTATTACTTTATAGTTACTAGTAGCCTTCTAGAGTAGATAGAGCTCTAAAGAATTATAATTACTTATAATCGCTAGTAAGAAACCGATTAGAACTAGGTCTAGGAGTAAACTTAGTAGTATTTTAAGGGACTTTATTATAGTTATATATATCGATATAGAACTTAATACCTAGAGGGAAGAATAGTTCTCAAGGAATCGAGATAATAGGTAAGTCTTATTATCTAGGTATTTCTAGTAATTCCTAGTTATTACTAAGAATATCTATATCTAGTAATATCCCTTTATTAGGTACTCTAAGTAGCGCTTTAATAATAGAAAGTAATACTTTATATACCCTCTTTCTTAAGTAAATAGTATAGATAATATATATCTTTATATATTATATAAAGGAACTACCCCCTACTAGTTAACGCTACTAATAACTATATATACCTTATAATAGTAAGATCCTATATATAGTTTTACTATAAGTTTATAATTTTTTAAGAGATACTAGGTATTACTAGTAGCTAATAGTTACTATAGCTTTTTATAAGTCTAAAGGGAAAGCTCTTTCGCTACCCTATAATATTACCTTTACGTTTCTTATCCTAAAGGATCTCTTAGCGACTCTATATATTATTTTTATCTCTTAGGGTAAGTATACCTATTTACTATCTCTACTATACTATATACCTTCTAGTATTAAAGCCGATATAGTAGTATTAATAAGGTAAGCGAACCCTTATAGCTTAACTACTAGTAAGTCTATCCTTTCTATAAGCTCCTAGTAATTACTAGCTATTACTAATAATTATAGCTAGGTTTATCTAATTAAGGATTATAGATAATTTTCTTATAGAGCGAAATATATTATTACTTATAGAGTTATATATATCCCTTAGTAACTATAACCTAATTAAGGTATAGATTATAA